GTTTGCAGTGTAGTCCCGCCGGAGGAGCTCGACGGACTCGGGCCGCACCTTGTGGTGGATCTCGTGGATGCCGACCTCGCGGAAGCGCACGTCGCGGCACTCGGCGCCGAAGTCTTTCATGCGGTTGAGCGCGAGCTCGCGGAGGTTGCCTGAGTTTTCGCAGCCGCTCGTGACGAGTGGGAGAGGGATGTCTCTACAGAGTATGCTATCAGTGTGCAAGTGATGTACGATGGAGAGAACACATACCGCTGCACACGGTATACTCGCGTCCATGGTGGTACGAGTGCCAGAATCCTTGCAACCACGTCCACGAGTACGTTTGGTGTGTAGTTCTTGTATCGGCCCGTTCGCCACAGCTCGTATAGACCTGTACCACGGATAACTAGGGTAGGGTAGATCTTCAGTCCATCGCTCCTGAATGCAGGGTTCTCGAAATATTCCTTGAACTGTTCAAGGTCGCGCTCTACGCCGACATTAGGTAAATCGGGCATCATGTGCGCGACCACCTTGAAACCAGCGTCCTTGGCTAGGTGAAAAGACTCGGTTACGGCGCGGACTGTGTGCCCGCGGTTGGTGTCGCGTGCGACGTCTTCGTATACGGATTGGACACCGATCTCTAGACGGGTGCAGCCATATCGGAGCATTTGGCTGCAAACGGGTTAGAGATTATGTCGACAGGGGAGATATTGGCATTTGCACTCACCTCAGATGTGGTCTCAAGCAGTAATCAGGTCGCGTCTCGATCGTGATACCAATGGCCTTGGACCTGCTCTGCTCAGAGAAACGAACGGCCTCATCAACGTCGAACCCTGTGAAGCCGGACAGTGCATTGTGCAGTTGTGCGATGAACTTGTTCCGGTAGTCTTCTGGCATGCTCATGAACGTTCCGCCCATGACGATGAACTCGACCTATCCCATATGTTACAAAGAGCGTGAAAAGTGACAGTGAACAAGCATACCTTGTCAACGTTGTGACCCAAACTCTTCAGCTGCTCGACTCGCCCGCGGGTTTGCTCGTAAGGGTCGTACCGTGCCCGGATCGCGCGCATGCTTGTGGGCTCATAGCCGGTGTAGCTTTGCGTACTGTAGTCAAAGTCCGAGTCGGGACCTCCTGGGCAGTACCTACACAAGGTCAGAGTGTACGCCATGGTGAACAGACAACGACTTACACGCAGATATTACCGGTCATTGCGATGTGTGGACATCGGTGCGGCTTGCACATCACAGCTACAACAGCAATCCCGCTGGCCGTTCGGATGGGCCGTGCCTTGAGTTTTGGGAGTAGAGCCTTCTTATAGTCGTCCGGTATTGCGCTGATGATATCGACCAATCGTGGAACCCCTCCGAAGCCATACTTCTTGCTCATCTTTGCCCGGAGTTCGTTCACGATACTGTTTGGTTTGCATCGTGGGCCTTGATGAGCTCCGCAGCAATTGCCGAGGTAACTCGCAAGAGCGATTCCGCCTGCGAAGGCCCTGAGAGCAAGAGCTGTTTACCTTCCGGACATTTCGGAGACGTGCACAACCATGGCTTACCATCAGTCTTCGTCCTTTGCACCATCTTGCCTCAGGCAAAGCAGTGGAAGAAAGAAACAGACGGACAGCAAGCGCGAAGACAGCCAGACAAGGTCGCGGTTGCTGAAGAGGTGAGGGAGAAGGCGATCGAGTCGGGATCTGAGGGATCTCGGAGATGGGCGAAGCAATGAGCCGTGCTAGCGGAGTCGATCACGAACAGCAGGTTGTTGGTGACCGTGACTGCCACTCGCGTCTCGTCCATTACTCCCCAGCCCTGGCATGCCCCCTCCTACCTCCCAGGACGCCTGGCTCACCGCTCGTCGCTTCGGAGTAGTCATCGACGCGGGCTCGTCGGGCTCTAGGCTCCAAATCTACAGCTGGAAAGATCCTCGTGTTCAGGATGGAGGGAGGGCGCAGACGTCGCTCCCCAAGGTCGAGAAGGGTACGCAGAACGGAGAGGATTGGTCAGTCAAAGTACAACCTGGTGTGTAATTCTACGTTATAACTGCAGAAATCTATTGCTATACATTGTATGCCCTAGGCATATCTTCCTTCGGCGACGATCCAGCAGGCGTGGCTGAGTATCTGGAACCGCTGCTTGGGCACGCACGTAACCATGTCCCACCTTCCCTGCAGCCATCCACCCCTATCTTCCTTCTCGCGACCGCTGGTATGCGTCTCCTTGCGCCTCAGCAACAAGCCGAGGTTCTTCAAGCCACCTGCACATATCTCAAGACGCACTCCAATTTCAAGCTTGACGAACCATCTGCGTCCGGGCCCTGCGGCTCTAGCGTACGCATCATATCCGGCGAAGAGGAAGGTCTTTTCGGCTGGATAGCAGTCAACTACCTCACGGATGGTTTCTCGGGCGCAGGCGAGCAGCCCCTGACCTATGGCTTCTTGGACATGGGCGGTGCCTCGACGCAGATTGCTTTTGAGCCGAGCGTGTCTGAGGCTACCAAATCCGCGGACAATCTCATAGACGTTAGGCTACGCCTACTCAGCGGCAAGGAAGTCCAACACAAGGTCTTTGTCACGACGTGGTTAGGCTACGGTACCAACCAGGCTCGAGAGCGGTACATCAGCGCAGTTGTCAACGACTACCTCTACCATTACCCTTCCGCCTCCCCTTCGCGGCCTATCCCAGACCCTTGTCTCCCAAAGGGCCTACGCCTCGCCGAGTCTACCTCGTCTTCAGCGACGTACACACTGGTAGGCACGGGCGCCTTCGACCAGTGCCTTGCGCGAACGCTCCCACTTCTCAACAAATCCGCACCATGTCCTGATACTCACTGTCTCTTCAATGGTGTCCCAACGCCCCACATCGACTTCTCCGCCGCGCATTTCATCGGCGTCTCCGAGTATTGGTACTCGTCCGAACATGTATTCGGCCTGGGCGGCGCGTACGACGTTGTGCAGTACGAGCGCGCGGCGGAGCAATTCTGCGGGCGCGACTGGACGGACATTGTCAAGCAGCATGAGCGGGACAAGGAACATTGGGGTCAGGGCGCGCAGAGCGCGGGTTCGTGGGGCCCGGAGGTGGAGTTACCAAGGTTACAGCTGCAGTGTTTCAAGGCTGCGTGGCTCGTCAACGTTCTGCACGAAGGCTTGGACATGCCGAGGGTAGTAGACCCCGGAGGTAACAGTACGTCCGGACATGACGGTGCGCAGGAGGTGGAGAAGGAGGCGGCACGCAAAGGTTGGGAAGCAAGAGGCCTGCGTTCCAGAGCTTGGACACTGTGGGCGACATCGCCATTAGCTGGACGCTCGGGAAGATGGTGCTCGAGGCGAGTAAGGAGGTGCCCTTGGCGATCAAGGGCGACAGACCTATCATCGACCCGATGGAAGATCTCCCGAAGACTCTAACCTGCGGCCGAGACCACCATTCTGGCATTTCGATGCCATCGAGGATCGTCTCTCGGATCATCTCCCTCCATCCCTGACTAAGGAGACGTTGGGGTTCTCCCTCGTTGCATTTCTCCTCTACATTGCAGCCCTTATTCTACTGTTCGGTCTGTTCTATCGGATGCGACATCGTATACGGAGCGTGCATCGACGCTACACGCGCACGAAGGAGCACGACTTCACGCAAGATGGCTACGCCATGGAAGGTGGCTTCGCGAAGAGGCCACGCTCTCCCTGGACGCCTTCCCCGACCCAATTGTCCTTCCAACAAGCCATCCGCCCCTTCGCTCAGAAACTCTCTACAACACTAGGCACCAGCTCTATCCTTCGAGCGTCCGTATCAAACTGAACGGCACGCCCTCAAATCACAATCGATACTCACCCACACGGGTCTCCCCCATCCGCTCTAACTCCTCTCCCTTCCCCTTCTCCCAGCCCAGCTCAGGCATGGGTGTCGGTGCGGGCCTCGCCCCGCTTCCGCCAGACGACGCGAACTGCTCCGCATCATCCTTCGCACCCACACCCGGCTCACCGCGCCCGGGCATGTCTGGGCTTGACGGGTTCGGTGTTTCGGTGTCGAACGGCAGCCTGAGCTCGCTCACGTCCCGATCGCGCAACTCGTCGCAAATGAACTTGAGCAGCGCCGGTGGCAGCCTGAGGGGGATGAACGGGATTATGAGGTCGGCGAGTAGTGGGTATGGACAGATGGCACGGACTACGAGTGGCTCGCATGGACCTGTTGGTAGTTTATATTTGGATGAATGACTCGGGTTTGCACATCGCCATGCTTTGTGGGTGCGCTGTACCAGCCATGTCGATGAGTAAAGCGTTTTGAAACGGCGGTGAAGGTCTGTTCACTCCATCCCGACTGTCGTCTTTTGAATGCTGGTCAAAAGCGATATTGTGGCAGCAGTGGGCAGCGCCATCGAAGGGCGTACATACTTATTCACATTGATATGCACATGAACGAGGAACGCCTCGGTGAAATAGCAGGAGATCAACGACATTGTGGTTCATTGCCACTGCGCGTGCGCTTTACTCGCAGTTCGCCCTCCCTCAAGTTCGTCCGTCTGGGTGCCTGTTCAGCCCACGCAGTGTGCGAGGCATATGACTCATCCTCGAGCTTGCGAGTCGCTCCCACATCACACGCGCTAGGCAGCGTCCGAGTCTACTCGGATGCAGGATATAATGCAGCTCATAGATCCTTCCCAGTTCCTGCCAGGGGGGTATACTATGCCTTGCATATTCTTCTGGGTGCCGAGGGGCCTGGTGTTATGTTACAATAGCATCCTCGAGCTCGCGTCATTTACCTCCATTTGAATGATCTTCCGCAGCGCTGTACACAGAATCATGCTGGCGAGACGCCCCAGAATACGCATCCCACGGGAGAATGGTGGGAGCACAGCGCTGTCATGCGCCAGAGCGTTCTCGGAACGTCATCGACTCATCTCATAATACCTACCTTCGCCGCGGTGGTGTCTTTCTGCCCATATGGATGGTGCTTATCATTACTGAATCCGGCTTCTGATCATGTCTTTCTGAGGGGGTCAGGGGTCGCAGGACTGAGGGTCAAAGTTGGAGTAGTACTTCAACTTAGTCCACGGAGCGAACTTCTCGTGAAAACCTCCGTGCTCACCTCCACCGATGTAGTATGTATGTCATGCCAGGTTCCGTCCGTCGTGGATGATGTTGCTAGCCAAATGAACCGGCCTGTCACATTCTGCTATGCCAATGGCACTTGGGAGTTGTTTCCAAATCGATAGACCCCCATGTCCAGTCTAGTGTATGTCGGTCCGAGTCGATGGTCCCCATCAAAACCAACAGTATCGAGGGCCAGCCAGACCTTAAGACCGGACGTCCTCCACATTCTCCGGGCAGGGGCCTATTAAATTGTCAATGTCATTACAACTGCTCAGTTGCATGCAGCCCGAGAGTGCCATAGGTGTTCCGCAAAGCACAGAAAATGGTGGTCGGAACCGCAGCGCAGGTTATCAGGGTCTCTGTGCGTGACACCAGGGCCATCAACTTCATTCACGGCATAATGACCGTAAGAACGCTGCGGCGAGCATATTCCAGCATGGGAGCTCTCCCGATACCACACGCCTTCATACACGCCTTTGGGTTATCAGCATCCGTGCCTCTGAATGCAAGATCATCAACTCCACTCAGCTCATGTCCAAGGCATGAAACCTTATGCTAGATACATGTCTTGGGAACAGGGAACGGTCATGAGGACGAACATGCGCGCGGCAATCCTTGGTTCCAATAATATGTTGTACATTGAGCAGTGTCGTGCAGATACGAAAACAGAGCAATACAGCATGCAGGAATCTGCTTGACATAGCAATGTGAAATACTTACAGCAACGAACCGAAGTCCTGGGTAGACCGTCATACTCTCTTTGATCGTGTGCGGGTGCCGCCGAAAGACTCTGGCGAGGCGGCGGAAGCCTTGTCTTTGTCTTTGTTCGCCCATGGAAGCAATTTGCCTTCAGCGGCCTGCTTGAGTCTGATGATCTCATGCACCCAGTCGCTCTCGTTTGCCTTCTCGAAGGCGATGTCATGCAGACGCCTTTCTTCTTCTTCAATTAGGAGCCCAACGGAGGAACGTTCCCCCGAACGCCACAGAAGCAGCTGCAGCACGGCCTCGTGCAACAGGATATTCTGACAGTACTGTATCGGAGGTATCATCAGTCGTCAAGCACTAATGAGCTTGTCGTAAGGGCTGACCGTTATTTGGTCGATAGTTGATAGATCCTTGAAGGATAGTTTTGGGCGTGGCCTTTGACTGCCATTATGGGCGGGTAAAATTTCCCGCTCCGAGATGTGCGGCTCTTCGTCAACGGGGACGCTCTAGACAAGGATGGTTTAATTATCGCCAAGCGGCCGCCCGGCCAGCTTACTTACCGCTGCGGCAGTTTTCTCAGGAGAGGACACGATTATATCGGAGCCACCTGATACCGGCGGCCGTGCGTTCTGCGACGATGCTTCAGTTGACGCATTGAATGCATTATGAAATATCCTCACACTAGGCGGAATCGTCGATGTTTCATCAGGAAGGGGCGACTAGTGACGAAGCATAAGGTTTAAGACCACACTAGCAATGCAGCCGCAATGGGGAGCATCGTACCTCGTGCGCATTGGCGTCGACATCGAGCGTTACGTGCTCGGATCCTGAGGGCGGCGGCACTGCGACCTCTGATACTGCGAGCTAACGCAATCCAGAACAGTAAGCCCATCGATGTTCGCCAAGACGCAAGAGCATCCAGAAATACCTCGGTCTCAGACTCCGCTGGTTGTCTCACAGGTGTCAAAGGTACCTCGATGGGATTGTCCACGGACGGAACCTGGGGAAGGATTGAAGCAATATGTCAGAACGGACAAATTCCGAATGGAAAGCGTCGGAGGGCAGCAGGGGCCTCACCTGACTGGCATTTACACAGGCGCTGCCTCCCGCAGTCTCCGGGACTTTGTGCGGGTCACCATCCGGGATACCCAATGCATGCCTCTTCTCCCACTTGGCGGCCCATCGCCGCACCAAGCGCAGCAGCTCCTCTACCTCGTCTTGCTTGAGCGAACCTCTCGTGTAGCCCGATTCGCATACTGCACGTCTCGCAGCGGCCCCACGCATGAACTGATCGTGCCGCTCGTTGGCGGTTCATACCGACCCTCGATGACGGCCGCTAGCACCGGTTTGATGTACTCGAACTGCTCTGCGAGCGAAGTGTCTTCAAAGTCCTCCAACGGAGGCATGGGAGGCTCGGGGGTGAGTGGACGCAGGGCGTCCTCGTCGGAGATCTCAATGTCGGACGTGTCATTGCGCAGCGGGGCAGCTACGTCGTCGCGCTCCTCTTCCAGCCCATAGTTGAACATATCGCGTCCTAGCTACCGATGATGCTTACCGTCAAAGATATAGAGCATCTAGGGAAGAATCATGGCCCACCTTACAGCTCTTGAACTGCTTGTGTTCCACTGTGAAGAACCAATCCGAATCAATGTTTTTGATCATACCGTCGTAGAATTCTGCTTTGTAGCGAGGTCGCTGCTTAGGGTTCGTTGGTGGGATATACTCAAGCAACTTCGCAGGCCAATAGTCTGTAAAGGGTTTCTTCTCCTTGGCAAGAACGAGCTCGCCGGGTAACTCCAGGGATGGGTCGCAAGGAGGCGGTCGCCAGGGCTTCTCTTGTAGCATGGGCAAGTCGTCGTCATCAGAGAGGATCATCTCCACGGCTTTACTGCCTCCTGCCGATGGTGCTTTCACGGAGAAAGACGCGTCTCTGCTGAAATGGCTCGACAGCAACATTGGTAGCCCTTCATTGGCGTCTTCGTCCTCTTGCAGCATGAGATCCCGAGCCTCTCTCCATCGTGTGTCGACACCCAGCTTCCTCCGCTTCCGTGGCGGTACGACGGCCGTGTCACCCCGTTCTGCTGCCCTGTAACTTCGCTCAGTGAAGCGAATCCTTCCGCGCGACGCCATCGGCAGGATGTTCGACGCAGACGGCGAAGACACCGTCAACTCTTTTATCCCGGCGGCATCATCACTGGAGAGACGGGGTCCGTCGCCAAACAAGGAGATTTTGACCGGATCGCGAGGGTGTGTGACCTATGAAAATGCCAGATGAGGCTTTTGCGAAACGATGACTTGAAGAACAGCACCGGAAGCACCTTGGCCGGCCACCAGTATGTATCACCATCAGATACGTTGCCGCCTTCATCTACAACATCTCCCGACCCATCCACCTTGACCCACGCTAGTGTCCCGAGCTTGCCCAGACTCCATGCCTCATCGTCTACACTACTATCGCCCAGAGTAGCGACAGAGTCGGTACGGCGAAGGCCGCCCACAGACTTTCCAACTTGAGACGACGTGAGCGACGTCAGTGTGCTGGCAGAACGCGCACGCGCCGGGGGAGCCATGATAGAGGGCCCAGGACTCCGAGACGAGAGAGATGTGAGGTCGCTCTCGTCAAGGTCAGACAAGGAGGAGGTGGACGATATTGACATTGCCCGGTCACGTTTTGCGGGGTTGTTGTTACTCGAGGCGGCGGCGTTCGATTTCCCTTTCCTGGATACGGTACCCGACGGCTTTTTCGCGGATAGGATGCGCCCCCTTGCCTTCCCACTGGACGCCTTCCTGAGCAGAGGACTCTGCGGCTCTATCACCTCGTCATCTTCGCCTTCATCGTCAGACAGTAGGATAGGGCTCTCCGCACTACTACCACCCCTGCTCGGCTTCTCCGCAGACATAGAAGCGAGGGCACTGAGGCTCGACCTCATGCGTTTCCCGACGTTCCTCTCCTTGCCTGGTGACCCGTCTGCATCAGATGACTTCGTTGGGGATGAATAACCCCGCCTTTTCCGACCGTACGTGACCTTCACCGGCGTCCTGGGTTTGGAAGGCTCCCCGAATTCCAACGCCCGCCGGTCATCCGATGGGGGCGGTGAGCTCTCCAGCTGCGCAGCCGCTAGCTTCGAGGCCTTTTGAGCGGCAGCTCGCGGCGGCATCGCGGGGAACGGAGAATCGTCCCCGGCCCCTCCGTTGGTCTGTCGACTGTCGTGTCAATGATCGCCGTGAGTGATCGTGCGACCAAGACCCTAGTATGGCTTCTCTGGCGTTAGCGCGGATATAGCGACGCAGGCAAGATACCGAGTACAGACGTGGCGGTAGGAAAACGAAAGCGCGCAGCGGTGCAGAGACAGCAGGAGACAGCGAGGACTGATGAACGGACACGCCGTCTCAGTGACAGGACGGAAGGCGCGCGACAGACGCTCACAGCCCCAGACGCGCCTGTGCGCGACGCGTGCCGTCACACAGAGTCACATCACGCCCGCTGTTGTAAATATGGTAGACATGTCGATCAACTCCACCTCCGTAACGTTAAAGTTCACAAGAAGCTCGTCTGTGTCCCCGGATCAGTCGTCGAACACTGCATATTAAATTCGTCGCTCCGCTCAGCGCTCACATGTCGGATGTGAACGAATCAATGGCCCTGGTCACAACGCGCGGTTCACAACTTCACAACGCGGCTTGTTGTAGGCAACGAATAGCATGCCGTGATTCGCGCGATACAATCCATATCCGAAGGCGGGTTATATCAACACTGTACACATTGGTCTCCCTACACCTTAACAACACGACCAGCAGAGACAACACTAAAACCCAGGAAAACAGAGAGAAATGTCCATGCCCGACTTCATCTGCCTCAGGCTAAGCCAATACAACAAGGGCACCAGCCACTCCAGCGACAACGACAGTCAAAAGACTGAAGACATGGATGCTACCGGCGCCGCTGGTAGTGCTAGTTGTCTTCGCGTTTGCAGAATCGGAAGATGAACCAGACGCCGAACCGCTGGAAGCGGGGACCTTGGACATCCCGCTTGTCGAAGCAGTGGGCGCAGGTGTGATCCCAGCTGCCTGGGAGCTACCTGTCGTAGCGGGGAAACCATCGTCCGAGCTGTCGGTCGGGAAGGTGCCGAAGTCGGGGGTCCATGTGGCGAAATCGCCCGTGGGCACAGGGGACGTCGAGATGGCGGCAGCACCGGTTGCGGCAGCTCCGCCTTGCACGGCGAAGGGGTCGACGGTCTCAGTGGTGGTGTCCGTCATCGTGAGGCCACTGCTACCCATTTCGATGACAACGTCTTCACAGACAGCGACTCCGTCCTGGATGTTGCAGTTTTCATACAAGCGATGCCCTCCTCTTCGTCGATGTAGGTCACGGCAGCGGTGCTTGGGCCGACCACGAGCGTGGCTGGGCAGAAGAAAGTGAGTACGGGGGTGTTTCATGTCAAAGTGCTGTGTCCATACCAGGTCCTTCGAACCCATGATCATCCATACCAGCGCTGGAAACACCAGGAGCAATGACGTAGGAAGTCACGCCATTCTGCGAACCTAACAAATTGGCAGTCACAGGCTGGGGGTCGAAACCCGGGATATACAGCGAGGTGAGTGCCGACGCATCTATGAACGATGCAACAAATCGCTGGTGAGCCAAGCGGTGAAAACACGAAGACAGTCTAGACTTACAGTGCGCGTAGATGACAGCAGAAGGACAAGTGTGAAGGACAGCATTTTCAAGGAATGGCGTGTAGAAAGATGAAGGGATTGGGACGACGCGTATGTGCGGGGGGTCAGCGAGAGGATACACAAGGCTGGGTAGCATATCTCAGCCGCTCACTTATACAAGCCCGGCCTCGGTGCCTGGCTCGCGCATGCAGATCGGTGGTCCATCGTGTCTCTTGGAAAAGCTCGGAGCCGCGATCCTTGGCGGCTGGCCAGAACATATTTGATGGCGACTCGAGTCAGCACGGAGTCGCACTGTGAGAGCGATCTTCCCAGAAATGCCGCATGGCCTCATGCACCGCAGATGTGGGCTGCAGTGGTTTGGCAGCCATGAGTAGCACTGCACGTTCGACTCGAGGTGAATCGGCATCGACTTGACCGGCAGACTTGGCAGCGCTGGGTGGCAACCAGGCACCGCGAGGACGACCACACCTACCATATTGGTACGATCGGTGCAAAACCTAAAATGTGGAAATACCGACGCCGGCGGGCGCCACACGTCTCGGGCCCTGGCGACGATCGTCGGGTCGGCTTCTGCTGGCCGTGTGGGGAGTTCGGCCTCGATCAGCAGTTATCCGCTTCGACGTGCCTTGCGTACACAGTTTCCTTTTCTCGGCTAGCACTGGCGCGGCAAGACAAGGGTGTCTTTACGGGCGCATTCAAGGCGCATGGTCTGTGATGTAACACGCGCTACGCACGGTCGTTGGCGTTGCTGTGCGAGTCGATTACCAAGAAGGAAACGTGGACTTGTCAGAGGAGCACGATGCGCGATATGCGGACCAGCTGATTTATTGATGTGGCGGGAATCATATACGGGTACCGTACCTGTGAATGCAGCAGGGCTGCCCATCCGCGTTGAGCCAAGAACTAATGCGCACAACAACAGTCACAAGATATATCAGACGAGCCAAACGCCGCATCTATCCTCAAGCAACCACGACGAAAGCACTAACCAACCCCGCAATGCTCAAGGTGATGCGGCCGGAAGTGCGAAGGCTCAGGCTCAGCGCGCCGCTGGTGTTTCCGGTCGGGGTGGCAGTCGTCGATGCGGATGTCTTCGAGACGGCGTTGGAAGACGACTCGGAGCCGGAGGGCGCCGAGCTACTGGCATCACCAGGGAGACCGTGTACGCCGAAGGGGGCCCGGTCCAAGTCGCGAAATCACCGGTTGGGACGGGCGAGGTCTGTATGGCGTTGCTGCCTGTAGCGGGGCCGCCCCCTTGCACAGCGAACGATTCGATGGGCAGTGTTCCCGTCGCTGTTGTGGTGTACCCGTCGGCGCCCATCGCAATGACAACCTCCTCGCATACCGTCTCTCCGTCGGACAACTGACAGCTCTCGTACGCGGCAATCCCGATGTTTTCGTCGATGTACGTGAGTGCAGCGGTGCTCGCGCCCAGGACAAGCGTGGCTGGTGGTTTTTTACTGTTAGCACAGAATGCGGAGTCTAAGGCTGTGTTATGTCATACCAGGACCAAACAATTCGCTGTCGTCCGTGTCCATGCCAGCGCTGGACGCGCCTGGGGCGATGACATATGATGTCAAGCCACCCTGGCTACCCAGGAGGTTGACGGTCACGGGCTGAGGGTCAAAGCCAGGGATGAACATCGTCGTCAGAGCGGACACATCTAGACAAAAGCAGCGTCAGTCAGATTGATCGTGTCATTGGTGCGTATCAAATATTCACGGCGTGCATAAATAATGGCAGATAGCACTGCGACGAACGGTAGCATAATGAAGGAATGGGAGGAAAAAAGAATGTTGATGCGGAAGCGATGGCGGCAAACCTGAGGGTTGCGGGCAGATCACTAGCAAGATGGAAAAGACAACCGTGGACAAGCTCAGTTATATGAAGAATTCGGTACCTTTGCTCACGCGCTCCGCTGATTCCTGAAGGCCTCGGCCTCGATCACACATCATCTCTGCTTGGCACTTGGATCCGGATTTTGGAATCATCGCATGTATCTGTATCTGTTGTTCGCGAGGAGTGACAGCCTGAGAACGCAACAACCATGCCCGGAACGGGTGGTCTTCGCCACTCTTCGCTGAAATGTAATATTAGCTCTCTCAGTCAGGGGGGTAACGGGGACCTGGCGCTGATGGAATCCCTCATGAGATAGCGAGTGGAACACAAACATAAGCAGACGTACAGAGCGCAAGGAGATATCACAGAGAGGCAGTAGTACACTTGACATGACAGGAGTGTGATGCGTGGCACGCGGCCTCGACTCGGATGCGTCAGTGACCACGGGCAGTGTGACAGAAATACAGTCACCCAAGAGTGTGACGGTACCCAGTCGCATCACATTGCGCTCTCCGTTATTCCAACCGCTTTATACTGCGACCATGATGCAATAGACAGGTGTACAGCAGCGATGAGCACATGCACGATTAAACGACTAGGGTGAAAACACTGGCCATCCCTACAATGAACACCATTGAAAGACCAGACGTGCGAAGGTCAACAGCGCCGCTGGTGTTCCCAGTCGGGGAGGCGGTGCTAGACGACGACCCGGACGTCCTGGAGGCGCTGAAGACGCAGAACCAGTGGGCGACCAGGGGCTGAACCGCCGAGGGTCGAGTAGGCCGATGTCCACAAAGGGGGCTGGGTCCAAGTCGCAAAATTACCAGTTGGCACCGGAGACGTTTGGATGGCGTCGCTTCCCGAGGCAGCTCCGCCGCCTTGCACGGCGAAGGACTCGATGGGCTGGGTCTCCGTTGCCGTCGAGGTGAAACCATCGGAGCCCATCTGGATGATGACGTCCTCACAAACCGCTTGTCCGTCGACAAGCTGACAGTTCTCGTAGAGGGCCGCACCGACGCTTTCGTCGATATACGTGACTGCGGCGGTGCTTGCACCGAGAACGAGTGTAGCTAGTAAAAGAATTGCTTGTCAGCTCGACCGAACATCGAGCTTGGTATCCTACCTGGTCCGAAAAGCCATCTTCATCGTCCAAGCCAACGGTGCTCATGCCCGGAGCAACGACATAGGACGTCAAGCCGCCTTGGGTACCCAGGAGATTCGCAGTCACGGGCTGAGGGTCGAAGCCAGGGATGAAAAGCGTCGTCACTTGACAAGACGCGTCTAACGAATCAATGTCATCGTGGGTGAGCCGAAGCCTACCCATGTCAACATATATAAGTAGCAAGACTCACGGCGCACGTAGACAATGGCGGATAGCACCACGGCGAATGGTAGCATCATCTTCAACGAATGACAGGAGTAAGGATTGTCGTGGAGAGCGCGATGGCGGCAAACCTGAAGGTTGCGGGCGGATCACTGGGAGAAACTAGATCAGCGAGGGCTTGTGTCTTATGCAGATCTGGAGTTCGGTACCTGTGCGTGTGGACGTCAATCGGGACCGAGCCTCTGATTGAAAGAGACCTCTGATGGATCCGAGTCATTCGCCAATGCAGAGCAAACTAGGCTCAGGATGAGCACTGTTCAACTTGTGAATTTGAGCACCTGCTGAGTACTCAGGCTCGTGCTAGTTTGGTGCTAATGCACATTTTCTCAACGCCTGTACATCAGATTAATGATGATAGACTCCCAACGAGGACTGAAGTACTGACCACGAGTCGAGGGGCTTCCCAAACGTTTGACGGTACGGTGCGGACTCGTGGTGGCTGTCCTGAACAAGACCACAACACCTTCCATATGCAGCATGGCCGAAGGTGTGGAGCGCCGGGCAGTCCTTGGCACGGCCGCTTAGGCCGAGGGCCGTCAAGACACTGAGACCTACAATCGGTATTATTGGCTTGTATTTCTATGCGTCGGACTCAAAACTAGTCGTACAGTAGAAAGTCACTTCCACACTACCCAATGATTATTACACGAGAAGATAAAAGACAAGACAAGACAATAGTAAGCCAGCACGAAGCCGACGTGACACATGGTCCACGCGAATACTTAGGTGCGAGCGGCAGGGAGGAAGGCAACGATGGCAGGAACGTGATGCGCAGGAACTCGGAGGCAGTAGATCCGTGTCATGGGAGTGATCTGCCTTGCGTGTCAGATTGATGTAGTCGAGCCTGGGGAACGCTGTACCCGTTGTCTGTTTTGTCCGGCAAGTAGTCGCGACTGCCATCAGCGGAGGGCAATGGCGAGTTCCACATGCGAGGCGTGATGAGCCCGCTCCCGCCTGCTCCGTACACGAAGCCATTGCTCAGGCCTTCCATCCCATTGGAGGAACCTTAATTAAGGCTACTGATTAGCTACTCCATGTGAATCGTCTTTGCGGAACAAGACGCACCTGGAACGAGCATACTATCCCAGAAGTCCGCGCTCAAGATGCTGTCCATCGACATCATGCTCATGTCTGGCAACGACGGGTTCGGTGCCATCGTTGGCGGGAATGTCGACATGTCGGCTACGGGGCCCATCTCTCCGTTGCTAAAGAACCCAGAGAATGGGTCTGGAGCAGGCGGCGGCGCCCCGTGTCCTTCCTGCTGCGGCATGTCCACGTCTCGAGACGCAGACTCGTCGGTCGCCGTCGACATATTGTCCTCGTGTGCCTCCGCAAGTTGCGATGTGGACGCACCGTTTGCGGTTGTGCTTGGGAGGGCTTCAGCACCGGTGCGAGCTGAGATCAGAGCACGGAGGAACACGCTGTAGAGAGCGGGAGTATGCAGAGTTGCGACGGAGACCCTCTCGAAGGCGTCAGCAACGCCTTTGATTAAAGTGATGATCTTCTGCTCGTGGTCGAAGAAAGACTTGAACTCGGGACGCAAGAGCTGCGCACACTTCAGTGACCTCTTCCGCACCGGACTTTCGACCAGACTCACCTTCAACAAGCTGAGCACAGCATACGACCCCTGAACGAACAGACAATCCGGCGCATACTTCAAGTATCCAAGACTCTCGAACTCGTCGCAGATGACCTTCGCACACTCGACCGCACTGGAGTGGCACCGGGCAAAGAAATGCCCAATGTCCACCACGGAGCGCTGCAGGGCGTTTTGCAGCCCGAAGGAGTTCATCGTGAGCATCGCGTAGTGGAAGTAAAATTTGCAGGACAGCTGCGAGTACTTCCGCGACCACTCGGTCTTCTCCCCCTGGTCGATTTTCCGAATGCGTAGCCACTCGTGTTGCCACGCAAGAAGCTGCGTCTCCATCGTTTTAATGACTAAGAGGTAGTCGCAGTCGTCTTGCAGGCCGGATGATGAACTGGTCCCAGAATAGAGGAGGTCCAGGCTTCGAGTGAGTATCCGTTGGAGATCCTGGCGTGATGTTGGATCAGAGTGCACTTTCCAGCGAAACGTCCACTTACCACCATTGCTGCCGTGTGCGCGTCTGAAGCCATGGCTAGCGGTGACTGCGACCACTCCAAGGCATTGCGTATGATGAAACTGCATGTGTGATCAGTTCTATCTGTGTAAGATTGCGGATGCTATCCACACTTACTCTTCCTTGATTGTGTGAGGCTTTCCCATCTGCGCGCTGAAGCTGCGATCGAGGATGAAACAAACTATCCAGGTCCGTTGTCGGTTATGTATCTCTCGTTCACGTGCACGAGTTTCGTCCGCGAGGTCGCTGGGTAGATTTGTCGGCCGATGCATGTTGAGATCGATCGCCAGTCTTCATGCGACAGACGAATGAGACGCGGATGACACTAGAGCCGATGAAATCCGATACATACCTGATACCCATGCCAAGCAACATCCACGTCCGGTCCTGCTCATATCGCTCAACAGGCCCACAGCCCCACAGGGTATTGAGCAGGTACGCTTGGACAATCTCCACGGACTTGTATCCCCGCGCCGGCACGTTGAACGCGAGCTTCTTCGCCAGCTCAGTCAGCCGAGGATAAAGCTCTGGGCGGGCATCGTAGAACCTGGCGGCGACGGCACAAACTGGGTACATGCCAAGGTACTTAGGACAGCGTCACGTGAAAGAATAATGAAGGCTCACTGGTGGTGAGCAGAAAGGGCGACCGTGAACACACCAGCGCTGGGGTGTGGTAGTCAGGGTCGAGCAATGCACAGTGAACCTGGAAACAAGACTGAGTCGGAAAGCCTGGCAGGAATTAGATCGTGCGACTCTTACGTTCATGGAATCAAAATATCTTCGGAAGCACATGTCGTGTGAGACAACCGCAGCAACGGAAATAGACGTGATCACTCACATTTTGAACAGAGCAATGACCTCGTCAGTACTGACAAAGGTCAACATCTCCGGTTGTATCTGCCGCTCGATGTACAGCCGCCTCAACGGCAGTATGCTCATTGGCCCTGCTTCCCGTTAAGCCACCACCTACAGACACCCACAACCACAAAAGGGAATGACGCACCAGGTTTGAAATACAGATCGCTCGCCACGCCCATCCTGTTGGGTTCCTGCCTCTGTGCAAGCATCGCTGTACTCGCCAGGTCGCTCTTCGCCCCAGCCTGCGCGCGTCGGTTCGCTAGACTGGCTTCCGCCAACAAGCCAAGAGGGTTCAGGTTATCATCTGGGAGCGAGGGAAGCTTCGGTGAGGGAGGCGGCTGGTCTGATGATCGTCTTTGACTTTGGTGCACAGGGACGCTTTCAGGTCTAGGCGACTGTGGAGGCGAAGCCAGGAGTGGATGCGTCTCGCCCGAGGGTGGTGGCTGCCCCGAGGGCGAGGGCGAACGCGAGGGACCATCAGAGGGCGGTGCACCGAGCGAGCGGAATATGGTATCAAGAGTGCGCTCCATCTTACGCAACGAGCGCGTGAGGATCTCATGTTTTCTGTCGCGCGGAGTTAAGATGAGTACACGGACGGGGAAGAAGGGACCATACTTCGTCGAACGCTTCCCACGATTTGACTCCTCAAACACGCATTCATGGTTGCCCGCCTGACAACGCTTGCACGGTGGGCCATTTTCCGCGCCGACACACTTCATCTTGAGCCGGCGGCATACCATGCAGGCTCTGATCACGCAGGTGAGCACGAGAGAAGGGACAAGCATGCCACCACGCACCGTGATCCACGCGTCGACTTCTGTTTAGGGGCGTCATCACCCTTCTCCGCGCCCGGACTTTGAGCTTCGTCGCCGTCATCGTCTTTGCGAGACTTCTTCCGCACATCGCCGGACTGCGTACGAGTGGGTGAGACTGGTCGCTTGCCGTTGGCGTTCATGCTTGACGACCCCGGGGTCTGTCGATGTTCTGTGGGAGGCGTCGCAATGGTTTCCGACGCCTGAGAAGAGGGCGACGAGAGGTTCGTCGGGACGTTCAGCTGCGGCGGATGCAGGGGTCGGGGCTGGTACTGTGTGTTGGGATAGTATTGTGAGCCATACATCGAGAGCGACGGATCAATCGGAACAGATGAAGAGGAGGGCGAGGGTCCCGGCTGCGCCTGTTGTTCCCGTCCGCGCTGGGGTAGGGACGATGTGGATGCATAGGAGGTCGACTGGGGCCTTTGTGAAGAGGGAGGGTAGTATCCGGGATAGTTAGAAGACGCTGACATTGTTATAATGGCTCGCGAAGTGGGATCCGCGCTGGTCGCCTGTTTTCACCCGTGTAAGCTCGATGGTCGCGCCCGAGCCAGTGCGCACAACACGCAGCCCAGATCGACTCTTCCGAATCCAGCTACCGCACGATCGAAAGTCCCGGAATGACTGAACAGCGTCGCTGTGGAGGGCTAATGACAGTCAAAGAGCACCAGCGTTGCTCGGCGCGTTGCAGCGGCCCACTGCAGAGACTGAACCAGGTACAGATCGAGATGCGGTGGGTAGAATCGACGAAAACTGCCGTTCGGCCGACGCGACTCGGGGGGCTGGGCGGCGATCACGACAGCGACAGCGCGCCGCTGGTGAGACTGAACGGCGTTGAGGAGTGAACGGGAAGGAAAACGGGAAGAGGCGGTCGTAGGCGGAGGGACGGACGTGCTATGAAGGGCGTTCGCAGGAGAGTTGTTCATAGACGCTACTCCATTGGCCGACTCCGGGCGTCTCGGAGTCGACGCCCATAGGCGCCCATATCCCCGCCTGCTTGATATGGCAATCTCGGCCTGGCCATGCTCGTTCACTGAGCTCGACGCGTGACGATCGTTGTCTACCACAGGCCACCACAGGCCCCTCGCCCTATAGACCTGTGGGTCCCTAGGACGTCTTCTTAAGTGCCGCCATTCCATCATGGCTCAAAGATCCTACCATACCCTAGACATTCATCAAACCATCCGCGACAATGACGACAGCTCCGTATGCCCACGGCAGCTACCCCGACCCTCTCCGATTCACCTTCACAGCTAAGTTCAGTAGCCGACATACTCAAACACCCCACACTTTTAGAGTACTTCATTGAAGCCGAGATCAATACCACGCGTGCACCACTGCGAATCATTATCGCAACTCTTGTTGCTGGGATTGTGCGGAAGTCGTGCGGAAACTGCTTAAGTCGATTACGGGGTGTCCGTGAATAAAAACACGGAGTCAGGATCCTGTTCTGTCATATCAATGGCTGTTCAAAGCCGATGAAATATAGCTCAATTAGTTGCATATGAGCGTGTCGGGATCGGCGATGAAAGGACAGTATTTCGCTGAGTCGGCGATCGCGAGTGGTAGTAGTGTTCGGTGCAGGTTCGGTGTATGTGACGGGTAGACGCAACGTGTGGTTGGCCCAGGGCAACACGAAATCCATGGTCACGACACACCCACAACGTGTTCGCTGTTGATTGTGCAGAAACAAAGGCTGGGCGCATCGAACTGAAGGGGACGGCTCTGCGGAGGGCTCGACCGCGTGTGGCCAGGGATTTGAAGTCCGCCGCGGGGAGCCGAGCGCACGTCGCGTCTGTTGCGTCTGGCCTGACGCGCTTCCAACATCGTCGTCGCCCTCAACCAGGCGCGCTCTTCTTCTTGCTACCACCATGTCCTCCCACCATCGGCCATTCTTACAACTAGCACCGTCGGTGCAGACCACAAAGTATGTTCACGCCCTCTACATACGGTTTGACATCCTTTTGACTGCCACACAGGGTTGTGACGACCACTACGACCACAACTACCTACGCGCCCATTCCGCTCCCTCCCCTCCCGCACCTTCGTCTCCCAAGGATCCGAAGACTTACCCACTTCTCAATGCCCATCTGCCAAAGTCCCTACGGGAGTTCCGCCTCGAGTTTCCTGGTGGAGGCAAGGCCACGTTCCGCGATGGTGAAGTCGGCGAGCAAGAGATGCCCGAGGAAGACGAGGTCGTCGGTGGCGCGCATTGGAGGTTGTTGCGTCGGGATGAAGACGGCGAAGCCGCCAAGGAGGTAGGCCTTGTCGAAGCTATCGAACGCTATGGCAGGAAGAGGTCATACAGCACTGAGGACATGATGGAGGGTATCGAAACGATCTCCGGCGTCGTGACCAACACTCCGCCACGAAAGAGGGCGAAGCCTGCACCATTACAACATATTTCGCCGATCAATGCAGCCGCTCCCCATCCCCTCTTCCTTCACCTCACGGTTCACCGCCACCAGAGAGTATCTGGCCATCCGCCCCGCCCAGTGGGCACTCCTCACCTCAGCCACCCCAAGCGCCTGTACAGCCCGACCTGTCGCTGACGACCCTCTTGACGCTTCCCGCCTTGCTCTGTCACTACTCGACCCTTCCTCCGCAACTTCAGTCTCATGTATTGCTCACCTTCCTCCGCCACTCTCCATTGTCGGTCCTGCGAACACTACATTCTATCTTGACACCTACATTGGCGCGCGACTTCCTCACCATCCTCCCGCCAGAATTGGTTTCGCATGTCCTGAGTTACCTGAGTTTCTCCGATCTCGCTCGCGCCTCCCGTGTATCAAAGGCCTGGCGTGCCATCATCGACTCCGACCCCGTCCTCTGGCGAGACTTGCTCCGCAGCACGAAGATATGGTTTGGGCGTGGCTCCGAGATCGCGTTCGCGGACGCCATCTTCGCTCGGAGACGACGTCAGGGGCTACCTGCGCCTGGCGCACTGCCTCTACCCCACCCATACAAGATTCTATTCAAGTCGCGGCATCTTACTCGGACGCGCTGGGTGCAGAACCAGAACCCGAAGCGTATCACATTCCCTGCGCATGGGCGTTCGGTGGTGACATGTCTGATCTTCTCTCATGGACGCATCATCTCCGCCTCGGATGATCACTCGATTCACGTCTACTCGCCCGCCACGGGGGAACTTCTGCGTTCGCTAGACGGTCATGAAGGCGGCGTATGGGCGCTGGCGGCAACGAAGAACACTCTCGTCAGTGGGTCGACCGACCGGACTGTACGTATCTGGAATCTGGAGACGGGCGCTGTACGCATGTGTTTGGCGGACATACGAGTACAGTGCGATGTCTAGCGATAGTCAAGCCGGAGATGATCGACGTCGAGAACGAGGGAGGTGTCATCACGCGAGAGAAGTGGCCAAAGCGTCCCCTTATCGTGACCGGTAGTAGGGATCATTCGCTCCGCGTGTGGACATTACCCAAGCCTGGAGATGACGAGTACCGCTGCTATGGAGCGGACGACAACGAGGTTGACCCATCTGAAGTGAGTGTCTAGTTTAGGCTTCGTGCCGCTGAGTTTGACGGGGACACGATGCAGGAGGACGTGGAAGATAACCCATACCACAAACTGCATCTTGAAGGACACGACCATGCCGTTCGTGCGCTTGCAGCACGCGGTCGGACGCTAGTTTCCGGTAGCTACGATTGCACTGTCCGAATATGGGATATCATCACGGGCACCTGTAAGTGGGTCCTCGTTGGCCATACGCAGAAAGGTGAGGCTTTGCGGACTGTGTGCCATCGGTCATTCTAATCAAATGTTCAGTGTACAGCGTGGTACTAGATATTCATCGCAACCTTGCGTGCTCGGGTTCTATGGATGGCACCGTGCGCGTATGGAATCTCCAGAACGGCCAATGTCAACACACGCTGACGGGACACACCTCCCTCGTCGGTCTGCTGGGCCTATCTCCATCCTACCTCGTCTCTGCTGCCGCAGACTCGACATTGCGTGTATGGAACCCGGACACTGGCGAACATCATCACACCCTCGCGGCTCACAACGGTGCTATCACGTGCTTCCAGCACGACGAGTTCAAGGTGCTCAGCGGAAGCGATGGCACACTCAAGATGTGGGATATCCGGGACGGCTCGCAAGTGCGCGATCTGCTTACAGGCATCGTTGGCGTCTGGCAAGTCGTCTTCGAAGGGCGGTGGTGTGTGGCTGCGAGCAACCGGATGGAGTCGACCGTCTTGGACGTGTGGACTTCGCGAACGAAGAGGGAGACGAGGAGTGGGTGGGCGAGCCGCCTGGTGGGTTGTATGATGAGGACAGTGAGGAGGAGGAAGAGGACGAACAAGCAGAAGTGGACGCCATGGATCAGGATCTCGATGGTAAGATTGGCCTTCGAGTGCGATGCATAGATCATTGAACACAACATGATGCAGAGGAAGAGGACGTTATGGCGACTTGGATGCACACGCCAACGGAAGTGGAGGGTCCGGGGCCGTCTAGCCGTGCGTCAGTGATGTCGGCATCGCCATTCGAGGATGATGATCCTGCCGCGCCAGCCGCAAGACTGGCTGCCCCATTGCTCGTCGGTGGTAGTGGTGCGGGCCCGTCGACTATAGCTCGTCTACCACCGTCAAACGAAGAGACACCAACACGACCGCGGATTCGAAACATGGGGCATCGCAGACGATGACCTACTCTCACGCACACACACATACCTCCATGACGATACCGCTCCTCGAACGTCTTTCATATACTCACTTAGTCGTGTTCCTCGCATTACGGTCTCTTCAGTTATATCTTGTGCATATTGTCGGGCTCTGTCACGATGTTTTCTGTGATATTAGTGTCAGTACTGGTGGGACGTCTTCCGTTAGATGTTCGAGTCATTGTACGGATTAGGATGTCATACGTAGTTGCAACCTGCCAAGGGTATGACCATGACAGCTTTTGTTGTGGACGCAAGTCTCGTTTGAGAATGTGCCCGGTCAAGGTGGGACTCATGAGTAGTCCATGGTATGTAGAATGAACGTGAGTAGACTGAAGAAACACCGTCTATACAGTGGGCTCTATCCATGCTTGTAGGACAAGCTTTATATCGCCATTCTTCTCGATCAATAGCTTCTCTGCCTGACTTCGAGTGATCTCCAACTCATGCACCTATGACTCGATGCGGTGAGACTTGTAACCTGCGTGTGCCGTTCGCGGTAGGGGCTTACCAGCAGATCGACGTCTTCCCGCTTGGACGTCGTGCTTTCCTTGGGCTTCGTTGCGGGCTTGTCTAGAAACCCATTCCGAAATGCTTCCTCCATCTTGCCTTTCGAGTAAGCGTGCCCATCTGCGAACTGGCATTTTCCAATCGAGCGTTACATTGAGTACTAAGAGGAAGGTAACACACATTGACAATAACCTCTGGTTCGGGACGACCGTTACTCCTCGACAACACGGACATTGTACAAGCTGTCTGAGTCTGGGTGCTTTGGGATGTCCGCGGCGTACGCAATTCTGGTAGCGGACGAGTTTGCTTTTGGCTTGCTTGACTGCTTGAAGTGCTTCAGTTACAGACTCGATCGAGGGCAGAGCGTGGGGTATCACGTGATATTTGCATGGCGCGCGAACTCGTAAGCAGAGGTGCGCGAACACGGTCCCGCCACCCACAACTTGACTCAAACCACCTCTGTACTTTCTGCTTACACCGCCAAATCTCTCTCCTTTTCGCTATGGATTCGTTTGATAATCTTCAGTATGAATCTGCCTCGTCATACGGCGGCGGCATTGGCATCGTGGACGACACTTCGTCCATATACACCGCCAATACCAACAGCCAAAGTCAGGTATCGGTAGACCTGGAAAGCTTGTCTCTCACGGACGACCGGTCTTATGCACCTTCAAATGGGCATCCAAACCATGTACTACACACTGGAGTGGTGCGGACGGACGAGGATTTGATGCGGTTTTGGACGATTTGAAAGACGAGGGTCAGGTCGATTTACCGCCGCACGCCTGCAGGTGAGTGAAATATGTACACGCGTCTATATGCTTGTTCTAACGCTTGTATTCGTAGTTACTGCGGGATACATTCGCCGGCCTCCGTCGTCAAATGCCTCGTTTGTTCAAAGTGGTTCTGTAACTCGCGCGGAAATACTTCAGCCTCGCATATTGTCAATCACCTTGTCCGCGCGAAGCATAAGGAGGTCATTCTCCATGCGGAAAGCCCCCTTGGAGAAACTGTTCCCGAATGCTACAATTGCGGTAGCAAGAATGTATTCATGCTTGGCTTCATCCCCGCTAAAAGCGATACCGTCGTCGTGTTGCTGTGTCGGTACGTATCATCTCGTGTGACTACCGTCATTTATTGATATTGCCTTGTCAGCCAACCTTGCGCAGCCATAAACAAGGACATATCGTGGAATGCAGCTCTCTGGGCACCACTCATTGACGATCGCTCCTTCCTGTCTTGGCTCGTAAAGCCCCCGAGCGAGACCGAGCAGCTCAGGTCTCGTCAAATTTCTTTCCAGCAGATCAATCGCCTCGAAGACCTGTGGCGCGAGAATGCGAGTGCGACACTTGAAGATCTCGAGAAGCCCGGGGTAGATGATGAACCCCAGCCCATCCTTCTACGGTACGAAGACGCATATCAGTATCAGAACATATTCGGCCCTTTGGTGAAGATCGAGGCAGACTATGACAAACGTCTCAAAGAGTCCCAGACCCAGACGGACATCTCTGTTCGCTGGGACCTCGGTCTCAACCAGAAACGTGTGGCGTGGTTCTGTCTGCCAAAGCTAGAGAGTGGCGAAGTGCGATTGGCGGTTGGTGACGAGCTCCGACTCAGGTACGCCGGTCAACTTCACAAGCCTTGGGAAGGCGACGGGCATGTCATCAAGATCCCGAACAGTGAGTTTGGTTGTGATCCACTTGTCACTCATTCTAACACTTCCCAGATGTCTCAGACGAGATTGGGTTAGAGCTTCGCAGGTCCGAGGGCGTACCTCTGGACGTGACACACAATTTCACTGCGGACTTCGTCTGGAAATCAACGAGTTTCGACAGGATGCAACTAGCCATGAAGACATTTGCTGTAGACGAGAAGAGCGTCAGCGGATACATCGTGAGCGTTTCACCCCGCTTACAGTTGGTATGCCGTATATTGACGCAGACATAGTATCACAAACTACTCGGACACGAATTGGAACCTCAAGTACTCCGCACTCAGATGCCGAAGCGCTTCTCGGCGCCAGGTCTTCCGGAACTCAACCACTCGCAGATGTATGCCGTCAAGAGCGTCCTGCAGAAGCCCATCAGTTTGATTCAGGGTCCCCGGGCACGGGCAAGACGGTCACCTCGGCCTCCATCGTATATCATCTTGCCAAGATGAATCCCGGCCAAGTCCTCGTCTGCGCACCCTCAAACGTCGCAGTCGACCAGCTGACCGAGAAGATTCACGCCACTGGCCTCAAAGTCGTTCGTTTGACGGCCAAGTCGCGCGAGGCACTGGACTCGTCTGTCTCGTTCTTGACTCTGCATCAGCAGGTTGCCAATAACACGACACACGTGGAGCTGCAGAAGCTCATTCAACTCAAGACCGAGCAGGGCGAGCTGAGTTCCAACGACGAGAGGAAGTACAAGACGTTGATTCGACAGTGCGAGAAGGAGATCCTGACCGCCGCTGACGTCATCTGCTGCACCTGTGTGGGCGCCGGCGATCCGCGTCTCAGCAAGCTGAAGTTCCGCACAGTGCTTATCGACGAAGCGACTCAGGCCGCGGAGCCCGGTAAGTATTTCCGCTCTCATTGGCTGCGGCGAAAGAGGTGCTAATTCCGCATCCATGCAGAATGTATGATTCCTCTGGTTCTCGGGTGCAAGCAGGTCGTCCTGGTCGGTGATCACCAGGTAAGTGTTCGGGTTCTCCCTCCGCGCATCGTGGAGTGCTCACGTTCGAACGCAGCAACTGGGTCCGGTCATCATGAACAAGAAAGCGGCCCGCGCGGGACTCACGCAGTCACTCTTCGAACGTCTGGTCGTCCTGGGCAATCGGCCGATCCGTCTGCAAGTGCAATACCGCATGCACCCTTGCTTGTCGGAGTTCCCGTCAAATATGTTCTACGAAGGGACGCTGCAGAACGGAGTTACGGCTCCGGAGCGTCTGAGAAAAAATGTTGACTTTCCGTGGCCCGTTCCTGACACGCCGATGTTCTTCTATCAGAACCTGGGCCAAGAGGAGATCTCGTCTAGTGGAACCTCTTTCCTGAATAGGTATGTGACGCGCCCTTTACGTACGCCCGTCAATTAAGCCATGCTCGCCTAACAGGACCGAAGCGTCGAACGTCGAGAAGATCGTTACAAAGTTCTTCAAGTCCGGCGTCGTCCCCAGTCAAATCGGAGTTGTAACTCCGTATGAGGGTCAACGCTCGTACATTGTCAACTACATGCAGTTCAACGGGTCTTTGAAGAAGGATCTGTACAAGGAGATCGAAGTCGCCAGCGTTGACGCCTTCCAAGGACGGGAGAAGGATTACATCATCCTCAGTTGCGTCCGAAGCAATGAGCACCAGGGCATCGGTTTCCTCAACGACCCACGACGTCTCAACGTCGCCCTCACCCGCGCTAAATATGGTGTCGTCATTCTCGGTAATCCGAAGGTTCTGAGCAAGGTGGGTGACTGCTGTATATAGTGCCGTACATCTTCTCATTCAATCCCACAGCATCCGCTCTGGCACTATCTGCTGACGCACTACAAGGAGAAGAATTGCCTCGTCGAAGGACCTTTGAGTAACTTGCAGCCCAGCATGATTCAATTCAGCAAGCCACGGCGCACACTTTCGAAGGCCATGGACCAGTTCCGCAGACACGAGACTAGTGCTCGTGACTATCTGGGTAATGGCTTAACTGGTGACGGTGCGCTTATATCTCCGCGTACGTAGATTGACGTGTGTATCTGATGCTTCTTCTACAGGTCGCCGATCCGGCACCCCGAGCCGCTTTGACGCTAGCTTCTACCGTACACATGACGCCCTGGGTTACATACCGTCGGACGTGCAATCTCTGCGCTCCCAGGCCACATATTCGTCAGGATTGCCCATGTTTGCCGCCAGTGGTGCCTTCGGCCCGGGCGTGCAGCGTCCAAATGGCGCAAAGCGGAGCACCTACGGGAGCTACGCCAGTTCTATCATCTCGCAGGACGTTGGGACGGGAGGTACCGACACCGCGAGCGTCATTGGCAGCGCCATCGGGCCCTCAGACCGCTCGGCGAGCAGCATGGCTTATTCGCAGTCTGACAGACTCCGGCGCCGCTCGTCGTTCTCATCGACCACAGGAGCCTCCGACATGGGCAGTCTGTCTCAGTACGACTATAAGAGCCAGGACGACGGCACTGACATGGACGACATGAAGTCGCAGTACACCGGGACTCAATCTGGCGTCACCGTCTTCTAATACCTCGGCGAGATACAGGCGTATCGCCTTCGATCGTGGCCGACTGGCCGTCGCTTGTCGTGTTGCCTTGAACGCCCTTCGCCGTTGCTTCGTCTTGCTATTATCCCCGTTCCTCCATCTCCGGGCTGTGGGGAACGTCGTCTCGCTGGCAGGGCTTGGCATGTTGCTGAACGCCGCGTATGACGTGCCTGATGGCAAGTCCGCTCAATAGCGAAGCCTATGCTATGCTTCCAGCGCGGGCGCAGGTGTCAGCGCACCAGGTGCATGACTGCCATGATCTCTCCCCGACCCCCTATGCTATATGCAGCCATTCGTCGCCCATGCATTCCATTGATACGCCAGTACGCCAGTGATGAGTATTCGAGATGTATCGTAGTAACCAGAATATGTATGATCATTGCCTTGACCTACACGCTGTCTTGTAGTGGCACTGTAACTGAGCGCCGGTGGGCCTCACGACGTGAAGAATCCAACTGCAGGTTAGGCGGCGATGCAGGCCCGAGAACGTGGTCCGGTATGAGTGACTATATTACGAGCATTTCATCCTATGAACAGGGGCTACAAGTCGACAAATGTAATAAAGTTACGAGTAGGGGTATATACGACCGATGACACGACGACAGTACCAGTACAAGACAGATGAACAGGGGGTTACACGTTAGGTAGGGACTTCGCACTATACTACTGGGTTTGCAATGTAACTATTAGCCACAGATGTAACACTACGCCGCAGGAACTGAATTTCAAAATTGATTCATGAGACTGATCAACGCCGCCCCTCGTGGTCCTGCCGAGGCAACCGGGAGCGTACCGACAGGTCCCTGTCATCGGAAGCCATGCCGCTGAGAGGGCTGTGGGGTCGGCTACCGTACAAATGAGGCGTCGCAGCAGATGAATAAGGATACGGCCCAGGCACATGCTGTGAGCGCGATGGAGGCCTTGAAGCGAAATATACCTGCGGCTGGCGCGCTATGCCGGAATGAGGGAAGCCCTCTGCTTCGCGACGGTGGGAGAGCGGAGGAGATCGTGGTGGTGGTGCGGGAGGTGGTGGGTCGAGTGCGACGCCTGTGCCGAGCCTGAATGTACTTGATCCCGGCGCAGACGCCGACCCGGCGGTAGAGGCGTCTGCGCGCTGAATTTTTTTGGCGGGCTTGGGGCCGGGACTCAGGGTGGTAGGAGGCACTGGGACTCGGGTTGGTAATGGCCGCGACAGACAGCGAGGCTCGCCGAGAGGACACGGGCCCTGATGATCCGGCAACAGGTGTGGACGGCATGCTTGAAGGTGCATGTGGGCTAGTAGGATAGTACGGCGGCTCCATTACAGGCGATGCCGCAGCTGCAGTGTGGACAGAGGATCCTTGTGATGTGGACGGACGCGAGGACGACGGACTGTGAGCCACTACCTGCCGGTTGTGCCTGTGAAGGTGAGAAGAGGACTCGCCGCGAGTTGGGATCGGACGGCTGGGAGGCATGGCATGGTATAGCGACGGAGGCATTGATGGAGGCGGCGCCGCATGATATGGCGTTATGGCTGTTCCTTGAATTGGCTCAACGCGTGGAACCGGAGCTGATGAAACAGGGCCAGCGGGCGCAACCATCCGTATCGGCGGGACGGTAAACGAGCCAGCAGTTAGACGGTTTACCATAGCCTCGAGCTCGACCACCTTGGTCTTGAGATCGTCATATTCGGCGCGCGTCACGTACTTCTCCCTGGTCGGGCACCATCAGGGCAGGAAGTGATAGGGATCGAGAAGTACTAACATGGGCTCGATGATGTGCCACTGGCATTTCTGAGGCTCCCCGCGCCGGGTGCATGGGCCGCAGGGTTGTGCCCTGCAAGTGGGAGGATTATCCATAATCAGAACCGAAACCAAGACGGAGATGAGATAGACACCGACCTATCACACTTGATCTTGCGCCGCTTGCATTCTAAGGTGCCCGCATCGATATCCGCGGGGTCCGTAGTAGAGATGGGAATGGAGGAAGAATGATTGAAGAGTGCGCGCGAGGAACGCGTGTGCCGTCAGATCAATCTCACGGAGCAACTCTAATTGAGAGACCCGCACCTGTGCAGCTGAGGGCCTGGCGGCGACGCTTCTTCTTCGGTGGTTCCTGCGAGTCGCCCTCGGGGTCGGACTCGTCCACCGATCGGCGAAGGCCTGCGGGATGTCCGGCGTTAGAATCATGGACGTACGGGACGCGCGGAGGACACTGACCGAGGCCGCTTCCCGACGCGACGGGATAGCTCGGAGAGTGCAGGCGAGTGTATCCTGAGCCGGTGAACGCGGTGGGGCTCTGAGGATGCGGGGGTGGGAGTGGCAGGCCTGGATGGAGTGCCCGGATAGGCGGCAAGGTTGTCTGAGAGAGCAGCCGGGCGGGAGGAGAGAAGTCGGGATCACCTGGCGGCGGGGACCCCTGGCGGGGTCGGGGCGATCGTGGGGCGAGGATGTGCGCGAGTGCATTGGGTGGGGGAGAGCGGGCGACGCGTGCGGACATGGAGAAATTCGGGCTACATGGGGGTTGGGACGGAGGAGGATTTAAGGGATGGGCTCGGGCGACATGTCTGGGTCCCGTGTTCATATGGCCCCAGTCGGGCTGCAGACGATCTAAAAAGAGGAATATATGTCACGGCGAGTGTTGTGCCGATAAGATGTTATCGACTCACCGAAATCGCAGAAAATGCCGCCTGTGACTTGATAGCTCGTGTACCTGTGCGCCTCAATGATCCGGCTGCTACGATGCCATCGGTAGCCCGTCCTTGACGACCTGCCCCGTGATGGCCCCGCTCGCCCACGGAGGCTCCTGCCTGCTCCTGCCCACCGCGGGCCACTGTGCCAGCCGCGACCTGCCCCTTCCGCGCCGGCCACCTGCCCTGCCGCCGCGGACCTTGTTCCATTTCTCCGGCGTCGGACGCGGGCGCGAGGCAATAAACTTTTGAGTAACATCCTTCGGCAGCCACCGGTTATCCGAGGAGGTATTCCGCGCAATCTCCGTTTCAGATTCTCAACGCTTCGCTGCGCCTAACCCCACGAGGCGGCGAGCAGCGTCACCCTGCCCCCGCTGGCGTCCGCTGGCGAGCGATGTTCTGTGGCCGGGCAGCGCGCTCCGTCCCCCGAGCACTCCCAGTGCCTGCGCCCGCTTCGCCATCACCCGTCGTCTGCGCATATCTCCGTCGCGCGCGCAAACACATGCCACGCGCCGCGCACGCATTAGGCAACCGTGCACTGCCCCGTTGCCTGATCGAGTGCCTAATACAGACGCCCTCGCGCCCGGGACACACCTCCCTCGCAGAGCCTCGCAGTCCTATCTCCTCAATCACCTTCCGCAGCGGCCCCGTCGCGAACACGGCCACACATGGCAACTCCTGCATCCATGCCCAGCAAGGCTAGCGTTCGCAGCCGCGTCGCCCATGATCCGAATAGCAGTCCACAGGCGGCTTGTGGCCTGCCACGCACCCCATTGTTCACTTCCGACGCCCAGTAAGTAATGCGGCCGAGAGCATAACGCTCGCCGTGGACACATCCCTGTAGTCACACCCGAGAAGTACACCAATCTTGTGAGCGTAAAAGCCGTTCTGGCGCTCATGTGACGACAGCAGTGCGGCCGTCTCTCACAAGGTTCGCAGTCTTCCTGCCAGCGACGTAGCTCGTTCGCATGCTCATCTGCTCCCGCCGGGGAGCACCTCGTATTTCATTCCGCGCTGCCTTCGCCTTTGGTCATGCGTCACAGACTCAAGGATCTTCCGCGCCGCCCATCCCCACCACAGACCACGTCCGTATCTCCGGAAATCGGTTGGTCAGATCACATTCGATAATGTCGTGAGGTAGCGGTGTCTGTCCTCCTCAAGCCTTTCTCAACTGGAAGATGACCGTCGATCGATCGCATGCGAGCCTCCGTGCACTCAGGTGCACTCTACCTTTGGTTAGGCTCGGACAACCCTGATCTGCTCCATGCATTGGGCCCGTCCCGTGAGCTGCATGTTGGTAGCACAATGCACGATTGTGCATCGCTCAGGCGCGGGCAGGTTGCCGAATTGGTGCAATCGCTACGAGTCTCCCAGCACGCTCAAGTCGCGCATTTGTCGCGGGGGCTGTGCGTGACAGCGAGCAGAATTCAGCAAGTCAGCCCATTCATTGAAGCTCATGGGTTGTTCCGGCAATGAGGGCTTTCGTCATGACGGTGGCTTCCGCCCAAGTTCCGCACTCCGACGGCCTGAAATACGTTCCCCGCAATCCAGTATGCTCTCTGGCTTGCTCCTACCGCTAGTGCTGTGTTGATCGTCTTGTTCGCTCCAGACGTGTCTCCGCTAGCCGAGCCTTGATTGACATGGAACGAGGCCCCGACAACGGCCGCTCTCCGCCTTGCTTGTGTCTCGAAAGGAGCTGTGCTCAATGCCCCTTATCACAGCTCATCAATACGGCTCTTCTCTTGGCCTTCACGCAACAGACACGAAGCCTTCACTTAACTCTCGGCAGTCTGTCGGCCGCACGAACGGACCGCGCTTTCTGGCCAACGAGGCCCGAGGATGGGGCCGATGAACCGCTTCTCATTGCGTAGGTCAGTAAGATCCGTGCCCATTCAACCTTCAGCACTGGAAGTCTTCTGGCACACGACGGCTGGTGCCGGTATCAGGGTCCGTCATATTGTCACTTGCTTCCTGAAGACTCCAGAGGCTTTGTGCCGATGACGGAAGATCACCGTAACAGCTCCGCTGTCGTTCTCTTCTGACATCGTCGTTAAGTCCGCAGGAGGCTCCCGCCGGGCACGGTACATGGAGGCGATTAGGCGTTTGTCCCTGTCAGTTGTTCGGTACGGCGAAGTAGTGGCCATATACTTCGACGCAGGTGCAACGGAAGTGTAAGTAACCTGTTTTTGTCGATGTTGTCCGTGTTGAGCGCTTGAGCTCTCAGCTTGATGCTACTCGACCTTCACATCGCTGCACAGGGGGCAGACAACTCATTGACCGTGCCAGAGATCTGTCAGCGGATGCCGTTACTTACGCCCGTCCAAGAGACTAAAATCCTATATCTGCAGCTCGTGCGCACTATCTCACCGAAGATGAGCGCTACATGAGCATCGACGTCTCACCGCGCTCGGCGAGACACCTGTATCTTCCGAGAACAAGATCTCGCGCTCGGCCGCAGGGTCGAGTGAACAGCTCCGTCGGCTCCTTGTGTTCTCCCTGCGTCAGCTGATGAATGTATTCTGGGCGCCGGCATGAGTCTTGTGCTGACCTCCCGGCCGCGCCAATGTTGCATGCACGCCACAACAATATCGGTCCATCGATCCATTCATCTTTGGCCATACGCTGTCAGCTATACCGTACATGTCGTCGTGTATCAATGGCGATATGATTCCGTCACCATGCAGTTACAGCAAGTAGGGATGTATTAGGTGAGTCATGTATGCCCTCATCCCGTGCACCATGCCTGAGTACCTACTGCACAATACAATCCGCGTGTACCCATCTGGCTTGCTGTTTGTGATCAGCTCCTGGGCTGCCAAGTGCCCACTGTCCGTCAAGGCGAAACGGTCCGGAATTTTATTTTACGGACCAGCGTTGTGGTCGCAGTCAGTAGGTGTCTCTCCATTCTTCGCCTAATTGGGCAACCCAGCTACCGGGTTGTCTTTGTGTCACCGCGCGCGACCCAGGACACCACCGCACGGTCATCGGATCTGCTGGATGACGGACAAGCCAGAGCCGTTTCGCCTGCCATCCGTTTCCGCGTATGTCTGCACGGTCGCACATCCCGCACAATTTTCACCGAACGTCTCGAGGGGATCCGCATGCGGCTCGAGGGTGTGAGCACTCCCCGTTTCAGCCACGACTATCTCACTCATGTCCAGTATCAGAGTGACGCGTTGTGATCGCTCTGTATCGTTACGCTACCCGTGAATGCGTGTGTGCGAAACAAGTGCGCCTATGAAACCTTGTCCCTAGCCCGGACATGCACTGGATACCTCGGTCTCAGAAGCCTGCAGCAGGGCGGCCAGTAACACGCCTTTCCGTGCACGGTGGCACCCAACGTGCCTTCGGCTCCGTCCACAATCCGGACGATCGATGGCTGCGCCGGATAGGCCTAAGCACAAATGGACGACAATAGGACAAAGCCACCCGTGCCTCACACTGTCAGTGGGTTTGCTACAGGGACCGATGTGCACTACTCAGCAAGCAAGTAGGTTCATCATTCATGATCGGTAGGTTGCCCGTAGGGATCCGTATCTGATATGTCCCAAGACTACGAAATCTACACGTGCAGTACGCCTGTTCGATCCGAGTCTAACCTAAAGACCTTCCCCGGCGCCAGCGGTGTATTGCGATCCAGGACCCGTGCCTAAAGCTGGAGCGCCGTCGCAATGGCGTGCGCCAAAATGCTGTAATGGTGTGACGCATCAGCCGGGAAGCACGTCGCGGCAGGCATTCGGAGGTAACGCACTTGTGGATGGTGTACAGCGGGTGCAGTGTGTTGAGCCAGCTGGGGGTGTGCACATCATGTCAGTGTGCCGCGGCTGAAAGGATGTGCCGCTGTCGACTCACAAGTAGCTCGCCACCGGCTCGCAGGGCGCGTCTTGGGTCGTCATGGTAGGCGTGCCGTTCTCGTACGCCTCGCAGTAACCAGTGATGTTGACGTACCCGAAGGTGGGGTAGTTGTCCAGCAGGGTGTTGAACACCGGGCGCGAGTCGAAGATGCGCACGCTCGTCCCGGTGTGGTTCGCCTCGAACAGCTCTGCGTACTCGATGAGCTGGTCATTGTAGTCGGCAAGCGCGCCAGTGATCTGAGCGACGGCCGTAGGGCCCGCTTCGATGAGCAGTGGTGCGCGGTTGGTGGGAGGAACTGTCAGGAACAGGAAGTTCCGGGCTCCGGCACCGTACAGAATTTCAACCTGTTCCCGACGTATGTTATTCTGGGACCCAGCTCAGGACTACGCCGAATGAAGCTAGTACTGACCTGGCTGAACAACCTGTCCATCAATATCGTATGGAAGGCCGGCTGCGAAGTGACGTTCGTCTGCACGTTCATGACGATGCAGTCAACGCATCCATTAGCGTAAACCCGTGAAAGCCGCTGAATTGATTTACCCAAGCATATGAGTTGCCCTGAATTGAGTTAGCAGGTTAGCGTGCGGTCTGTGGTGGATACACGTCGGATCATGACGCACCACATCGTTGATACCGATCCAAATGGCAAAGAGACTGTTCGAACTATCCCATTGGGCGCCATATGGCTTTGGTGCGAGGTATTCCTCGAACTGTGAAACTTGATCCACAATTGACCTATGGAGATGACAGTAAGTTTGGACTACTGCAATTTGACCGAGTTGCCTATGCCTTACAGGACAGTCGGCAGATACGGCGCAACGAGCGCAGCGTCAATCGTCGCGCCTCCGGATGCTAAGTTAAAGACCTACCGCCGGTGAATACATTGCATTACGACAACCAAGCAGCGAGAATGCTCACCTTGGTATTGGTCACATTATACGTCCCGCCTGCATCCTCTCAGCCGAGCGCCCGGATATAGCGACGGCCATGACGGCGAGAGCTTACCGAGGTATTCAACCCAGTTAGGGCCGTTAGACGAGGTCTTTGGTATCATGCATCAGTCTTCTAGATAGGAAGGCAGAGGTCGGGTGGGGCGTTTGTCTGGCACTCACGTAACCTGGGTTGGGGGAGTTCACGCCCGCGGAGATGTTGAAACCATCTGTGGTATATGAATCGCCAAGTGTGAACAGGAATTGGGTTGAATTCCAGTACAGCTGTGCAGATACGGCCGTCGCCGCGGAGAGAAGGACCCCGAGGTTGCGCAACATTCCGTAGGCTTGAACGATACGTACGTGCCCGAAATGCAAAGAACGACCGTGAGCCCGCTGACTTTGGGTCCGTCCTCAACCTCTTATACATCGTGCTCGTCGCGCGGATTGGCCGACAATTGGCCGCTAGCTGGGATATAAGAGGTTGACAGGATTATGTGGGCGAAACATGGGTTCGAAATAGCCTCGATGTGAGAGGAAACATTAATAATGTGCTGGCAACGGAGACAGGGAGTCGCGTTGGGTCGGGTCAGCAGACAAGACTCGCGATGTGATCGGTGGCCAAGGGGCGCGTCGGGTGACCGCGACAGTCGGACTGCGTGCTGGGCACGATGACCAGGATGTACGGCTGAGATATTGCCATGATAGGAGCGGGCCGCATAGGAGGGATTCCTGTGTACAGAATGGAGCTACGTCTTGGGCACGACGGCTGAGGACGGGGACTACATGCGAAGAGGTACGCGCCTGACGGGCAAGTGAAGGTGAGGTCACAGGAGACCCTGGCCATCAGGATGCTGCACTCGAGAAGGGCCGGATGTCGTAAGATATGGATGGCCTGCCCTCGCTGTCTCCTCGCCAACTCCCGTCTCCGTGTGAGCGACCGGGCTGTCCGAACGACCACTGCTGCAGATGGCATTGCATGCCAGTGGGAGTGCGATTCAATCAGTGATCACACCCGCTAAGCTTACTGCGCCTTCTGAGCCCGCTTAGAGCGTCATAATATCGGCAGCTGAATTCGGCCTTATCTCGCATTCACGTCATTAGAATCGAATTTATGATGGAAGGAAACTCCCAGGCCGACGGACTTACATCGGAATCTCCGTTCTGCTCGGGTCACTGATCGAGCATCAGCGGTCACATTCCGCGCCGCCTCAACGCCCCGCCACCACGTTCACCACTATCGTCCCGTCCGGGCAGCCATGATCTCGGTGAGTTGTCTATATGGCATCTGCGCTCCGGCTCACCACCTCCCGGTTGTTAGGCTTTCTTCATCTTCAATCAGAAGGGCGAGGTGCGTAGCGGCCATGGAAGGGTCCCAAGCTCCGGACCACTTACTGCTGTCGTTCGTCATACCAGGTCCTCATCTCGCGACTGTACCGAACAGATCTCAAGTGAGTACCCCTCGCTTGCTGCCTGCGGCGACTCTCATACAATACGCCGCGCATTCCAGGCGGTCAATCGCGGACGTGTTCCGGATACAGGTCGTGTCGAATAGCGACGTGCGCTCGCCCATTATCACCCTCGGCTCGACCAGCTTCTTCCATGTACGAATCAATAACCTGTACATTGTAGCTGTCACAAAGTGCGTGTTGGCTTATGCCTAACGCGGACTCGAATCCTCCGCCCGACTAACCGAGCCTGCACACAGGTGCAACGCCAACGCTGCGCTGGTCTTCGAGTTCTGTTACCGCTTTATCTCCATCGCAAAGTCCTACTTCGGCAAGGTCGACGAGGAAGCGGTCAAGAATAATTTCGTATTAATTTACGAGCTCGTTGACGGTAGGGAAGCTACCGATATTGCCTTCCCAGCGACGTTGACATGTTTCAGAAATATGTGACTTCGGCTATCCTCAGAACAGCGAGGCGGACACACTCAAATCGTACATCACGACCGAGAGTGTCATGTCGACAAACATAGCACCAGTGCGTACTGGTGCATCTGGACTATCCATGACAAACCTGAGTGCAGTTTAGGAAGAGTCATCGAGGATTACTGTGCAAGCGACAGGCGCTACAAGTTGGCGGCGCGGGGACGTCAAATACAAGAAGAACGAAGCCTTTGTCGACGTCGTAGAAACTGTCAATCTAAGCATGAGCGCCAAAGGTGCGATTGTCGCCTCGATGGGGATGGGATTTGTGTTAAGAAGCTGACGCGCGAAACAGGGACGACCCTGCGCGCGGACGTCGACGGCCACATCCTCATGCGAGCTTACCTTTCCGGAACACCGGAATGCAAGTTCGGGCTGAATGATAAGTTGGTTATCGACAAGAACGAGCGGGGGGGCGGCGCCTCGGATGCCGTCGAGCTGGATGACTGTCGGTTCCACCAGTGTGTGCGGTTGAATGAGTTTGATTCCACTCGGACGATCAGTTTCGTTCCGCCAGACGGGGAGTTCGAACTGATGCGGTACAGTGTTATATCATAATGTCAAGGAGGCTATTAACATTCAGCTGGTCCCTAGGTACCGAGCGACTTCAAACGTGAAGTTGCCCTTGAAGGTTATACCTACAGTCACAGAAATTGGCACGACGCAAGTGCAGTATGTCGTGACGGTAAAGACGAACTTCAGCAACAAGTTGTCTGCGACGAACGTCGTCCTGAAGATACCCACGCCTCTGAACACGACGAACGTCGACTGCAAGGTGGCAAGCGGGAAGGCGAAGTATGACCCAGCCGAGAATGTGGTCATCTGGAAGTAAGTGCCCCCCTTCTCTTCGTTCTGTGTGTCACCTTGAGCTCTCTTCACAGAATACCGCGCATACAAGGTGGCCAGGAGGTCACCTTCTCCGCCCACGCAGCACTGACCAGCACGACAACCCGGCAAGTGTGGGCTCGCCCGCCCATCGACGTCGACTTCCAGGTGCTCATGTTCACCGCGTCGGGCTTGATCGTGCGCTTCCTCAAAGTGTTTGAGAAGGGCAACTACCAGAGCATCAAGTGGGTGCGATACTTGACGAAAGCGAGTGGGTCGTATCAAATACGGGTAGGTTGCTCCGTTTTGTGGCCATGTCGCCTATATTGACTTTGCATGCTAGTTCTGAACCTGCGACTATCGACTGTGTCTTTCGACCTCCTGCTTTGCTCTCCTGACTTCTTGGTACACATGTACAGATAGGTTTAGTGCTTGATTTGGAATTCCAGCCTCTGTACTTAGTTGGGATTCGCTTCATTGGGCGCTTGATCGTCGCGTTGCCACGTGATCGTCGCGTCGCCGCCGGTTGTTTGTGGCTGAGGCGAGTTCAAGTTTCCGTTAACGTTCATGAGCCCGCCCATCGACGATCGCAATGCCCCCATCCGCCCGCAAGAGTAGCGTCGGTGGCGCCCGAAGAGCGCCAACCAAGTACATCCCCTACCGCGCAGATGATTTCCAGCATGGCAAGAAGACGGGCATGGCTGTCGCCTATGTCGACCACCGCTCGGACGAGTTCGAGCCGTTTGACAAGGTTATGAGCCAGGCGGACCAGCGCACACCGCCTCGCGTGCAGAACTCCCGCAAGAGGCGTGCGCAGACACCGAAGCCGAAGACTCCAAGGACGCCGGCCGTACAGGAGGTCGATGAGGACGGGGAGATGTCAATGGAGTTGGAAGATAGTGAGTACTTGAGATGAGCACACTGCTGCCGGGTGGCTGGCTGGTCTGCCCCTAAGATGGCTCACATGGGCGCATATAACCAGGTATACCAAACTCGCCCTCTGCGTACTTTGCGAACGCCCGTGTGAATACGATCACCTCCAGTGTTCCGCGGGTGGGCTCGTCCTCCCGGCCTGTCGCACATTCCTCGGACGTCGACTTTGACAAAGTGCCCTCTCCGCGCGAGTCGCCCGCTTTCTCACATCGACGTTCCCTTGGTCAGTCGAGGAATTCTGGTCCCTCGAATTTGTCACAGTCTACGGTGGCTCAGGGTGAGGATGAGGAACCCGTGGATGACGGGATGGAGTTTGGTGGGCCGGACTTTGACGGGGGCGGAGGCTTCGACTCAGATGATGACGAGCCTTCGCAATCGTATCAGGGTCCACAATCCTCTCAGCGGCGTTCAAGTGTACATACGCCGAGGCGGACGAGCTTCGCCCAGATGGACCAGGACGATGAAGACGAACGAGAGCAGGTCGAACAGCTGACAGACAACGAACCCACGCCGAAAGCGAAGGGCAAGCAACGCGATACTGGGGATGTGCCTCAGCCGGACTATGAGATGGAGGACAACATCTCGCGAGGTCTTGCCGAGGTCGAGCAGGAACCCACGGACGAGGAGGATGTGCCCTTGCGTAAACGGACAGGACAGGACCGCGGCGATGACGACAGCATCGAGAAACACCAACGGCCGAGCAAGAAAGCACGTACAGAGAATGAAGGCGCCAAGAAGCCGCGCGGTAGACCCAAGGGGTCGAAGAATTACGTCCTGCGGGAAGGTCGGTTGCTCTATCCCGATTATTGCAGCATCCGATGTTCACATATACTCTGTCTTAGTCACTCCCAATGATGAGAACACGGATGGCCTGCGTCGTGGGAGGCGCCTGCGATATAAGCCACTCGACTGGTGGAGGCTCGAGAAGGTCGTGTATGGCCGACGGGAGACAGGCACGTCGTATGTGCCGACCATCAAGGAGATTCATCGGATACCGAAGGAGGAACCTCTGCCATTGGGTGCAAAGCATCGCAGAAAGCGTCCGCCGCGCAGCAAGAGTAAGACCGCCGACGAAGCGCAAGGGGCTCTGGTTTTCAACCCCGAAGAAGGGTGGGATGAGGACACGCAGGCTGAAGCCCTGGTCATCGACTACAAGTCGAAGGAGGATATCCCGAAACGTGGGTGTTCCTTGAAATTGGAAGCGACTGATGTTGAATAAACGCCATTTAGGCATCGCGTTTACGGCGAAGATGGTCACGCCAAAGGCGGCAGCTAATAATGACTTCTACTTCCAGAAGGTCTTTGGCGATGCGGACTTCATTGCCGCCGGAGAACTCATCATCCCTCCAGATGGGCAGAAGCCCACCAAGAGTACCAAGGATAACACATTCGTACGCGATGTCCCCATTTCTGTCAAGGTGATAGTGGCGTCCTCACGTCATGAACACAGGTATTTTATGTCATCGAGGGTGCAGTGAACCTCACGGTGCACAAGACGAGCTTCATTCTGGCAACAGGCGGCATGTTCCTGGTCCCGCGAGGTATAGCTCCTCAGTATAATCATCTCCCGAGACACACGATGACGCTCATTTCGTGCAGGGAACATGTACCACATCCGGAACATCTCCGAGCGCGACGCAAAGCTGTTCTTCGCTCAAGCTCGCAAGGTCTCGGACGAGGAAATGGAGGAAGATAGGAGGTCCGCTCGCAAGAGCCGTGGGTCGTCCGCGTCAGTCGGCCCTACCACCGCTGTCCGTTCGTCCTCAGAGCCACAGCCTCCTGCTACCGCAGCAGGCGCAGCGGCGTTGAAGCGCGCCGCCTCGTCCAGGACGAAATGAAGGACTCGCGTTACTGTGTCGTGCGGTCCATCGGAGCTATGCAACATTCTCATGCCGTATGAAGTCTATAGTCGCGTCTTGTATGATTATATGGTTATGCACTTTAGTATTCCCAACGATGCTGGTGTGCGTCTTTAAGGAGTAGCAATTGCCTGCGGGCGTCGATGTAAGTATGTATTCAATTCTGCAGCTTACAGTATCGTGTTAGAGATTGGCTTCCATGAATAGGATTATTAGGCGAGAACAGTGCAAATAACAAGATGAGTGATAGACGAGAACGAACAGGAGATGGCCACCGTATATAGCATGAGAGCGGAAGGCTGGGGAGGAGCCTACTCGTAACCTCAAAGCAGCGCAGAACGCTGCTTCGGGTGCAGGCTACTCGAGCGGGTAGGGAAGGTGTCAATTCTACCAGACAAAGAGTCCCGTGGCAACCCTGAAGAGGAAGCATGATTCTCAGAGAAAGCAGGAATGGGGAGAACTCTGTTAGGTACAGTATCAGGTACGGAAGGGAAGGAGTCGAACAGAGCACTGTCTAGCCCACCCGAGCCAATGCTACTGGAGACAGACACCCACGACATAGGCCGTTCGTTCCCATTGGGGTTTGGCTGCCGCTCCAAACGAGCGTCGGAAGACAGGTTGAGCTGGGGAAGGGAGGGCGTCGGCTCGGACTTGCGCGGGCGCGCGGCGGTGTTAATGGAGAGGTGACTGTCGTCATCTGGATATCCCGCGTTCAGCACGTAATGGCCCGAGTCTTGGCTCTTGCGGACATGGAGATGCTGCTTACCAGGAGAGGCGATGAGGACAGTGTTGCGGTTGTTCCGCTTGTGCCATAGGCGGTCCGCAAACGACGTCGCGCGCGCCAGGCCCTTACTCGGCATCTTCCACGAGCGACTGGAGCTCATCACAGAGCTCGTGTCCGATCCCACAGCGTCGAAACGCGGTGATGGGGGCGTGGCGAGGACGGAATCGTCCTCGGACATCTCTGAGCACACGCTGTCGCGAGGGTACGCGCCCGGCATAGGCATCAGGCCGTCTTTGGCACTCGGCCGACGGGACAGGAGAGTCGAGAAATATCGAGGACGGGGGCTCTTTGGAGGGACAGGGGGCGGTGTATCGGATAGCAGTCTACTGCGCGGACGATCCTTCGTAGGTATGATAGGGCCCGGAGTTTGTGGCTCAGTATCCGAAGCCATACGAGTGCGGCGCCGGTCCATGGGTGGCGTTACGGGGCTCGGTGTCCGCGGCGCTGGGATAGGGGGGAACTCTTGTGGCGAGTTATACTCAGAGCTACCATGGCCGTCGCCCGAAGTGGAGACGTCATCGTTTGCAGGCGGCTGGTCCGGGATGGTGACCTCGACCCTAGGACCGGACATACTGCGTAGAGCACTAGCAGGAGGGGGGGTGGAGGGGGTAGCGTTGGTCACAGGCAGCTTCCTTGGTGAGCCGAGCCCCGACAGCTGCTTCTCCAGCAGCGCAGCGTCTGCCAGCAAATCAGCGAGGTCAGTGAATCCCGGAGACTTCGGTGAGTCTACAGCCCGCAAGTCTGAGACCCGCTGCGCCTGCGAGCTGGTGCTGCGATTGGCACCTTCTGTGACCTTGTGGTGTACGACAGCACGGAATGAACCGGTAGCAGTCTTGGGCGTTAGCGAGGGTTCGACGTAGCTGGGTATTGGCTCGGAAGGTGAATTGTCTGTGCGCGGAGAGATGGGCGAGACTGGGACGAGTACGCCGCGTGTCACGACAGGCGTTACGACTCTGGGAGGCTCTGTGATGATGACTGCATCCTGAGTGTCCAACGCCAGCGACTGGTTCCCAAGCTCCTCCATATCAACGACCTTCGGTTGAACTGGTGAGACAGTCACTGACGGGACGGTCTCGACGCTGGGGAAGGCAAAGCTGTCTTGAGGTGTCTGGTGCTTGCTCAAACTCGCCGACGAGGGTACCGCCGACGATATCACCTCGTCAGTAGTTACTTCCTCTTTATTGCCTGCCTCCTCGACGTCATCGCGCGTCGAAGTATCAGCAGACACACCGCTCGGCTCATCGCTCGCCGCCACTGGCAAAGCCGCAGTGGCAACTTGATCCTGCACGCCAGGAGAAGGGAACGTCTCTGTTGCGGCTGAAACGTCCGAAATAACCGGTAGGCCACTTTGCTCCGCAACGACTGCAGGACCGCTGGCAGCCTGTGTGTCAACTACAGCCATTGCTGAGGATGACGGTTCATCTGCAGCTGCCGGCGGCGTGACAGCGGGTGATGACTGTCCGTCCGCGTCGCTATGAAGCTCTCTAGCCTGCGGCCTCTCTGCGCTATCCACCAGGTGTGGGGGATTTGTCCGACCTGTGTCGTCTGACGGAGGTAATGACGCGCTATGGTCAGGCGCATTCTCAGCAGTTATGGAAGTTGCCTGTGTGATTGATGAAGGAGGATGTGGTTCGGATGAGCTGTCCCGAAGTTCCTCGGGCAAGACGATTGCGGGCGTAGACGACTCGGCTTCCTCTTGGCCTTCTGGAAGCGACTCGACAGCAATAGCAGGTAGTGAGAACTTCGCAACGATGTCGGAGACACTTCGCCGGCGTGCCTGCCATGCTCCAGAATGTCGGGGCGAGGTCGTCTCCTCGAGAGCAGCTTCAAGAGAGCCGTAGCTGTCCGCCTCTCCATCTGCAGACATGGTAGGTGAGACGGAGCGAGAAGACGGTCCGCTCAACAAGGTTGCTGAGGCGGCACGACTTCTGTCCGCAAAGCTAGGGCTGGTAGCCCGCGTCGGATGAGTTGGAGCGGGTGCGACTGGCCTGGATAGTCCCGGAACACGGTTTCCCATCAACTCTCCTCGACGTCGAGATGACCCATCATCCACTGGGGGTGCACCTAGCCCAAAACTACCCCTCGGGACGGGAACGGCACCTTGCTTCTCGAAAGAGGCGATCTTGTCTCGTAAGCTACCTGGCGCGCGCGCGGCGTTTGGGGCTCCAGCAGACTGCTTCAAGTCTGCATGACTTGAGCCTGCATGGTTTGAGCCTGCATTGCGCTGTTGTAGTGCTGCGATGCGGTCCTTCAGATTCACGGGGGGTATAGGCGGTTTCGTGGTAGCCCTGCGAGACAAAAAGCTGAGCTGCATCCATGGCTGGCGCCGTGTACTGCACTCACATCGGTCATAAACGAGCGAGCAGGACGGTGACCGCTGACGACCCGCGACTGCAGTGCAACTACTCGTCCGAGAGGAAACGACGGCGGCGGTGATGGTGGTTGATGCAGGGAGGTGTGACCGTACGCCGGAAGCGCTTGTTTTGCCAGCCGGCGTTTCGCTTACTGGCAATTGCCACAAGCCACTGTCGTGTGCAGTCCGAACAAGAACGCCTCGACAATACAGAGTAGAACAGAAGCAGTCGTCGTGGCTCAAAGACGATGTCGACGTACAACAAGGTTGAGATACATGTGTACTACTGCCGAGTATCTCTGAGTCCGCTTGACACGCGATCAGAACACCGTGGAGGCCTGGCTATAGCAAGTACTACTGACGCTGAACCGGTAATGCAATCACGTTTGCATTACTGTCCTGCACCCGCAACACAAAGGGTTTTCCCATTTTAACCTGCTAGACTTAGTTTCATACATCTTGAGCACACCCTTAAATATTTCAAGGCCAGAAGGAGGGCGGGAACATGTCGTCTGCACGTCTGCAAATGAGCGACTGTGTTCGCCCGCCAAAACTGGCGCTGCAGAATAGGCGCTGAAATCGCACCTTTCGATTTTTCCTGAGGTGCACAGAGCAGGTAGCTCTTAATGCGTACGAGAGAATAGTAAGACAGCATGTGGCGACATGATGCACATTTTTCCGTGCGCACACGGAGGAAGAAACCCGCCAGTTTGCATTACTGTACCGTTTGCATTACCGGTTCAGCGTCAGTAGTACATGGCATGATATCAGTCACTATCACTAGCATCTCCCGAGAATCCCAGGCCTTTCGACAACCAGTAGTCTCTTTTGCTACTCGCATCACGTCGAGGCACCCTACGCTTCGCGCCTTTGGCAACTGACACGCTGTCCTCGTCGTCCACCACATGCAGATTGTAATCTTGCACGTCCTCTGGGTCCTCTTCATCCGTCGTGAACACAGTATGCATGTCGGATTCGCGTCCAAGCCTGCGGCGCTTTCGCGGTGGTTCTCGGCGATCATCGATCTTGTACCTGCTCTCTTCTTCCTCGTCTTCTTCCTCGTCTTCTGCCGCTGACTTATTAGACGCGGATGCCACCTCAGCCTCTTTGCAAGCCGTCTCTACACTCTCCTTATGCCCGACGTTCGACTTCCCATTCGAGGCAGCTTGTGGTACGTCCGATACAATGTCCACTCGAGGGGCGATGCCGAGCATGCGGTGTAGCACCCTTAATTCGAAGACTTCTTGTACCAACCGTCGATGATTGATGGTCTGGAGCATGGACATTGAGCGAACAGGTAAAACAGATGACATCACTACCATACCTCCTGAGTGACACCCATTACCCTCGCGAGGATGCTCAGGTGCGGACGGTTGAGGCCATCACCAAGGCGGACACGCCGGCGATCCCGGTTCGCGCTGATCCAGCCTGCCTGCATGTACGCAGCAGAGGTCATCAACCCATGCGCACCCGCGAGGGTTGCTCGGACTTTTGCAATGTTGTATGAGCCGCGTGAGATGTCATTCGCTGTCATGGTCTTAGTGATGACCCAGGCAGCGTCGAGTGGCACACTCACAAGGGTCTCCAGGATCCTCGATGGACAAGAGTTTAGATTGCCCGTAATCAAGCCATCCCCTCCTTCGTTTGTTGAAGTACGTGCCGCCATCACGGATTGATATGCCGACTTCGCTGTAGTTGAAGTAACAGCCATAGAGCTCGAAGAACTCCATGACGAGGACACCCAGGTTCTTGGAAGGGTCTATCTCGCCTCTGCGGACCTTTGGATGCATCTGCAGAAAGCTGATGGCTAGGCAGACGATGCTATAGCTCCCAAGACCGCCAGTGTAGACCTCGTTCATACTACGCTGGGCAAGGAAAGACTTGATGACGAGAACGAGACTGCGAAGAGCGGGCAGCTCTTGCAGAAAGTGCCTAATCATCTTGCCAGCAGCGACACCATTGATTTGGTTGACACTGATGTCCACAGAGAAGCGTCCGTGTGTAGTCACGAATTTCACAATCGGCACTTTGGCCTTCGCGATGATTCGGACTCTATCTGTGATGCCCGCTCGCTTCACGGTATTTGCGAGAGAGTGCAATACGCTCTCCTTGTCGCTACGCGCCATTGACTGTGAATGGATCACCAGATCAATATCCCTTGGTGACTGTGAGACCGGGTATTACGGGGGACTGGCACTAGGACATACCCAGTGGGAAGGTATAGCTTGGTCTCGTAGCTACCGAATGGGTGCACTTGAGCGTCCGGAAATCGCTCGTGTACTGCCCGTGCTATCTGCGCAACGACCAGCGAGCGCACTTCGTCTTCTTCGGGCGTGGGCGATATGTAATGCACGAAGGCTTCCACATCGCGATGTAGCCTGAGTTCATACATGAATTCACGGAAAGCATGAGAAATCCATCGTTCAAGACGTACATTTCAGCGACATTCGCGCAACTCTCCCAATCGACGTCAGTGGCCCACGGTGCCTGCCGGGCAGCCGCTGCAATACGCTCCTTCTTGTTCGCGTATCCGTCATCCAAGTCAAACTCGTCCGACTTCCGCTTCCTCCCTGCGTGGTCACGCTCTGAAGCCTTGCCCTTACCCTTATCCCACTCCCTAACTGGAGGCTGCTCCTCTTCCGCCTTCTCCTCTTCGTCCGAGAACGTGAATTTGATGAAGTCGGCCTCCTCAAAGGTGTCATGACTCTTCTTCCCAGTGGGCTTCTGCTCGCTTGGCTCCGCTGGTGTGTTTAGCCCAGATGGTCCCGCTTCCCCTTCGCGTCTCTCCTTCGCCTTGCGCCGCCGAGCACGTCGATCATCCGGCCGTCGTTCTGTATTCGAGCCCGCATTTTGTTGTGCAGCTGGAGTGCTCCTGGAGGATGGTGGCTTGGATCCGGACATCAGAGAGCGAAATGATTCGGGCGTATACAGTACCACGACTGTGGCGGGTTCAACAGAGACTCGGCGCTCGCCACAAATGCAGATTCGGATGGAGATTCGCCCACGATCGTGATGCCGGAAATGGGAATTGTTTGGCAAGGGCTTCCGATCCAAACATACGCTCGGCTGCTGATCCTTCCTGAAGTTCATGAGGAGTTGGCCGTCTCTAGTACGGCGCTGTTTCTCGACCTACAAACATCATGCACCGAGGCTCGAGCCCAAGAAGGGGGACCGTGGTATGTGCCGAGGCATGTCATGAATAGGCTTATACTCATGTTGCGGTCAGTGGTCGTGGCGATGTCGGGAGGTGTAGACTCTTCAGTCGTAGCCAAGCTTCTCAGCGAAAAGGTACATGGACTCATAGACCATCGACACAACGACTTTGATTTACATTGTTTATCAGGACTACGCCTTAACCGCCGTCTTCATGAGGAACTGGGATACCCGGGACGAATCGGGCACCGACCATGGCTGCGAATGGGAGAAAGACTGGGAGGATGTGCAACTTGTCTGCCACAAGCTGGATATCCCATGCAAGATGGTATGTAAATTCCATAGTTGTGCGTCGTTGTATTGAGATTCATAGCCGCTCAGGTAGACTTGTCTCGTCAATACTGGACCCGAGTCTTTGAACCATGTCTCGACATGTGGCGAAAGGGTTACACCCCTAATCCCGATATTTGGTGTAATAAGTGAGTGTATACGTGCAGCTCAATGGGCAGTTCTCTGATATGTCCTGCCTTGTGCAGGGAAGTCAAGTTCGGCGGATTGGTAGATCAACTGGCGGACGGAGACTACTGGCTTGCTACAGGTTGGTTTCCTAGTCGTTTTGCATCACAACTTAATCATTGCGATATTTTTCCAGGACATTACGCTAACAAGGCGTGGGTTGCGCACCGTTCTCTAATCTCCGAGTCCGCTGGAGGTACCCCGGTCCTGCGTCCGACGCTCATTAGACCAAAGGACAGGACAAAAGACCAAACATACTACCTCTCAGCCATCTCCGAGCAGAGCCTTGCGCGTACTATCTTCCCGCTCGCCCCTTTCAGCAAGCGTGAAGTGCGTGAACTGGCACGCAAGGCGGGCTTGCCGACAGCGGCGAGACAGGAAAGCATGGGTATATGCTTTGTGGGCGAGAAAAGGAGATTTAACGACTTCCTAGGTTCGTTCAATTCAAGTAAGCTTTCATAGTTGATTGATTTTGTCTCGCTCAGCACAGTACATCACCCCTAATCCTGGCTCGGTTGTGGACCTCGAGACCAACCGAACTGTTGGTCGTCATCAGGGGTTATGGCAGTACACAATTGGTCAAAATGCCCGGATATCGGGTCTGGATCGCAAGGCGTACGTCGCAAGAAAAGATTTGGAACATAACATTGTCTATGTTGTGCCCGGATCGTAAGTAGCACGTTTCCCTGAGGATGATGTCTCTCGATGCAGACTGACTTTACTTTTTGGCAGAGATCACCCCGCCTTATATTTCAAAGGCTTGGTAGCATCGGGATTCCAATGGATCTGGCACGACTCTGTGCCATCTGCTTTAAATACAGACAATGCTTTCCACTGTCGTGTGAAGTTTGGATATCGTACACCCGATGTCGCGTGCACCGTACGGAGGTAAGTATTCCGTGACCGCGCTCTACAGTACTCGTCTTGACCTTTCGGCACTTTCAGAGGCGCGGAAGAAGATGCTCTGCGTTTGACTTTTGCAGAGCCACAAAAGCACGTCGCTCCGGGACAAGTTGCCGTTGTATTGGATGGAGATCGTGTCTTGGGATGTGGGACAATCATGGAACCACTCTGATGTACGATATGCATTCGCTGCACATGCAGGCATGCCCATTGGCTAGTCTCCTCTGGGCAGGTTAAGAAGTCCTCTTTGACGGAGGGGAGGGCAGTCTTCTACCCATTGACATTTGTGCCCCGTGGACTACTGCGGTCCGGGTCTGTCCGCCCCGAGTAAGCCTTCCTAGGCTCTTATTACGTGGATTGCGCACTGGGGCTGCTGGTGTGACGATACTTCTCTACTCTATTATGATGAAAAATGCGCAAGACGTGGCAATCATGAAATAGAAGACGTAGAAAGCTTGTAGTATAAGTTGTGCCCGGGGAACATCCGAAGATCGACACACTGAAGGAGTGAGTGCTCGAAGACGCGTCTATGACAGAAATGGCGATAGACGCTAGCAGCACCTACACCCCCTGCTATACACCTACACTCACTGCTTCGGCCTGTCTATACTGCTTTCAAACTACTGTCAGCGACTGACTGGTGATACGACAAAGCAGGCAACATCAGTCCATCGTATAGCCTTTGCGGTCCCGCATGTTCTGGAGGTAGTGACCACGATAGCTACTCTCAATTGACCGCTTCACATCTACCGTCGACAGATTTGGCTTCCACAATGCGTCCACGATTGATAGTCTCCTGGATAAGGAGGACGTATCATTAGAGGCTATCTTAGACGAAGACGACCTGCTCCAGGAGTGCAAAGCCCAGAACACGCGACTCGTCAGCTACTTCCAGCGGATAGATGTGCTGCAGCGCTTGCTTGGCTATGTGACGGGCCAGATTGAGGGGGAGGATAGGGGTCGATTCAAGTGAGCCATGAGTCCATTCTTGCGTGTTCTGTGCGATTACTCAGGTCGGTGGTATGACGGCTATGACTGAAGGTACCCATACGTCTCCACCGAGGTCCTGTGCAGCGAAATATGGACCATAGTAGAAACATGCCTCAACAACCGCGAGCAGTTGCTCACCCCATTTTGGGAGACAGTCATGGACAGGTCACCAGAAGACATGAAGACGCAGATGGTCATGGCGTCCCAGTTCGCCAAGATAAATGCTGTTTTCTTGAGCAAAAAGCCTGCGGAGGTGAACGCGTTTTTCTTCCTCTCACATTTGTGGAAGTGAATATGGAGCTCCGTGCTCAGATGCTTGCTTTCATTCGATCGCAACCGAACATCGTAGACCGACTGCTTCGCCACATCGAGACTCCCGCGTTCGCCGACCTGCTCGTCAGGATCATCCAGCTGGACGAGCAGCCCGCCGGTGCAACCGTTCTCGACGTATGTTCTCTTTGCTCTGCAGTATGCTCTACCCCGAACTCCTCTTACCTCAAGGCGTGTAGTGGCTATCCGAAGAGAACCTTATGTCTCGCCTCGTCGACCTGCTTTCCCCTGCTTACAGCCCCGACATGCACACGGTCGTCTCCGAGCTCATCAAGGGCATCATCTCCATGGCTGCTCCTTCACCTGGCGCTGGCATTGCTGACAACCAAGTCTCGCCCTCAAACTGCTTTGCAAGAGAGCTGGCTCACCGTGACAGCGTCTCCAAGCTAGTTAGCTATATCCTCTGTGATTTTGGCCCGACCGTACCGGAACCCTCAACACCTACTGGCCCTGAGACAATCCAAGCCGACTCTGCGCAAACGAAAGCCGACCCGGAGTGCGCTGCATCATCTGTCGTGCAGTCTATTTGCATCATCATCGAGCTGATTCGGCAAAACAACTCGGACTATTTTGAGCCGTATCTGTTCCACACACTGCGCAACCGGCTGATACAGATACAGCAGCAGCTACAGATGAATAGGCAGGGTGGCCGCGAGGCGCTCGAGGCGGCGTTCAACGAAATGGTTAACCGTATGGGCGTCGTGCACCTCGGACCTTTGCTGGATATCATGTGCGACAAGTTGGACACATTGCAGCAATTCCTCCGGCAACCAAGATCCATGGTAACATTACTCGCCCTTGCCAATCCCCCGGTTACTAACACTATGTTTAGAGTGGGCATGTCTTGACCACAGTGGGCGAATTGACGCCGTTAACCTTCGAACGTTACCGGATATGCGAGCTCTATGCTGAGCTATTGCACGCATCAAATATGTCATTGCTCAATCGACCACGGGAATATGACAATCTGTACGATGCCTCTGGTCGGCTACAGGGTGGATTGTCCGCACTGGAACAACTGGCTCAGGTTATTGCTATCGGCTCCGGTGGCGAACCGAACGAGGATGACATGGACGACGAAGAGGGCGACGAGGTCGAACCCGCTCACGACTTCCCCGTTCATAATGCGCAAAACGACTCGTCGTCGCTTCTGGACTCTGACGAGGATATGAGCGGGGACGACGAACCGGGCAGCTCCGATGACGACGCCATGGAAGAAATTGCCATGTACGATGAACCAGGGTCCAACGTGAACAAGGATCCTCTTCTGACGGCGTCTCCCCTCTCCCGCTCGTCTCCTCTACTCTCATCATCACCCTCCGTTCCATCCTCATCATCACCGAGCTTCGTCCCATCAGCCAACCTGGTGCCCTCTCCCGGTACCTCCCCCACAGATGTGCCCGCCATCACACTTCCACGCCAAAACTCTTGGAATTCTGGATCAGATACGGACACGCTTTCAAGACCGCGGTCAAGTAGTTCTCGCCGGAGCACCCGGAGACAGAGCACAATGGAGAACTTCGCCAACGGGCGTCCGGTACTCGGCGAGAGGCTGAAGCAGCGGTTTCTTGAAGCCAACGTCGTGTCTACCCTTCTCGTGGGTCTGTTACCTGTTCTTGACTGGACAAGCGGGCTGACGACGAACAAAGGATCTGTTTTTCGACTTTCCTTGGAACAATTTTCTTCACAGTGTAGTGTACGACCTCATCCATCAGATTCTGACAGGTCGAATCGACGGTGGGTTCAACCGCGAGCTCACAATAGCACTATTCCGGGACGCGCGATTGATGCACCGCATCATCGAGGGCTCAAAGCGAAACGATCAGGAAAGGTCCGTGCCACGGTCCATCATCTCTTCTACTCCCTAACCCTACATATCAGTGCAAAGCCGAAAGGCGTCCGCCTGGGCTACATGGGCCACCTAACGCTCATCTCCGAGGACGTGATCGGCGCACTCGAGCACTTCCCGCCCGACTTGCGGCTGCTCGCCGCGCAGTACGCGCCGCAGCCGGAGTGGGACGAGTACGTGACGGGGCGGTACAAGGAGACGAAGAAGAAGGACACGATCCTGCTCGGCGGGGGCAAGCCCGTCGTCGCGCCGGGCATGCGCAACGGGTCCGCGGCGTGGAAGGTCGACGAGGCGGACACGGGCACGGCGCCGGGGCGAGCCGCGCAGCAGGACGGCGAGGACGGCGAGGGCCAGATGAAGGGCGAGTTCCGGCGGACGGCGAAGATGCGCGAGGGGAGCGCGGACTTTGGTACGATGGACGATGACGACGAGGAGTTTTCGCGGGCGGGGCCGCCGCATGTAAGCGCGTCTCTTCCCTTCCCTGTTCTTCTGCTGTTCGTTCCGGCGTCGGAGGTGTGCTGATGTGTTCATTGTGATGTGTGACAGTTCGCGCAGTACCTGGCGCAGGAGATGCAGTCCGCGGAGCATTTCGAGTCGGCGGACGAGGCGTCGGACGATGAGGAGGAGGACGGCGGGTGGCTAGCCCATTCGACGTTCGACCTCCGCCCGCCGCCCGTGTCTGCGCGGCAGCATGAAGGCGATCGAAGACCGCTCAGTACGAGTGGGTTTGACGTACGTCCCGCCAGCGGTTGAAACAATGTCTATTCACTCATCCCGCCGATAGGATGCCTTCGCTCCATCTAACAGCCAGAGTCACAACAGCGGCCCCTTCGAAGACCCCTTCGACGACGTACGTACACCTCCGATCCGCTCCCTCACTGCTCCCCATCCCATACTAACCATCCCTCCAGGACACCTTCGGCCCCTTCTCCGACACGGCGGCGGCGAGCGGGGTGGACCCATTCACGTTCTCGTCCACGTCGCGCCTCGCCGAGGAGCCCGAGCCCGAGGCGGAGCACCTCGAGGACGCGTCGTTCGACTCGTTCGGCGACTTTGGCGACTTCCAGAGCGCGGAGAGCGGGTCGGCGGACGGGGGCGGCGCGGGGAGCTGGAGCTTCGCGAGCACGTCGAGCACGGGCTCGCTCGACGAGTTCGGCGGGGGGTCGCCCCAGGGGAAGGCGGAACGGACTCAGTGAGGAGGGTTGCTGGGGAGCTGCTAGCTATTGGCTGGGCGCGGCGACGGTTGTCGTTCTTGAACTTGGAACTTTGTGACGAGGGATGTGTTCTGTGATGCGATTTGAGGTGTGGTGACGAGAAGTGCCTGGTTGTTGTAGTTACGAAATCCCATGTATTGCGTGCGTCGCACCGGCGACGGTACGGCGCGCTGCGCGCGACGATGTAACGGTAGGTAGTACTTGTGTCTGCTCTGCTATGTATGCCACCTAGATATCACAGCATACATGTACATCCGCTTCGAGGCAAGGACTGCATGTGCAATGCCGAAGTCGAGTGGTATCAGGGCTACACGCCAACGAGGCTCACAGGCGACTGTCTAGTGCCAAGACGAATAAAAATACAGTGTAGCGGGTGTCTTCTGCTCATGTCTCCCCAATGCGAACCGTACAGTATACTTAAGGAGTATGGTAGTCTTCGGCGGCGTTCAGTGGTCGGGCGCGCGCGTGGGGGGTCGTGATGCACACCTCGCTGTGTGCGTCTGCGTGCTGGACTAGCGGCTATCCAGGCCGGACGCGCAGCTGGCGTGGGGCAGCGCTGGGACGCGGTGCAGGTAGAGTTCATGTAGGTATCGTCGGTCCGAGCGCAAGTCACCATTGTGGTTTCGTTCCGTGTCCGTCGGAGGATCCGCTGCCCGGGCTAGACTTGGGGTCGTTCTTGGGAGGCTTGGCCTTCACGTCGTCGGCCGGTAGGGACTGTTCGAGTCTAAGGCCGGATAGCTCACGGGACGCAGACGGCAACTCACCTCGAGCACTACAGACTCGTCCGAGGAGGTCGACGAGGCGGGCGACTCGGGTCGCCTTGACTGCCGCCGCCGTGCTTCCCGTGTGGTGCGAGCGATGGCGCGCTGCGCACGCTCCTTTCTCCGCCTGCGCTGGCGGATGCTGACCCAGACGACGGTGGCGACGACGGCGAGGATCACGAATACTGCGTAGAGACGGCGCATCAGCCGAGGACTCGGTACGGAGAGCCGGAGTGCGACGCACCGATGACAATCACCACGGCGATGACCCAGCCGCTGCTCTCTGGCGAGGGCGGCGTGCCGTCGTCCGAGTCGCCGTCGCTGTGCGGGAGAAACGCGTCGGGGGTCAGTGCTGCTGCACAGGAGGGGCTCAGCCACCGGGGGAGTCACCTGACTTACTCTCTTGCGATCGGGCGCGCGGTGGCGGCGAGCGCCCAGGCGAGAAGTACGGGGAAGGCGGCGTGGGGGCGCATTGGAAGGTCGAAGGCGGCTGGCGGGGCGAGGAAGACGGTGGTGGCGAAGAGAGAAGGCGAGTTGGGAGGGCAGCGGGACGGGAGGATTATATGATAGGCTGGTGCGCCAAGGAGGCGGCGCCCTGGGATGCGCTTGGCTCGCCAAGCGGGCGGCGAGCGATGACAAGAACTGACAAGCCGCCTTCTGCCCTCCGACCCATCTCCTTCCGCCCGACATCCCCGCTGCGGCCACTTTCAAATCTGCATTGCGCGCGATAAGTGCTCCCCGTGCGCACTGGTACCACTGCAGCGAGCGAGCCAGTGGCTGCCGGCGTGTGCTTGGACCCGGGGTGCGTACTGCGTCTCATCCGAACCTCGGCGCGCTGGGTCTCGCGCGATCCTCGATTGACTGGGATGCCCTCACGCCGAGCGTGTGCCGGCTCGTCCCTTGCCAGTTCCCCGCCGTCCAAGCCCACGACCACGCTCACCGTGCTCTTGCTCTGGTCTGGGCTGCGCGGCCACAAGAGAAGGCGCAGCACGGCACGCGTATCGTCTTTACATGTGGGTCCGTGCCATGTCAGCAGTCGCAGATGGGCCGCAGGATATCAGTGGACGGTCTGATTGCTGGGCCCCATCATGTCTGGACGAGACATCCTGGCGAATCTGCAACTGGGCGTACTCGGCGGACGACCACGCCCTCTTGCTTCTCTTACATGAGGATGAACGTGCCTCGTATATGGCCTCCTCGCTCACGACTCCTGCTGCTTCGTTCTCAAGACAATCCGAGGCAGACTCCAGCATTTCCGCGGCACTTCGCCGGCAAGGCCTTGGCTGCGGCGAGCAGAACGAGCGGTGGCAGTGCGCTCGGCAGTGCCGGGCGTGCCGTGTTCGCGGAGTAGCGGCATGGCCCCGCCTGTGCGGCCGCTGAGATGCGGAGTGCCAAGAGGGAATCCCGCCGATTGCCTTCCCGATCAGGGCTAGCGAACGGCCGATGGCGCCACGTGCGCTCGCGCGATCGCTGGGCCCGCTCGTGCGGCGACCTTGCGTCTTGGTCTCTCTCTGCCTGCTGCTAGCCCTCTCTCCGCCCCGCCATTCGTCACCACTTCGGGAACGAGGCTGCCCAGATGCTCGCCCTCTCCCGTGGCCCACGCCTCGCTGCCCCTCTCAAGCCCGCGCTGCTCTCACGCCGAGCCTTCGCCCAGACGCACACGCGCAGGATGCCCGTCGACCCCGCCGCGTTCGTGCAGCAGGGCAGGAAGGTGCGTGCTCCGTCGCTGGCTCGTGCGGGGGTCGACAGAGCGCGGAGGCTGAGCGCACCGGTCAGATAGTCGCGATCGGCCGCAACTACGCGGAGCACATCAAGGAGCTCAGCAACGACGCGCCGAAGGAGCCCATGTTCTTCATTAAGCCGACCACGAGCTATCTTCCGTCGGGCGGGAACGTCGAGATCCCGCGCGGCGTGACTGCCCACTACGAGGGTGCGTGTGTCTCCGCTCGCTGTCGTGCGGGAGTTGAGGGGGTATGGGATTAGTGGAGCTCGGCTTGGTCGTAGGCAAGACGGGAAGGGACATCTCGCAGGCGGACGCGGTCGCGCATGTCGCGGGATATGGTGCGCACACCCACCCCTCGGCGCGTGGCAGCTCGCTCATGCTCGTGTGCAGCCCTCGCTGTGGACATGACCGCGCGAAACATGCAGGACGTGGTCAAGAAGAAGGGCCACCCCTGGAGCGCCGTCAAAGGCTTCGACACATTCACGCCCATCAGGTAAGCTTCCCGCATGTCTGGTCGCGCCTCTCCTCACACATCTTGGCGCGGCTCAACCAGCGTACATCCCGAAGTCCGCCGTGTCTGACCCGAACGACCTCCGGCTGACGCTCAAGGTGAACCAGCCTCTCCCGCTCCGGTTGGGGTGTGTGGTTTAACGGCCGTCCGGATTGCGTAGGTGAACGGTGTCACGAAGCAGGACGGCAACACCAACCAGATGATTTTCAAGATCCCGCGCATGCTGAGCACATATCCTCCATCATGACTCTTGAGGTACGCCCTTCCCTCATACCCGTTCATCGTCCCTCTCTCCGAATTCTTATGCCCTCTGTCCAGGCGGGTGACCTCGTCCTGACGGGCACGCCCTCGGGCGTGGGTCCCCTCGTTCCGGGCGACCACGTCGCATGTACGCTCACGGACAGCTCCGGCACGCAGCTTGCCGCGCTCGAATTCCGCGCTGTGCAGCGCGAGGGCGGGTACAGCTTCCAGCCGTGAGTCGGCTGGAAGCCGACGCGACAGTAACATAATCCTAAGTGTACCTGAAAGGATAAATGCTGGATCTATGTTACTTGATAGGGTGCATAGAACGAGGGGGTCCAGCCCTTCTGACGCGCTCATCGAATCACTCATTCAACCATCGTATGACAGTCAGTTCGACTGCATCCGAGCAGACGATCCACGTTCATTCTAGACGTCTGTGGGAGTCTTCGAGTGTCCGCAGATGCCTTCCGGTAAGTTAGCTCGCGAGGCGTCGCCAGGCTGGACCAGCTCACGGGTACCACTATTAGACTCGTCCGAACCCGACCGAGCAGAATTCGCGGAACTGGTCAGTACTTGTCAGTGCAGGCGCGCTCCGAGGAGTATGTGTCCCCGCTGGATGGCGCCTCCGCGAACGTAGGCTCGGAGGGCGACAGATCGAAGTTAGGCTTCATGACGCCAGTACTTATGGAGATGAAGAAGACTCCATGCATGCGGTGCTTTCGATCGAGATGTTCGTGTCAATGACAGGCGTGAGTACCGACGGGAAATCCACTTGTCTTCGCGGGTTTGTCGATAGCGTCATGAGCCATGACTGTCTGCTGTCATCTATACGGAACCCGTCGTAGTACAGCGCGCGCGCTGGATACTTAGTGCCCTACGCAAGCCACCTGCTTGGACTGCCGACATATCCCACTTGCATTGACAGACTATTTGCAAACGTAGTGAACCTCCTCCACAATTCATTTATTGCTTTTCGCGCGACTCGACTCGACTACCTACGAAAAATAGTTGTGCGCAAAATTTGATGATAGCTACAGTGATTGTCCCACACCGACAGGGGGACTTTTTTGCTTCTTCTCGTCAATCATGATCATGCACGACGGAACCGGCAGCGGATATGCGAAGAATGCTCGGGATCGACCACAAACCCCAAATGCGAAATAAAGATGCGACACACTCAATGAACACGGGCCTACGCCTTCATCAGCCCGTTCGGGTCGTATTTGCCCATCAGGGACTTGTGGAGGATCTGCTCGTGCAGCGCCTTGCCCGCGGGGACCATCGGGAACACGTGCTCGTTCGTCTCGACCATGCACTCGAGCAGGACCGGACGCGCGTTGTCGTACTCGAGGAACTCCTTCATCTTCGCCGGCAGCTCCGCCGCGCTCTCCACGCGGATGGCGTGCACGCCCATCGCGCGCGCGAGCGCGACGAAGTCGGGGTTTGTCATGCGCGTGTGTGCGTACCGCGCGTCGTAGAACAGGTCTGCGAGGGAGGTTAGATGGGTGCGGAGATGAAGAGATCGAGGAGGCGGGCGTACCTTGCCATTGGAGGACCATGCCCTGGAACTCGTTGTTCAGCACCATGACCTTGACGCCGATGTTGTACTGCGACGCGGTCTGCAGCTCCATCGCGGTCATGCTGAACGACGCGTCTCCGTCGATGTCCACGACGATCTTGTTCGGCGCACCGACCTTCGCACCGATGGCTGCGGGCAGACCGAAGCCCATCGTCTATAATTATCATCAGTACATGTGCGGCTCGCGCGGGACGCAGACCACTCACTCCCAGACCGCCGGAGGTGACAATGCTCCGCGGGTGCCGCCACCGGTAGTGCTGCGCGGCCCACATCTGGTGCTGGCCGACACCGGTCGTGATGACCACGTCTTCCTTCCGATCGGCCGTCTGCCTGTCCAGCTCCTCGATGACCTCCTGCGGTTTCATCATCGTGCCGGGCGCGTCTGCGGACTTCTCGTACGTGAACGGGAACTCCGCCTTCCACTTCTTGATATCTGCGAACCACTTCTCGCGCGGGGCGCCACGGATCAGGGGCACCAGCGACGCCATGTTCGTCACGACGTCGCCGAGCACGGGGATGGACGCCTCGACGACCTTGTTGATGTTCTTGGGCTGGATTTCGAAGTGGATGATCCCGCCCCGGCCCTCCGCGGCCGCTGCGCGTGCGGCAGGCGCGAACCGGTCGACCTTGCCGTTACACGGTCGTCGAACCGCCCGCCGAGGGCGATCACGACGTCGGCCTGCTGCATCGCGAGGTTCGCATATGCGACCCGTGCATACCCAGCATGTGCAGACTCTTCTCGTCCATCTCGTCGAACGCGCCGAGACCCTGCAGGGTCGTTGTAACGGGGATGTTACCCTGCTGCGCGAGCTGCTTCAGCAACTTGGGGCCCAGGGAGGACGAGAGGACACCGGCGCCAGCGTAGATCAGGGGCCGCTTGGCCTGGTTGATGAGGTTCGCAGCACGCTCGATCTGGACCATGTCGGTCGGCTGGTCGGAGGAAGGAGGGGGTTCGAGGGAGGCCGAGGGGCGGCCAGGGGTAGTCGCCTTGAACGGCAGAGGGTCTTGAGCACCCCAGCAGTATGTCCTTCGGCAGGTCTACGAGACGGGACCAGGCCGTCCGGAGGTCGCGACCTTGAACGCTCGTTATTCTCCGCGGGAGCTCTGCAACGTCCTTGACCATGACGTTCCACTTCGTGCATGAGCGCGAGATGCCAATGATGTCGGCCTCCTGGAAGGCGTCGAGCCAATCAGAGAAGTCGCACCTGTCCGCAGAATACGACCAGCGGGACGCCATCGCTCAAAGCGTCCTGCATGGGCGTCACCACGTTTGTCGCTCCGGGGCCGGAAGTCACAAGCACGACACCGGGCTTCCTGTGACGCGCGCGTAGCCCTCCGCCATATGACCTGCGCCTTGCTCGTGCCGTGGTAGGACAAAGTCGAACTGGGGCGAGTTGTAGATGGCATCGAAGACAGGGAGGATCGCACCGCCGGGATATCCAACATGTGCTTGACCCCATGGCGGACCATCATCTCGTGGAAGATCTGGCCGCCGACATGCCGACGAAGAATGGTCGAGGGGACCTTCAGGATGAGGCCCGAGCATGGGGGGAGGCATGGGTACGTTATTCTTCGATGGCACCTGCTGGAACCCAGGGGCTGGTGCCGGACGTCTACACTGGAGTGAGCAGGATCGAAAAAACATAGTCATAGCATGACTCACACCGCTCCCGTTGCGGTAGCTTCGCGGGCTGTAGAACGACTGATGTTGCGTGCATGCTCTCTTACCCTCGACCTTGCCTCGAGCATGGATGCGCTTGTGCTGGCCGCTGACGACCGGTGGCGAACGAGGGTCATGGCCGGAGCCGCTTTTGCGGTGGATGGGACGCGCATTGTCGAAGGAGTGAGAGGCATGGCGCCGACAACGAGCGGGAGGAGGGAGGGCGAGAGGGAGGGAGCAAATTGACTCGGATACTTGGTGTCGCCTGGAGTGAAGGCATCTATAGCACCTGGAGCGCTCGAGTCATCATTCAGTCAGCTGACTGCTATGAATTACCCCGCACCCCGATCAGGCAGGTCCTGTCTTCATGCCTCACCTCTCTTCTGATCGACTGGTAGCGTCCCCGGGCCCTCCAGCTGCTCTCGCTCTGCGCACCTTGGCTCGGAAGCTCCTGCGCTACATGGAGAAACGATCATGTCCTAGCACTCCCAACTGCCATACTTCTCATCGCAGGAACGCTCTCTCAGGTCTGAGGACTCGCGTACTGACGCTGTGATACACAGCGGCCGTCATCCGCGTCAGTACTTCAGTCCCAAGGAGACAACTCGCTACAAGGCCATGGTAGCGCATGGCCACTAGAATGACGTCGTTCTCGTCCTGAAATCATGTCGATCATAGAGCGCCGAATGCAGGACGTCATTCCGCAATGAACGCCTCACTAGCATCTTCAAAATCGTCAAATTACTATCCGTGGGCGACTCGGACGTGCCCGATAAACCATGTGAGGCAGCATAGAAAGCGAGCGTCTCACCATCGTACAGTTCATGCAACCGGCGATTAGATCCCAAGCTTGGTGCGTCCAGCCCGCAGAGCATGTCGAACACAGGTATTGTCGTCTCCACCCCGCCAGTCGTTGATGCGCAGCTCTCCTTCGATGCTGACGCCACCCTTGTAGATGATGCTGATTCTTCTGTATGGGGGGAGCTTCTCCGGAAAGATCAGCTATGGGTTGGACACGGTTCTGAGACAGCCTTCGCGATGCTATCTTAGGCAGAGAAGACGACAGGGACTTCCACAGCCTGGTGCACCACCTCTCCCACACCCGTACGAGATCCTGTACAAATCCAGGCAGCTCTCCCGCACGCGTTGGACGGAGAATGAGAGCCCGAGGCATGTCAGCGTCCCTGTACACGGGCGATCTGTGGTGACGTGTCTGCTCATCGCGGGGAGACGCATCATAACCGCGTCGGATGATCATACGATCAGCATCCACTCTCTGCCAACGGGCGAGCTCATACGCACCTTGAAGGGCCACAGAGGCGGCGTGTGGAGTTTAGCCGTGACTCGGAATATCCTCGTCAGCGGGTCGACTGATCGGACGGTCCGTGTATGGGATCTAGACACCGGCCGCTGCACTCACACCTTTGGCGGTCATACAAGCACCGTACGCTGCGTTGCGATCGTGCGACCCGAGTTCATCGATGTCAAGCAAGACGACGGCACTACGGTGCAAGAGGAGTGGCCCAAACACCCGCTCATCGTGTCGGCGAGTAGGGACCATACGCTCAGGTGTGGGCTCTACCGAAGCCCGGAGACGCCGAGTTCCATTCGTCCGTGGACGAAGGTGGTGCGGTGGAAGATGATACGGTATCCGGCCGTCATGGATCTGATTCCTCTGTTCTGACCCGGTTGGTCGTTGCCACAGGAGACGAATCCGTACCACAAGCTGCTTCTAGAGGGCCATGACGACGCAATCCGCGGGCTAGCAGCGCGCGGGCGAACCATAGTCTCCGGGGGCTACGATTGCATAGTGGGCGTGTGGGACGCCATCACCGGCACCTGCAAGTGGGTCCTCGCCGGCCATACAGAGAAAGGTGTGTCCGTCGACCAGCCGACTTAAGAGCCCAGCGCTCAATACGCTGACTGTGGTGTCCTCGATAGTGTACTGTGTAGCGCTTGATATGCATCGGGAGCGCGCGTACTCGGGGGGATGGACGGTACCGTACGGGTCTGGAACCTAGAAACAGGAGAATGCCAACACGTGCTGAGGGGCCACACGTCCCTCGTCGGGCTCCTCTCCCTCTCGCCCTCTCTCCTCGTTCTGGCTCCGCCGACGGGACGCAGCGAGTCTGGGACCCAGACACGGGCGATCACATCGAGACTCTCGTTGACTCCTCACTCCGCCCCAGCGCCGTCACGTGCTCCCAGCACGACGGCTTCAAGGTGCTCGCCGGGAGCGACGGCGCGCTGAAGATGTGGGATGTCCAGAGCGGAATGGAGCTGCGCGACTTGCTCCAAGGTGTGGTGGGCGTGTGGCAGGTTGCGTTCGAAGGCCGGTGGTGTGTGGCCGCGAGCAGCAACGTTAACTGTACGATGTTGGATATTTGGGACTTTGCGCGTGAAGACGATGCGGAGTGGATTAGGGAGTCCCCGGACGCTGCGTATGACGAGTATAGCGATGTAGAGGAGCATTGATATGACGCCGTGTCCCTGGAACCTAATCGTGCATCGCACAACCAGGTGCCGCAATATATTGTCAGTCAGTTGCACGCGCTTCTGAAGACTTCACGTATCATACATTTCCGCCGTATTGCTACTGTTGACAAACAAGAAATCAAACTATCTACCAGCTACATCGAACCTTGAACTATGGGGACCACAAGAGGAATGCGACGTCCGTAGCGTCTCCGTACAATACCAACCAGTCCCACCTGACGTCCTCCTACGGCTTCGGAGTGCTCTCCAAAATAGCCTGGAGCATCGCCGTCCCGACCTTCGTCGCGTCCTCGAACCGCGGCTCGAAGAACGACGCCGTCTCCAGAAATCGTTGCTGGTAGAGCTCGAAGCTGCCGAACGATATGCACTGGCTCCACCCGCGCGCCGCGACGACGAACTCGAGGTCGTTCGCGCGGTACGTCGTGTCGTAGAGCGCGGCGTGGATCGCGTGGTCGAGGCGCTCCTGCGAGCGGAAGAGGTACTCCGACACGCCGAGGAGCATCCGGAAGAGCGGCGTCGCGGCGAGGTCGAGGTGCACGAAGGGCTGGATGCCGAGCGCGGCCCAGCAGTCGACCATCGCGAGGAGGGACAGGTGCGAGTTCGCGGTGTGCGTGTTCGGGGGCGCGTCGCCGTTGCCGTTGCCGTTCCCGTTCCCGTTGGCCTTCCCGTTCCCGTTCGCGCCCGAGCCCCGCCGCCAGAGGCTGAACCGGTCGAGGATGTCCTCGCTGAGGAGGATCGGTGCGCGCGTCGTGACGCTGCCATCGCGCGACTTGGTGCCGAACACCTTGTCGCGCGCCTCGTAGATGCGGCGGCGCATGCCCTCGGCGTCGCCGCCGATCATGAGCTTGTAGATCTCGGTCGTGCTCCGCGCGTACTGGTCGATCTGTATCCGCGCGGACGGGTTGAGGATCGCGAGCCCGGCGTAGACGTGCCACTTGTTGGAGTAGATCCGGAGCATGATGTTCACCTTCACGGTCTCGATGCCGCCGACGGCGTGGCCCGTCTCCCAGGGGTACTCTTTCTCGTTCGACCATGCCGTGCCCATGCTGGCAGCGATGAAAGAGACGGTGTCAGACGGGCCTCGCGCACATCGATAGCGGGGAGACACCCCGGGCAGGGAGGGAGCTTACCTCAGGAAGGCGGCGTGCGTCACAGCCTGTGTGTTGCGGTGACGATGTCATGGTCCTCGTAGGAGAGATAGACGTAACGCGACTTGAGCGGCCGTAGGATGTTCTCCACCAACCGGAGCGCCCATCAGGTGCGCGATGTCTGATGAGCACCTGGAACTAAGACATGAGGTAGGGTCCTATGTCAGCAGCAGCAACCTTACTCACCAGGGCTGGCCTAGTGGCGAACGGTTGGGCCGTGCAGCGAGTGACATGATACGATGTGCACATCTTGCGGGAGGTATTTCTCAAATGCGGCCTTTTCAGGGGCTTTGACGGACGTTTGCCTGAGACGATGGCGCCCACTTTGTAGCTGTGCGTCGAGGAATTAAGGTTCAGCGTGCGTGAGAAGAGAAGACCAAACGCTCGACGCACAGGGTCCATACGTGGCGACAACGCGGTCGATGAACTCGGCCTCCACCGAGTACATGATGAAGTCCGCTATCCGGGACACCTGGTGGCCGTCCACCAGCACAGGATGCTGGGTTGTCTGCCGTCTCGACAATGAGCGACATGACGAGGTCGAGCGAGCACAGCGTCTGACTCACTCTCGTACTTTGCTTTGAGCGCTTCGTATTTGGCGGTTGGTCACAAACATAGATCCTGGACGCCACGGGTAGCATGAGCACCACAAGGCTGGAGACTGCTGGATACCACTTTTTCCACCCTCCTTCGTAGAGTATTTGGGCGTACATAGTACCCATCGAGCCCATACCAATCACGCCGATGGCGGGCTGCTCCTCGACGGGCGAGTCCGGGGTAATGTCAGGTCGAATCATGTCGAGTCAAGTCGCTGCAGGTGTGCTGATGGACCCCACTGTCATGAGCGAGCGCACTCTTATAGCAGCCCCGAGCGAGGGACGCGGAAGCGCACCTCGGACCGCGGATCTCCAATAGGACTCGGACAGGACGTGCGGGGTATAAGGCAATTGAGCGGAGGCAACCCGCGCGGCGCGTGTCGCGGGCGCGATCAGACGAGTGCGAGGACGAGCAGGGAGCTATCTAGACGCGTGCAGCTGTGCGCGCCAGGGTGACCACGGTACCGAGTGCCGCCAGGTGTCTAAACAAGGTTCGGCGGTGCGACGCGCGCGAGCGACTTCGCTGCCTAGTAGTAATAGTATGACTACACCTGGGTGAATGCTGACAGGCGGACTGGATGAACAGTCCGAGCGGGGATGCGCTGGGCGGGTGGTTGAGCGAGACCCGGGGCGAGCGGCAGGTAGGAGGAGGACCAGTGGTTTGCTGGGAGGGTGTTCCAGAAAGCGGGGGAGGGCTATATACCCAATCCAGATCCCGGGCGCAGTGCAGATCGCAATCTCGATGGCACTGTGGCTGCGTCCTCAGGCTCAGGGTCCCGCGAACAACGGCCAGCCTCTTCTCATCACACACCCAGGCAGGGAACTGAGCTCATCCCTGCGTGGGCGCAGAGGCCCTGTCGCGGTCACATGCGCCTTGTGCATGGGTTTCACCGCCAGACGCACAGCAGCCTGGGAGTCAAGCGCCCACGACAGTCCGAGTCGGTCTCTCGGCCTCACCACGACAGTCGGTCGCTCGGCCTCATCCTCGACCTTCGTGCGAGCGCGGCCGAGGCCTCCATTCCTCATCGCCCGCTAGACCCCATCGATGACGACGAAGACGGCTCCGAGGCATGTTCGAGAAGGCTGGTCATTGACATCTCGAAGACGAAGAGCGTCCCGGTGAGAAGCGATCACACGGATCGCGAGCCCCTCTTCACACTCAATCGGCTTTGTGGCGCACGCTCAGCTTCATACAGCAAACCGTATCATAGATTATAGGTAGACGGGTATCGCCATCTCGCGTCTGATACATAAGAGCCGTGGTATAAGTTATTAGATGGTACATCTATGCAGCAAGAATGATGCAGATAAATCATGACGGATGTTAGACAGCCAGCGCATCGACGCCCACAGCACAGACCCACTGAACAGCGCACACCCAAGATGCCTGCTTTTCGCACGTGAAGACACGTCCCAACCGTATCCGCACCCACCGCCCAATCACGACGGCCGCTCAGGCGAGGGCCTGACTCGCGCACGTAAACGGGCCTGGGAACTGGCCGTTCCGGTAACCTGCACAAATTCGCCGATGACAATCCCGAAAAACCGCTGGAGACGAAGGACGCACCATCGACGATGCTGTCTATGCTCGCGTACAAGCCCGCGACCATGATGAACGCCCCCATCTGCGCGCGAGGGAATGAGACTAGGGTTAGGGTCCTGCCACGAAACACGCACCAGAATGATGGACGCCCAGAACACCGTCTTGCAGCGCTGCCACGGCGTCGCCCACCGCTCCCCGCGGGGTGTCAGATGGAACCAGAAGATGCCCTGCAAGCCACAGCGTTATCAGTGAGCTTTGATCAACGTGCGTGAGCGCGCGGCAGGAGAGGGGACTCACGGAGATACCGTATGTGAACCAGCTGTGTGGGACGTGTGTGAAGCGAATGGGGGTATCGGTGAGTACGGCGTCAGGCGTTGGGAAGGAAGCGCGCGCGTATGCGTACCTTGCGAAGAGCGAGGAGATAACCCCTAGGAGATCGTTGAAGAACGGGATTCTAGACGGCGCGCAAGCGTGTATTAGCAAATGGCCCAAACCATACTCCCGAAGTGGAATGAAAAAAATGGAGGTTGTGAAATAGCTGTTCGATGGCGAGCGCATATGAAGGCGCGAAGCCGCGCACGGACCCCTCCCACTCCGCGTGCGAGCGGAAGCCCTCGCGCTGTCGCGCTGTCTTCCCCGCGCGTACACGCCATGTCTGCCATCTGCACCCCGTATTCGATGGACCGAGACAGGAAACGAACACTCACACTTCTGCGATGATAAACGCGACCGCCCAGATCGCGAAGCAGATCCCGATCCACGTCAGCCAGCCTGTCCACGAATGCGCGGTCATGTGTCGGGAAGTGACGCCGTCGCGGCGGAATCTGCGGGGCGAACGATCAGGTCAGCACTCTGCGGCCTGCGCGCATATATATGCACTCACAATCTGACGAACACCTGGACCGCGCCAACACCCCACATCAGCACCAGCAAACAAGCACCCACTCTTTCAACTCTAGAAACGCACCAGCTTCGCACACACATGGCCGTTGATCACACCCGCAATCATGATCGTCGGGAGGGCTATACCGTACGCGACCTTGCGCAGCGTCGTGCCCGTGTTGCCCAGCGCAGGCGAGACCGTCTCTGTGCCCGCGTACGCATATACTACGATGCCTACAATCAGGTAGATCGTCGTATCCGCAATCTGCAGGAAGTAGAGTGCCTTGGCGAAGTCCTGGAGGGGTTAAGGAAACGGTGAAGGTTAGCCCCGGGCATGACGAAGTGAATGAGGAACGAGCTAGTGTGAGGAATGGGATAAGAGCTGGGCGATGCTGACCTCGGGTTTCTTCATCTCTGCGATAAACGTAAAGAACCCGACGTGTCCTATAGTGACCAGCGAGTGAGTTCCTCCACAAACACAATGGATGGCGCCTGATACGGACCCGCGTATGCAAAAATCTGGATGAGATGCAGGTATGAGATGCGCACGCTCCTGCCAAGGTAAGGTTTATTTCACGACTCACAATGTCAGTCACAGCGAGGAAGGCGCTGGCGAAGCTAAGGTTCGCGGTAGAAGTGACACCGCCCTGATGGCCTGCGACACCGACGCCAATCATCGTTATCATCACAGCGGCTGGAGGTGAGGAGCGCTCAGTACGCGGTCGTGTGAAGGTGAATGTGCGTTACTCACCGACGATCGAGATGAACGAGGCAACACTAAGATACGAGATGCCGTCAAGCGTTCGCGGGAGAGTGAGGACAAGACATATGATGGCGGAAATGCCGGCCCAGAGCACAGAGCATGAAGCTCCCGAAGTAACTGGAGTCAAGTAGGCGAGTTACTGAGGCAGCGTAGATCACAAGGCATGGATCACGTACTGGTGTCGAACGCAATCATCCCAGTCAGGACGTGACTTCCGCAAAGGAAGACCATGAAAATGACTTGCGCCGCGCCGAGTACTTCACGACCAATCGGCCCCCCGAGGATCATACCCGCATCAGCCATATTGTGGACATGGGGGTAGCGCAGCTTGAACGCGCCGATCATGTAACCGGTGAGAGTCGCGGTCGCTCCGAGGCCAATGACGAGGATACAGCCTGCGACCATTCCGAGGCTCTGGAACACGGAGGGTATCGATAGGACCTGATTTGGGTGGATCAGAGGACACTTATATGCGTCAATTTCAGAAACATGCGCACCCCAAGTGAGACGGTTTCTGCCAGCATGAGTGCGGCGGCTTTCCACCACACCATGGTACGGTACACGACTGTAGGGGCAACACATACTGAACAAGAAGTTTCAACCGAGGAAAAAAATTGCGCACTGTCTGCAGACCCCTCATCTCCATAGACGTCAAACTCGTCGGTCGTCACTGCAGTCTGCCCCTTCATCTGGCCGTTTTTCTCATATGCTCCAGTGCGATCAAGGGCTTCGTCGTGGCTGTCCATGGTCGTAGAGGGAGGTGTTGAAGTCATGTCGCAGAACGATCCCGTCAGCGACTCTGTGTGGGGGAAGATGGATGAGGGAGGCCGCCGGAGGGTGGACGGGGAGCTTGGGCGAGAGAGGAGTAGCAGAGGCGACGAAAGTCAGCCCTATGTATTTGATGAAGAGCGCCTCGCGTGGAGATGAAGTCAGCGGCTGTCGGGGCCATCGCAGGGCTTCTGCTGGGCCTCGTCAGTGCGCTGTGTCACATCTCTGCCAGCCGCTCACAGCCGCTCCACTCTCCACCCCATAACGCGCCCACGTGACCATACACCGCGTCCCCGCCGTCCCCGGCATCGGCCGCGTCTCGGTTCTTCTATGCAACGCCCACCCCGGATGTGCCCGTCGAGCCCGCCGATTGACCACGATCGTGCCCTTTCCCGCCGGCCTTTCGACCAGCCGTGCAACAAAGGCGTCCCACTCGACCATCGCCCGCGAGTGCGCGACCTGTAAAATTTTCTTCATTTCATCAAATTTGTAACGCAGCGGAACCAAGCAGTGCTTCGATTCTCGCGGATGACGACCACATTGATCATCGATGCTCGGGCCATGCACGTAGATCAATTGAATGTCCCAGATCACCGTGGCACTGTCACTATCGTCTGTTAGCCTCCTCATTCGATGAACGACAGGCCTTGGATCAACTCACCGAGTACTGACGCGACGGCGAAGATACTATAGCCGGCCGTTGCAATCGACAGGCACTAGCGGGCACAGCATGCAGAGCATCGGCGGCAACTGCAAACAGTTCTCTCTGCATTTCGTGCAGCAACCGAGGACCACGCCACATGTGCTCTCACCGTACCACATACTGAGCCTGATTCTCCGTGAACGCAGGCGAAGAGACCGACGCGTCGGACGCCACGCCTGTCAAAACCTTTATCGAAGTATGTCAGATGGTCTCTAGCACCGGTATACACCCAAGGCGCCCGCGTCACAAGACACCACAGAAGCTGTTCATGATCGCAAGTAGAAGGTCCACTCGGCCGTCCCAAGTAAGCATATGCATAGCATTTGAACTCACCCATGATCTTGGAACGGAGGAGCCGGACTTATCCTTGCTGTCGGTCTGTCATGTCCTCCTTCAAGGGCTTACCATACGGAGCAACGCTGTAGTGACGCTCGGGGTCGTCATCGCATGAAAAGCCGCTCTGGGGCGGGGCCAGTCTCAGTCGCTTGCATTGGCAGGTGCCGCCGAACTGCGAGACCGGTGAACAGATCCTATCTATCAGGCTTCAGCTCCCTCTCTCAACGAAGCATCAAGTGCACGCGCCCTTTTTGACTGATGCTGCCACTCAGAATCCGCTTCCGTTCCACATCATGATGATGTCACCCAGCGGCACTTGGATGATGGGGGTATGTCGAGACGGGACATAGGCCCCACAACCGATTAATAGGCCTAAGTAACGAGTGAATGACATACAAGCAGAAGCGCGAACGGACTCACCTAACCTTGCATATACGATACCTGTGCCAGATATCCAGTTGCTCAATCTCCATGACGGCTCAGCACCTTGGAAAGAAGAGCGAGAATGAAGAATCAGTCGATCTGACAGGCGAGACTTGCCCTCGAATGCACGCCGAGACGCATGGCACAGCAAGAATGTGTGCCCATACGCGTTTGCGTTCAGACCTCACCCAGGCTTTCTGTTCTGCTCGCAATAAGCGTCGTGATCCGGCCTGTTAGTTAGCCAATGAAAATCTGCTCTGTTCGCGATGCGAGTATCCAGGTGAGTCGTGTAGAATAGATGTAGAGTAGATCCCAACCGGTCACAGCAGCCGCGGGCGCATTGCTGTAATCTTTCGCAACCTTGCGCACAGCTCCATCTGTACCACTCCGCACCATCGCTAACTGAACCGCGATGGCGACTCATACGAGGCCTGATTCGCGCACGTAAAGGGACCCGAGAACTGGCTGCTCTTATAACCTGCAGACCTGACTCAGATGCCAGAGACGGAGCTCTCGGGAGAGGTAACGCACCCTGGATGATGCTGTCGATGCTCGCATACAGGCCCCCGACCATGATGAACGCACCCATCTACGCAGACGGAATGAGTATAGGGTTAGGGTTCTGCTAAGACCCTCTACTGAGGCGGAACACGCACCAGGATGATGGATGCCCAGAAGATCGTCTTGAACCGCTGCCACGGTGTTGACCACCGCTCAGAACGCGGTGTCAGATGGAACCAGAAGATTCCCTGCATGCAGGTTCATTGGTCAATCGAATTGTCGGGCGTACTTACGCGTGCCGGAGACCGGAAAGGCGGTACTCACGGAGATGCCATACGTGAACCAACTGTGCGGGGTGTGAGAGTGCAATTGAGTCGGTTTATGGAGAAACCGGAAGTGTATGCATACCTTGCGAACAGCGATGACATGACTCCCAGGAGATCATTGAAGAACGGGATCCTACCCAACGTTGAAGTGGCTCGGATACAACTGCGTTACAAGCACTCACAGTTCCGCAATGATGAACGCGATCGTCCAGATCGCCAGGCAGATTCCGACCCACGTTAGCCAACCTGTCCACGAGTGCGTAGTCATATGCCGAGACGCAACACCGTTCCTGCGGAACCTGCACAGCCCGACGAAGGATTGCAGTCAGCATAGTTTTGTCTTTGGCCATGTACGTCTGTGCGCTTACAATCTGATGAACACCTATATGTGGCATCGACACTGAGTTCTGAACGGCGCGTCGTTGATGATCGAATGAACCACGTACTAGCTTTGCGGTGACATGCCCATTAATCACGCCCGAGATCAAGATCGTCGGCAGCGCAATTCCGTACGCGACCTTGCGCAGTGTCGTGCCCGTGTTACCTAGCGCGGGCGATACTGTGTCCGCACCAGTATATGCGTATACAACAACGCCTACGACGAGGTAGAGCGTCGTGTCAGCGATCTGCAGGGCATAGAGCGCCTTCGCGAAGTCCTATGTAACAGGAGAGGGTAATTGAAGTCAGACTGAGAAACAGGGACAGTGGCTGCAGTGAAAGGAAGGGATTGACGGATAAGGTGCTGACGAGACTGACCGCAGGGTTCTTCATTTCCGAAAGGAACGTGAAGAAAGTGACATGGCCTACAACCAGACATAAGTTCCAAAGGGTTGTCGAATGTTGCTTGACACAAACCTGAGTACGCAAAAACCTAGGTGCAGGGCGAATGTAAGGGAAGCTACTGGGAGTACAATGCACTGGTACCACTCACGATGTCTGTGACGGCAAGGAAGGCGCTGGAAAACTTCAGGCCCGCGGTCGTGCCAGTGGTAACACCGCCGCGATGGCCTGCCACGCCAACTCCAATCATCGTAATCAACACAGCGGCTAGATTCACAGAGCGTTCAGTGGGGAGAAGTATGTTGGATTACACTGCTGAAGCGATGCTCACTGAAGACCGAGGTGAAAGAAGCTACACTTAGGTACGAGATGCCGTTGAGGGTCCGTGGGAGGGTCAAGACGAGGCAAATGATGGCGGCTACGGCAGACCAGAGCACGGAGCACGAAGCTCCAGCGGTGACTACCAAACCCGTGAGCTAAAGATACTCAATGGCTAGATATGAATGGAAACTTCACGCACTGGTGTCGAAGGCGATCATGCCAGTCAAGGCATGACCACCACAGGAGAAGACCAAGAATACGACCTGGGCCGCGCCGAGAACTTCACGCCCGATTGGCCCCGCCAGGACCATTCCTGCGTCGGCCATGTTGTGGACGTGCGGATAGCGAAGCTTAAACGCGCCGATCATGTATCCCGTTGCGGTCGCGATTGCTCCGAGGCCGATGACGAGTATGCAGCCGGCAACCATCCCGAGAGTCTCAAATACGGAAGGTATTGACAGAATCTGGTTCATTCAATGAGACGCTGTAGGCCGGTAGAGTGATGTGGTGACAGGAAACATACCCCGAGTGAAACTGTTTCTGCCAACATGAGTGCAGCGGCTTTCCACCACACCATGGTGCGGTATTTTACTGTGAGCGTAGAACGCGTAGTAAGTAGCAGGCACTAGAATTCAGAGAAAGAGACCGCGCACTGTCTGCGAACCGTTCATCTCCATAGACATCAAACTCGTTTGTTGTCGTGGGTTCCTTATTCGACCGCTCCGTCTGCCCACCATGCTTCTCGTATGACCCAGTGCCATTGAGTACTTCATCATTGCTGCCCATCTTTTGTGGAAGGACACGCGAATGCGGGTGTTACTTTAGAGATGACCGGGCCGTCGGTACCCAAGTGTCACCGTTTTCGGGTTAGGCAGGACGTGAAGGTGGACAAGAAATCGACCGCAGAGGCGAACAGAGCAACCATTTTTATGGTCCGGGAAGAGCGCCTCGCCAGTGCCTAGCCATGCGATGAAGTCACCGGCCTCGGAAGAGAGGGTGCGAACTGCGTCTTCGTCAAGTGTGATCATCCCATCCAGACTCAGGCTGATGATCCCGCCGTACACAACGCGCCCACGTGACCTAGATACGCGTATCTTCCTTGCGCGATTGACACCCGCCCTATGTCTCCGACGTCCAACGTTCGTGCATATAGACTTTCTCGTCTTCTGTGCCCAATATGTGCTCTTTTGACGATCTCGCAGAGCTGAAGACGCACCGCCAAGGCCACAGGTTTTCAATTGTCGCAATTGTCGCTCCAGAGCACGAGATCGTGAAAATTTATCCGTCTGTCCCGAGGCGCATTGCGCCACCGAGAACGACTGTCTCGAAGCGCACGTCCACATTGCTGTCGGGCTAGGAAAACCCTGGTAAAACATTCCGTTCAACTCCCCACATGCAACATGGATAACTGCGCAGTCCTCAGGCTCGTCTTCACATGCACAAAGTGGGTTCCTGGTACAGCAGACGCGTCCTTTCGACTTGTCATTGATCATGTACTTAGCTTTTCATTGAAACTGATCGATGATCGCTGAGGAGGGATACGGCAAGTCTGAGGCCGCACTGGTCACACAGCACAGTCATATAGTCTCGACCAGTTAGTTGTGTCCGCCCCCCCCCCCGAACCACCAGAGTCATCAACATCCGCACAGCTGCACAACGGACATAGCAGACACGCACAAGAGTTGTACAGAGAGACGCAGCCTCTGTTCCAAGCATACAAAACAACGTACACGAAACACGCAGTACATACATACATCATGATCGTCAAGCACAATACAGTCCATCGATATACATCCGCTCATTTCCACTGTCTCCGTCTGATCTGTCCATTTGTTCAAGAAAGTGACCTCTCGTTTTCAGGTCATTCACAGCTCCCGCACACTGCGCCCATCGTACCGCGTCCCGTTCTCCGCCATGCACCAGTTCAGGCGCATGCACGGCGGCCACAGACCTTCCGGCTCGTCGCCCGCATCTTTCAATAACAGCGCGACGACACCGTGCGCGGGTACCGCGTGTGCAGTGTAGCTGCGAATGGCCGTCCCGTTTTCCGTGTGCGTCCACAGGTCCTACTCGTCATTCGTTGATGCAACATCGACGTGCCATAGTCAACGACCGAGATGACGGAGAAGTGTTCGGAGATAGTGGTCAGCATGGTCAATCAAGTTCGGCGACGGGCCTAAAGCGACTCACGCGGACCGAGTACTGACGACCAGCCTTGATCCAGGGCGACTCCGTAAGGTTGAATGTAAGGTCCGCCGGCTCATCCAAGGTATTCAGCTGTATCATATCCGTTAACATGCTATAACGGCCCTTCAACCCCAACGACCACGCTCACCAACATGAACACCGTGCCATTCTCGCTCTCACCGCTCCAGTACTGTGCCGGGTGAGTAGCATTGTAGGTCCAATCAGGCTGAAAACATGATTCAACCAGTTCAGCGGGTTTCAATCCAGTAGGCTGTGAACGTTGATTGACTCACGTTGATTCCCCAGCGGAAGGGGCCGACGCTAGTTCCGACAACTGGGTCCTGGTTGATCGCTATGATCTCTTCGTTCTTGAGAATTGAGAGAGTCTCCTCGGAGGCAGATGGGAGCTACACTCAGAAACATCGTGCGAGTCGTTCGTGAACACTTGGCTCAGTGAATCAGAGAACGATGGAAGCTCACGTCCGTGCCAATAAGGAGAGGGGACTTCAGCAAGGCCCAAGCCGTGAAGTGCACCTTGGCCTCTTCATATGAGAGCTCGCCGTTGCCCCTGCGAGGCATGAGCGTCACCATATCATCTGAGCACGCCAATTGCCTACGTACACTTCAAGCTTCAAGGATCACCACGCCATCAGACTGGGCCACCGCAAGTAGAGGTGTGGAAACGCACCATGTCCATATCGTTGTGGCTGTAGAAGTCGTTCGCCCATGTGATGAATGAGTTCCTGTATACCGCCTCAACATATTTTATCAAAAACATCCGAGAGGGATGGCAACCTGTTGAGGATATCCATGACAGACCGCCAATTTGCGCCAATATCCTCGGTGGTCTGCAATGCATTCATCAGTGGAGTCCTAAGATTCGAAACCACAATTCATTACTCACCCGCCAGGTCTGACTGATCTTCTTGGCCCATAGCCATGGTTGTTCCTGCAGCAAAGTAGGGATGGTCAACGAAATTTGAACATAGTTCGGGCATGGGGACACTCACCTCTCCCCATTGACACAACGAAAACAGGATCGGAGGCTTGCCGGTGCTCTGAGCAAGATTTCCAATGGCGTCGGCCATCCGCTGGAACTCTGCGCGAACACTCGTCAGTGATTATCCTCGAGGCGGCATCCGATCATGAAACTAACTTCCGACCATGCCTTCTTTGATGACATCGTCAAATGGTACTGCAAATAACTTTATCAGTCTCTGCCCGCGGAGATGAAGCTCTGCCCTACGCACTCGCGCAGTTGTCGTACCTAAGACACGCGTTCAGCACGAGTAGCCCCCTGAAGCAGCGGGAGACTCACTTCAATAGATCGAAGTTCCAGTCTTCCCGGAATAGTTTAATATCCCTGCACGGCATTAGCACACCAAACGTAAAGGTGACGCAAAATGACAGACCTGTCTTCATTTTGGAAGGAACCCGGGTATATCTGGCAGGTGAACCATCCGGAGTCGCTGTACTGCAGAATGATCGGATAGCATCATGACGGCGGTCTCGGTGCAACGAACACGATGCTCACTATACCGGCTTTGCTGTGGTCACGTACTGGTGTCAGAGATTTCACGTGGAAGAATAAATGGTACACTCACAAGCCCATTTCATGTATCTTGTCAGTCAGTGTGCGCATCCCCGAGGGAAACTTTTCAGGATCTACAATATGGACTCTCGCATCAGGAGAACATGCAGAAGACACACGATGCCTACCTTCAACGATATCTCCATTCGAGTTGCGTTCTTTCTCAGAGTAGCAGTCATCGACATTAACGTAGTTGTAACCAAGATCCTTCCGGTGCACAGTCAATACGCAGAACGTGATTCCCAAGCGGCGTGCGCCAAGCAAAGCGGTACGCACGAGAAGTCCCAGAGACTTCATGAGGTCTGAAGTCTTCAGGATCTTATCTTCGTTAATGTCGCACTGGCGATTGGGTCAACTCAAGAATGCCCGCGAGTGCGATTCAACGTACATAATAGGCGTTCCAAGCTATCGCATTCAGCTCGGTCAGCTGGTTTCTGTCGATGAATTCAGGAAGGCTCCTTACTGTTGTAGCCCATGACTACCGCCCGTAAAATCTCAGTACGCAAGTGTTTGGAGCACGGTACCGTACGACGTACCGGGCAACCGGCCGGGTCGTTCATCGTCAAATGACGGTCTCCTCACAGACGAGTGTGCCGAAAAGCCAGGATGCCACAGAATGCCTGAATAGGTCAGCAAGGCCCCTATGGCAGCCACGAGTACGACTGTCATAACGGCCGTCTTCAGAACCGCGAGCCGTCCTTCGACAAGTCCTCAGTAAGCCTGCGGGTGTTTGGCGGCGCATGTAGAAGAGACATACCACGGCTGACACCTCGCGAAGGCAGCAATGGCTGCGTCTCCATCGTTCTCCTTGAGACTTAGCTACGACTCGGGCCAACGTCAATGATCCTGTCCCTTCGAGCCCGTCTGCCCCTCGGTAGACCGAGGCTCTCGTATTGACCACTACGTACTGTTCGAGATTGTTCGCAATCAGCGTGGTTCTGATCTCTGGATGAGCGACTAGATGCGCCCTAGGTCTTCCGGTGCTAACCCAGAATTGGTGTACAGTTATGCAAGACCTCGGGATGAGATAGGGATGCTGCACGCCGTCCGCTTGCGCGTTGCGTCGCAAGGCTCAAGCGTTCTCACGTCGATGCTGCGCTCGGGGCCTTCCTATACGCATGACGTACTGCGTGGGAAACTACTGTACGCCCCCACGGGAACGTCCCTGGCGCAAGCGCAATTCAAAAATCGCTACTCGTCTATTGAGTGCAAGTTCAATGCATTGTCAGGGAGCACTGCATCAGATCCAGATCTTTTGCCCTGTACTCGAATATATATCGACGGATAGTACAGGGACCATAAACAGTAACTATAAAGGACGATCCCGCCGCGGAACCAAAACTCGTGATCCTTCCAGTACTACATCAGAGCACCGGCATCTAGCCGAGGACGACAAATTCTGCATGGTGCAACACAGAAAATTCGCATTTCTGCCTGCTGGTGATGGTGGCCTTGGGTATGATGATTTGAACGGCCTCGTGGACGGTACAGAGATACGGCGAGGGTGGAAATGGAGAGCCAGGGTCTTTGCAGGGTCCTATAGGAAGGGTGTTGCGAGCTTCTGACGAGACATGCATTGGATGGGTAGCCGCTACCGACCCGGGTTGCGTGGCTTCAATGCTTTATTCCTAGCCGACCGAAGAAGACGGAGTACATTCGAGTTGTTTCAGGAGACGCAGGAGACGCATGCAACTTACCGGCGGTTGGACGTACGGATGTGACCGGCGTTGAACGTTGAACGTTGAGCTACCGCAGAGGTCCCGGTCTGCTGGAAAACATCTGGGTAGTACGGTCAGCAACAAGATCGAGCGATCGTCACTTCGGAGACCTCAGTGTATGATCGCTGATCCGATCATGGGCAAGCGGGATGTCGCCCATTCGGGTTCTAAGCGGGCTGACCGTCGTCAGGAACCCAGAAAAGACAAAGCCGAAGGCTTTACTCAGCGCAGAACGCGAACTTGACAGTCCCTTCTGGACTGCACCGCCGCTTGCAACGCTGCAGTACGCCGGCATGATACATCGCATTTCTGGAAAGAAACAAGTCTGATGACACCCTAAGCAGGATCACACTGCTCACCCAATTCGCCTCAAGGCGCCTCGAGGTCGCACACGCCTAACGGAGAGGGCAAATGCCCGATAAAATAGGTAATATTGCATGCCAGTCTGAATGCGAGAACTATCAGACAATGCGTTGTACGCCTGTGTCGGAGAAGAGGGTTTTCGCTGCGAGGAATGATGGGTAGCAGGTAGCAGCCCTGCATGCTTCACCGTACCCCAAGCGTATAGCCGACGAGCGGGGGACCGGAACCTGCAAACAGCATGTTCCTGACATTTTCGGCAATGTCGAGTCCGTCAAGGCTCATCCAGAACGCAAAAGACGTACCTCGCTAGAGCACATTCAGCCATTGAGTACCGGCGAAAGCTTGTCGCTACGCATGCAAGGCGTACCAGGCATGGTGTGCCCACCAATTCAGCGGCAATTCCTCAGTGTGGATGAACTTTACAGCAGCTTCTCTGCCGCAGCTGAGGAACCCTATAACGATGTGTCCACATTGTGGTGTTATGCCACCGAGTTCAAGCTGACAGGAAGTCGGACCGCTGAGCGATACACTTGCAATGCTACGTGAGTCAACCACTAATGAGTCATATCGAGAACCTATGACGCACCTCCTTCGCTGTTCTTGCGCGTACGTATCTAAATACCGTTATCAGGTTGTGCCGCTGGGCATGCACTACGCTTAGCACGCACGCGACCACGAGGCTTCGGGGCGTTAAGTCCGACAATATCGTGCTCTATCCAAGGTCCACCGGCACGACGACTCAGTCCACGTTCCAGTATACCTCCGAGCGACCGGAGGAACTCACCATTCAGAACCGTCCACCAGAAGCCGGACACAACGCGAAGATCAGCAGCACGGTGGGCTGTGGACTGTGGTGGACAAACGAGGCATTCGATGGGACGATAGGCATGTTCCGCGGGAATGTTATACTCTCAGCGTGTAGATATATGGCACGGAAGGGGTTTATGCAGCGCGCACAAAACAATTAAGGTGATCAGGTGCGTCCGGGGAGTCGTCCAACTGTCCGGGGCAGATCCTGATCGATGCGGCGTCGCGCTGTTTCTGGGCGAGTATCCTCGCGCGCCGAGGCGACGTTATGTCCGCTGACTTTGCCATCGGATCGATACCAGACGGTGCCGCGCGATCAAGATCCTGCGAGGATATCGGGATAGAGCCTTCCGTAGAACAAGTGATGTGCAAAGCTGTGCTCCCAGACTGTGAACATACACGATGAGGATACTACGATTTGGCGATATGTGTCTTGCGAAATCCGCGGTGCCCTGAACGATCGATGCAATATCTGAAAACCGTGCTATTCACTGTATATCTGAGCAGCACAAACAAGACAATGACTCACGAGGCCGTGGGACTGGGCCCCGTTGTACTACTTTTGGACAGCGCAGCCCAGGTCAGAGGTATAATCGAGGTCTGAACGAACGTGTGATCATGTATGTCAAGCTTCCCGATTCTCGCAAGGCTCGCGCAATGTGGTTTGGCCACTACGCACAACGCACACATTGCGGGCCATTGAACCTAAAGTCGGCATCACCTCGGGTACCCAGGCCACGCCTCCACAGTGCGAACGCTGCGTGAGCCTGGACGATGAAAGCTTATCAGCCAATTCCCAGGGCGGCTGCGGTCTCGACGAGGTGGCGTCCAAGCGCCGGCAAGGAAAGCGACGAACGCAGCTGGCTTCGCAGGCCCACCGTGCTCACCGGACGCACCTACTTACACGTCCCCACCGTGCAGGGCTCTCCATAACGAGTGTCTTCTGTGCGCATGGTGCGAGACCACGCTGTGGCGCGATAACGAGGCAGCGACGCATGCTCCGTCCGCCCTCTTGCGCAGGCTGTCGTGAGAGAGCCCGTCCTCGCTTGTGAAGGACGCGTGCGGGAGGGTTTGAACTCTGTGCGACAGCTGCTAAGCGAGCCGGGGGTGAGGACGCGGAAGGAGACGAGTGAGTTGAGATAGGGTTGTTGGGATACGGTGGTTGGCGGGGCGGCGGAGACGAGTGCGCGACGGCGCCCCAGCCCGCCTGGAACGAGGTTACTGCCAGCTGCGTCGGCCTTGTTGCGATCTAGCGGAAAGGGCCGGGGCTGCATTTCCAACTGTCCCTAGCGTACGGTGGACACTCGGTATGATGGCAACAAGAGTGAAGTAAGGACCGCGGTGGATTATCGTAACCCTGTCAAACTGTATGTTCGATCGACAAGTCAGCAACGCAGCGTCGCGTGAACGCACACTAAGCATGATCACAACATACCCTGAAGCTTCCAATGCTGCCTTAGCATTTCGGCGAGCGTGAGCCACACGACCAATCGAGAGAAGGACACCTACGCGCGAACATGAACAAGCTCGTTAGTGACCACTCGGACAACCGCTCGCTTCGATCGGAATCACATCGGGCCTCTTCACTAAGCCGCGGAGCGTCACTTGCACAGGGCCAAATCGAAAAAAAGTGGTGAATGGGTGCGAAGCTCCTATGCCTGTTCGGCTCGGCTCAGGACACAGCGTCGGGCTCCGGTCAGCACTCTTCGGGCAGCGTCGCCTCGGCGGGTTGATTCTGCGGCCGAACGTAGAGCCCACCCACCGCCATGGACAAGCATACCGCATCCTTCGCTCACAGCGGAAACCGCACTCCACCCAAACCCCACCCGCCAAATTGACTGCAGTGCTATTTCGAGCGCCAAGATCGTCGCACAAGCTAAATCCTCGGTCGCCACTCCACCCCACCTCGGAGTCGCGACGCCAATCCAGTTCCACCGCCCATCGTCGGACGAAGAGCGATTGAGATGCATCTAGATAGGAATCGCAGATGAGAAGGCTCGCTGACCACCGCGGGTGGACGTCCATAGCTGGCCAGTAGCGATCCGTGTCCGTGAGTTAACGGACTTGCGCGGGGGTATGTCGGTAGGTTCATCGGGATCACCAGTCGCGAGAGTAGATGGCACGCGCGAAACGAGCGGTACACACGCGCGTGGGCTAGTGGTCCAGTGAATGGGGGGACGACGGAAAGCCAGTACACGCTCCAGACGCACTGAGGGAGTCCGGGAAGCTGTCAGTAACCAAGCAGAGTGGTCAGACGACATTTGTTCCATTTTGACGAAGACCAAATCGCCATTTTGACCATGGCACCGGAGAAGCCGGTGACGACTTTGACCAGTTGAGCGCGTTCCCCGCAATCCCGACCGAGGCCCGCGGAGAGCAGATCATCCTGATGCAACTCTGTTCCAATCGGACATTGTATGCAGTCACCACACCGGGTCGCCCCGCAAGCACGATCGGGATCGGAGGAATACGAGATGCACGATATAACGCCAGGTCGGCGCGCTTGTCGACCGCCCAGACCGCCGCAATATTCAAGATAGCAACGATAGATCCCCGACGAACCTATCGCTGGCCGAGGGGCCACAAGCGCAGACAGTCGCGACCGGGGATACGAGGCGCACGATCCATAGCAAGGTCGAGATGCCCGGATGAGTTGCCCAGAACGGTATCTCCTAGGACCGAAGACCGTACGGATAAGATTGTGCGAATGCGACCGCCCGGGAGCGCTGGCCCGGCGAGCCAACCACGGAGTCATGGAGTCATCTGTGAGTCATCTGTACACTCGTCGCTGGCCAGCGTGTCCAGAACGTCTCCCATCGACCATCGTGTCGACGATCCAGGTGTCCTGGTGTCTGGATGTACCTGGATGGCTGCCCACTCCGCACTAGCAGTCGATTGCCAGTGATCGAGGGCGATGGGCAGGGGATCATGCGCGGAAGGCTGAACGTGATTCGTCCAGGCTCGGCTGGACGGTGTTCAGTATGAAAGCCAGAACGGGCAACCGAGCCGGGCCGACCAGCGAGGGGCGCGATGAGGAGATGCGATCTCATGCCAATCGGGTCGTCCGTTGGCTGCGGCGAGTGCGGGGTCGACGTGTGCGTGTGCACGAGCGCTGCGGCGGCACTGCAGCCCGGGGCGCGTAAGAAGGACTGGTCAGACAGGCGCGGATGGTGCCTGTACTGAACGTCCGGGATCGGGCGAATTTGGCTTCCAGCGCGTGTGGGCACCGTGCTCGCCGGGGAGGTGGGATGATCGAGGCTGGAGTTAGCGCGGGTGGAATTAGAGTCTTGCGTGCGGGCTTGCGTGCGGGCGTGTCGTGCTCAGAGACGGAACTGAGGGTACACGATGTGGGCGATGAATCGATGGTGCGTCATGCGCCGCGTAGCACCGACCGCGAATCCTGAGGCTGAGGACCACATGAGGTGTGGAAGAAGAGGACAATCCATGAATGAGCCGGAGGATAGAAGCTTGCAGGCCGCGGAAATGGATGCTGCTAATAGTAACGTCCCGCGTCAGCAGGAGGGCTGTATTCGGGGTGAGTAGTGTCTGCACCGACATCGTCGGCGTGGTGTCATTTCGAAGGTAGTCGCGTCTACCGCTGAGTCGGCGCCTGGCTGGAATGGCTCTGGCTTATGGATAGCGTGCGGTCTCGGAGACGATCCACAGCCATCGACAGTGATTGGGTGGGAGCGTCTGATTCAGCCATGGCGTTGAGTAGACCCAGTCATTTCCAGGAGCCGGACGGGATGACCAAGCGCAGTATGAGTCAGGTACGATGCGGTGGGCCTCCTCGGAGAGCGAATAGAGGGTCAGGTGGGGCGCAGTACGGCCATGCAAGACATGACGATACAGAGACAGAATGGCACCAGTTTGGCCTGGCTATCGCTGGAGAGACAGTGGAAATTGCCCCGGCCTGCCGCGGAGGGGCCATGGATGCTGTCTGGGCGCGCCACAGGTAGCCAGCGTATGCGGACGAGAGATAGGTACGGTTGGGTCACGCATGCTGAGGCCGTAGAGACGACGCGTATCCAGCAGACGCTCGGCCGAGGGGACGGCTGGGCGTTGCTGCCGGGACGAAGTCGGCGCATCCCGCGTTGTGGATTCAGGCTGCTGTGGTTGGGCCGGCAGGGGTGCCGGTGCGCCCGCGCCCGGCTTGTGACTGAGCAGCGATGGCCTGCGCGGTCGTCCGGGACGAGGAGGGCTATCGATGCCGTGTGTGCGGACGCGTGTGTTGGGCCTGCCCGCTGGATCACAGGGGCAGGGGGAGGAGGGAGGGAGGAGTAATTAGAATAGACTGGCACGGTGCATGCTGGGAAAGCACGTTGCGGCCAGGCGAGCGGCGGCGAGTGGCTGCAGGCGATATCGCGAATATGGGGTCAATTGGGACTGCACCCGTGGGAACCCTGGCACCTCCCGCAAACCGCAGGCGCTGCCAGATCGGGTGCCCGATGACCAACCCGAGCGACGCTGCCTGTCGACCCATGCCCGCGTATATAGCCCGCCCCGATCGCACTCGCCCTCCTCGCCGCCCCTCCCTCCCCGCGCCATGTCCACCACCTCGTCCCCGCCCCCGTCCCCCCACCGCCACGTCCACCACCTGCACCGCTCCCACTCGCCCATCCCCCACATCGCCACCATCCTCCCCACCCACCACCACACCTCCATGTACGCACCCGGCACGCGCGCCGCGGACATCTCCCGCCTGCTCGACCCGGCCTACGCCAGTGGCTCCTCCTCCTCGAGCGCGTCCACCGCGAGCCCGACCCGCCACAAGCACACCCAGACGCGTGCCTACGTCGACCGCCACGGCGACCTTCACGACCCGGACTACCGCGACTTCCCCGTCCTCCCGACCACCTCCCGCACGGCCTCGGGCTCGCGCCGCCGGCGCACAAGCCATGGCGCGCGCTCCCGCAGCACCAGCCGCCACGCCGACCGCCAGTACTCGACCGCGTACTCCATCGCGCGCCCGGAGTGGGAGCGTGACTGGCCCACCGAGGCAGGTGAGGATGACGACGAGGACGTGTTCGACGACGACACCGAGTCCCAATCACACTACTCTCCGTTCGCGTCGCACGCCGCCACGCGCCGCAGCTCGACCGTTCACTCGACGCCTGCCTACCGGCCGTACGTGCCCGTGCCGTACACGGACTACACCAGTGACCCACAGCCGTTCTCATCGTCGCCAGTAGACTCGCTTGACGACCACTCCCCGAGTATGTTGCAGGAGTCGCCATTGCACGACACGCCGTTCCTCGGGGACTACCTGGAGGGCGAGTCAGAGGAGAGGCGTAAGAAGAAGTCGCGCAGGAGCAGTGGTAGCAGTGCCATTCTGGGGAGGAAGAGCTCGAAGAAAACTGGCTCTCAGGCGAAGGAGGTTTCCGTAGACGGTGGCTCTGAGAAGAGCGACAGTGAGCATGCTGCTCAGCAGTTTTCGGTCGATGGCGAGCGCGCCGACGAAGTGTACGTGTCTTTGCATCCTGGATATATTTCTTCCAAGCTCATCCGTTTGTTCGCTAGGCCGTCTTGTTCTGACGCGCTCCGTCAACAATGGGCGCGGCTTGCGCTCCGCGTGAAGTTCAGCGTCTTCCGCGCGCGCCGCCGTCTCAGGTCTCGCAGCAACGCGCAATCTGACACATCACGATTCCCAACATAGATCCCGCACCATCTCTGTTCCACCTCACACATCAGCATTCATGCAACCGGTCTTCTCCACCATCCGAGGCATACGCTGCCTTTCCAGGCTCCGAGACACCGCGAGACGGCGATAGACTCCGCCAGCGCAATCGCGCTGCTCACGGTGTCCGGCCAATGTGTCCTCCATTGCCGGCTCAGGGGCGTCACGCGTGCGATCGTCCGCCTCGTCCATTGTGCATCGTCTCATCTTGTTTTCCATCCATCCGATCTTCGTCTTCCCCCAGTGATATATCGGATTCATCTCGGCGACAGTTCTCCCTCACGTCGTATTTTCGTCCTTCGTGCGTCCTCAGGAACCTCGCGCGCGTCACAAGTTTTCTCTGCAAATCCTTCGCATCGCATTGGCCGCGGGGCGGTACCTCATCCAGATACCCGGCTGTGCTGACGAGTATCAACGCTCGGTTTTTTCTTCGCCTTACGAACTTTGGAACAATATTCCTCCTCGACTTCGTTATGTCTCTCATCTGACTCACGTCGCGATCCCATCTTATGTTTTCACGCATCCATCACACCATTTATCCCGGAGCACACGATATTTTTTACGAAGCAGGGCCGGCTCTCTGAGTGAGAGTGTGGCCGGTGTAGATGACGAAGCGGTCCTGGCATAGCAGTGGGGCCAGTGCAGTGTTCGTTGTACATAGCCGGTGTGGTAGCAGTACTAGCAGTAGGAGTAGCCGACGATGTCGAATGAATGAGAATGCGATGACCAACGAACCCACGGGCCTGTGCGGAGGATGACTGTGCGTGGGTCGTCAGCGTGGTCCGTCGAGCGGTGCTGCGAGCGGCTCGCACGTCCGACCACCTCGGCGCGCTTGCATTGCCTCGCGCCCGCTGAGTCACGGCGGACGCGTCGCAGCGCGGTCACGTGTAGCGCGTTCCCTCGGTGTCCGTGCCGAATGGGGAGCCGGGCCGGAGGTGGGACGCTGTTGGCGCCGGTGTACCCGTCGTCTTCGTCTGCTCATCCATGTCGCAACACTCTCCTCCGGCGCACCCACCCTTGTCCAGCCTGAGCAGCCGGTACTCCCCGTTCCCTGAATGCGTTGGAGGCTGCGACCGCCACCCGCGTCACCTCTGACAGCATCGCAGGCCGTCGTGGCCTCAGCTGCACACGGTTGGCAGGAACGCACGGTGGGGCTCCGCTCGTCTTCCCAGCTGCAATGCGCCAGCCGCACCTCGCCCCTCCCTCCCTGCGCGCGAGCACGGTTTGCCCGATCCGCAAAGCCGATTGTGCTGTGCGCTGCGCCGTCGTGTGGGGCCCGCTATCGTCCTGCGCATGCGTATGCCCTCGGCGGGTCGGGTGATACGCCGAGCGTGGCCCGCAGGAGATCCGCGCCCCTCGTGAGTCGCGTTCGCCGTCATTGCCCGGCCGAGATACGACTCCTGTACGTGTTCAGTACAGAGTGTCCTCGCATGCTGTTCGGGCTCTGGCGTCTGGAAGGCGGTCTGGGTCCCCGTCCATATGACCGTGTCCTGGCCCGCAGCCACTGGCCGACATTTGCGCGCCATCGACAACTGTACATGTTGTGGACTCTTCTGCTTGGGGGTCCTTCTGCGATCGCCCCGTGCCCCGGTGGCCTAGCTCCTCGTCCATTTCCCGACATACACGGCCCGCGACGTAAGTAGTACCGTTGCGATCATACCTGCTAATACATGACGTCACCTGCGGAAATAGAGTACAAGGTTCGTCTACATCTACAGTACTGTATCTCCGCTTTCGCGTTGCTATCATGTGTTTTCTATGTTTTAAATTAGGACGCGACGTCTGCGGCAGACTGCGCGTGCATGTTTGCCTGCAGGTATATCTTTACTGGTCCGGTGGCTGTCGTCACTAGTGTTACTGTGCACTGGACAACTGTCTCCTCCCGCGCTCCATCTGACTGCAGCTGCCTATACGACTTCTCAGGCCGAAATTGCCACCAATGGCTGCGGCACGCGTTGTAGTACAGGAGGGATGCCGGTGTACGTATCCTTCTCGGTTTCTAGCCGTTGTGTGAGTTCTCTCTCGATCAACCTCTCCGTGTTCCGTGATCGTCGTGTACTGTACAAACAACGAATGGCTCGTCATATTTCAATGTCATCCGAGGCCGCATCCGCCGTTCTGTGCAGTCACATTCTGAAGCGTTTCGGAAAAGTATTCCCTCGAAGCATCATCGACACGGAACGTCGCAGATAGCATCCTACTTCCGGAAGGCACATTTCCGAAGAATTCGCCGCGCCTTCGCCTGAAATTGAAAAGTTCGCAAGAAGGTCACACTGTTCATAACTGCTATATGTATTACCAAGATTCTAATAGCTGCTCTACTGCTACACTCTGGCTATACTGTCCGTACGGACCCACTCTGAGAAACTATGAGCATGACCGCCGTGCGCACCTACACAAGAATATGTGACTGAAACAATAACAAGAACGGAAACTTGGGTAGTAGATACAACGTAGATCGGAAACTCGACAGCGAGCATTCAGGATAGAGACTTGGACAGAAGACAATAATAAGGGGGACTTTCGACAAGTTCTGAAAATCACGACGTCGCCTGCTGCAAGAGCTGCGCAAGCGCAGGCGACGGGTCCACCGCGCGCGAGCGCTGCGCCTCGATGAACTCATTGAGATTCGTGAGGACGCGCAAGCTCGGCTGCAGCTGCTCGTATACCTTCGAGTAGAGCAGTTCCTCCTGCTTCCGCGCGTGGTTGAGCGCGCTGTCCTGCACCGCGGACACGGCCGCCATAACCTCTTGCTCGTACCTCGGCCACATGAGCTCGGCCAGCCGCGCGCAGAGCTCGTCGGTCGTCGGCGGCGGGGGCGGGGGCGGCGTCGGCTGGTGGATCGAGAAGCGCCTGAACGCGGCCTCGAGGTCGCTGATGGCGCGCGTGTTCGCGTTCTGCGTGGCGAGCGCGTCTTGCCTCTCGTGCTCGAGCTGTATCGGGATGATGTCAGTACGAGCTGTGGGAGGTAAGCGGGCAGGGAGCGGACATACCCTTGTCAGACGCGAAGACAGGTCCTCGTGCTCCGCGTTGAGCTTATACGCCTCCTGCCACCACTTGGAGTCGCGCTCCTTGATATACCGCACGTCTTCACGCAACTTATCCAGCGTGTCGAGCGCGAGACCGATCTCCTCTTTCATCTCGACGTATTTCTGCTCCATCGCGTGGGCGATAGCAGCCTCTGCTGCCGCCGTGCGCTGCTCCAGTTCGGCTCGGCTCCGGGCGGCTGCCTCCTCGACGGCGAGTTGGACTGAAGTCGGCATCGAATGGGTCACGAGTTCCTGGAGGTAGGTCTGCAGGTCATCTATGCGGCTCTCGACTTTGGTCAGGCTTGCCGAGAAGTCGGACTCATTTCCTTCAGAGAGAGGGGGCTGGTTGTCGGCTACGGGTTCAGCGGGCAGTCTACGAATACCTTGCATTTGCTCATCTAGTGACATTGTACTGATGAGTGACGTCCCAGAAATCGAGATTAATGCTCACTCATGACGGCCATGTAATCCTTCAGATCCTTCGCATACTCCTTGAGCGCGTCGAGATCACCGCTGTTGTCTGCAGACCCGTTCCAGCACGCATCGAGCGGATACCTCTCTAGCTTGGTGAGAACATCTTCGAGGCGCTTCTCGAGCTTCTGCGCCGACTTCTTGTGTTCGCTGTACGCCTTCTCGAGCGGCGAACGTGCGGCCTCGCTCGCGTCCTGCAGCCGCCGCGACCTCAACAGCCGCCTGACTCTGTCGCCCGCGGCGTTTGCTTCGGTGATGTCCTGCAGGTACTGGACCGCCTTGTAGATATACCTGTGCGCGGTGGTGAGTCGTGCCACGACTGACCGCACAAAGGGACTTACGTGACGAACGACTTCCACGACAGAGCTTGTTCATCAGAACCAGGTTCGTCCGGGTCAGCGTCACCTTGCGCGAGATACGTTGGCTCTGAAGGGCTTATTGTAGGGTCGTCGAAGGCATAGGACGTCCTTCGGGCTGCTGCCGACGAACCAAGCAGCGCAGCAAAGGGACCGTTAAGCCCTCGGTCGTCCTGACTGGGGGACCTAGCGTGCACGGCATTGCTGGTGACGACGGGACCTGTCTACTCAGACATCAGCTGTGACGTGAGTTGGCACTAATAGCACCCAATGACATACCCTCGGTTCATCCCGTGCAGTGACGCTACTTGCCCCAGAGACGGATACGGTGCGAGAACGAGAGCCGCTGCCAGTGTTGGTTTGGGGGGCCTCGCTGAACGAGAACGGGTTCGGGGCAGGTGGTTCCGGCGGTTCAGTAGCCCTGACTTCGCCTGTGACGCCCCAACTTGCGCCGGGCTGGCTGGTGTCATTCCACCCGCCATGACCGCTGCTGGTCGCACCGGCGGGCCATGCACCGCCTGCATCTGATGTCGATCCCCCACCCGTATTCGAAGCCCAACCCCACGATTCTGCCGTGTTCTGTTCAACGGCTGGCCATGGTGTCTGAGATGTATCAGTCCTAGGGGGCGCTCTGGCCACGGCGGGAACCGGTGCAGGGGCCGCAGGCCCACTACCAGTCCTATCATCCCAGCCTCCGTTGCCGGCGCCCGTGTTGGACCCCCAGTCGTTTGTTCCCCATCCACCTGGTGCTGCTGCCCCATCACCCGATGGTACACCCGATGCGCCTGGTGATGCTCCCCCAGGTGCATTACCCCATCCGCCAGGTGTTTCCGCCGTTGATGTACCCCATCCACCAGGTGTTTCCCCCGTCGATGTACCCCATCCGCCAGGTGTTGTTTCTCCCGTCGATGCGCCCCACCCACCAGACGATGTTCCTCCCGACGAGGTGCCCCACGCACCCGTCGAAGCTGTTCCGTTGCCCCCTCCGGAAGGCGTTGTGTTCCAGCCCGAGTCTTGCGTACGTCCGGTAGCGCCGCGCGGCCCTGTCGGTATGCCATCTGAGTGGCCGCCCCCATTTGCTGAGAATCCGCGTCCACGGCCTCCAGGCGCACCGCCGAACTGCCAACATCATATCAGATTCAAATTGAATATCATTTCGGAGAGAAGGCACGTCGTGGGCGCATCCGGGGCTCCGAGAGTGTCGGAACGATCAGTGTGTGGTGCGCGACCGGACACACGACACGCCGGGAATGAAGCAGATCCATCACCCCCGAACTGCCGCGACCCCGTACGCTGCCCACTCACACAGTGTGAGACAACAACGCACCTGAGCCCTCGACCTTGGGGGAGGTGCCGAGTCCCACCCCGGATCACTCGGATGTACGAATCTGCAGTCAATTCCTATGCGGCTGCAACCACTATGGCGGGGTGCGCCATCATCCGTGTATTCCTGGTCGAGACGACGCGTCAAGGTCATCCACGAGTGCTGATCGCTGAACGCGACTTACTCTACACCGTGCAAAGGGCATGTCGGCAGGTCGCCAGATTGCAAATACTGACGTTACGGTCAATACAACGACAACAGCCGTTTCAGACGCGAAGTTGTAGCGTTGTCTTCAATGAGGTAGCGATCGGGCCCAGATTTGCGACGCGTCGAGCGAAGCCACAGTGGCGTCGACCCGTCTTGCGATGCTTCACGCGGGCGTCGACGCACAAAGACGATGTACGCGTAGTGATTGTCTGGTTTGCTCGTGGGCGATGGAGGGTAGAGGTCAAGATCGCCTTTATGCCACTGGGATGAGAGTGCACATGAACAAGTGAGAAGGGCAGTCGCGCATGGCGCGTGTGATAACCGATCCTGGTCCGATCCAAATTTGGTGCGTCGTCTCCGTCCCACGTTCTCGTCGACATTGTATCTGAACAAAGGAGAGCTCGAGGCAGTGTATGTTATTGACACAAAGGGCTCCTGGTTAGCCCTGGCAAGTACTCTACACTATCCTACTCATCACCGTCATCAAGCTATACCACGATAGAAGGAGTGAAAGCCGTAGATTGCCGTGCAGAGAGGACCTCCATCCGTCATGTAAGTGAATCGTGTCGCGTCGTGTCTAGGAGAAGATACAAGAGGGAAGTGGGTGTCGCGCGGAGATCGGTGGGTAGATGGAGCAGATCCAATGCATGGTAGTACAGCTCGTCAGCAGCGAAGCAAATAAAAACTGCCCGATAAAGAGAGCGAAAGGGATACGGAGCAAGAATAAAGATGGTCAAGACGTCAACGTTCGTATCGCACGTAGCACAAAGTCGTCACATCATCGATGGACCAATCACCATCCCCACCAGCGGGCTGGCGGCGCGCTCTTGGGTTCCGCCTGACCGTCACGGTCCTCTCCTCCTCGATCTCCGGCTCCACGGTCACCGGCTCCTCAACGACCACCTCAACGGCGGTTGTGCGAGGAATGTGCGTAGTGGACGACAAAGGAGAGACGATTTGGGGAGTGGGTGAAGCAGCACGACGTGTGTTCGCGGGTGGAGGGACGCTGATTTGGGTGGAACGACTTGGTGTTGCGTGTGTGTGACAGTCTTGGTTTCGACCGCTACCTCAACAGCCGCCTCGGTGTAAACGAGCGGAGGCGGGAGAGCATTGTAGGGAGCATCATAATAGGGGGCAGCAGCGTCATAGAAGGGAATCTGTCAACAGAAACCGCGTGTCAGCAATGTCTCTGCACACATAGAGGGGGGATGCAGAATGATAACACGCCCGCGTCCGTCATTGATCGGTTCCCTGAGCACCACGAAGGTATCATGTAGCAACCAGTCACGTGGGAAGCGCGTTGCCCTCAAACACGCGTTTCGCGCGTGGACAGGCCTTGGTTATGCCAGTGGACGCAGAAGGGTTATCATTTGCAGTAAGGACACGGGGGACAAAGCTTGAAGCACCGTGGTCCCCCAAGCCCAGCGACGAAGGAGGGGGGAGGACGTGACGGAGACAACGAACTTGTACATCAAGCAGTTAAAGAAAATGTCGGCATAGATGGAGTAGGATCCCCCTTCGTCTCAGAGCTCGGAGCGGCGCTGAATAGGCGGGGGCGGGGGTACCTTGGGTTTCCGTCTCGCGTTAGTTGGCTCGTACTGGACGTATTCTTCTTCGACAACCGGCTCGTCGCTGTTCAAGGCACTGTAGCACAGACAATCTAATCAGCGTGACATGTTCAGAACGCGAACTGTCACACTCACACTAGTTGCTCCATGATCCAGCTCTCGCGACGAGACGCGTCGTGTTCGCGCCTGTTGACCGCCTCCTCGCGTCGGCTGATCTCGCGCTCGCGCTCGGCGATCTTGAGTTCACGGTCGAGGATGTCTTCGGCGCGAACACGCGCCTGGTCCCACCACCCGGGCGGGGTCAACGACTCCTCCTTCACGACTTCCTTGATGACGGTCTGGATCGGCTCGGCGACCTTCTCGACAAACGCAGGACAAGGTGGGCAGCTAACTGGGCTGGGGGACGCGACCACGCCGCCGGGGGCGCCAGCGAGCATCTCAGCCTCGCGACGCGCGACTTCGGCCTCGCGGACGGCGACGTTGCTCTCGCGAGCGATGAGGGCTTTGGTGCGTTGAGGGGTCAACATGCCCCAGAAGCCCTGGTTATTTGGGTCCGTGCCAGCAGCGTCCCCGCGAGCGGTCTGCGATGATGGGAGCGAGAGCATGATCGCGAGGACCGCGAGGACGAGCGAGAGGACGAGGAGGAGGGTGGTGACGAGATGGTGCGGTGGTGGTGATGCCGGGAAGAGCTGCTACGCTCTCGCTCTCGCTCCCGCTCCCTATGAGACGATGAAGGTTGGGCCATCCTGACGCTAACGGAGTTCGAGGGCGACAAGGATGTTGAGGTGCGTGCTCTGAGCGTAGACGTAATGGTGGTAGGCGGGAAGAGGATGGAGGTTACGCGTTCTCGGTTGTCAGGAGGGGGGATGGGTCGTCAATGTTCGATACAGCGGCGGGAAGATGGAGAGAAGGAGGAAGAGAGATGAGCTGGAGGCACGGTATGGTTGGTTTTTCAACACTGTCCCATATTAAGGAAATTGGTGTACAAATACGCATAAATACACCCTACACGTGTTCGGAACTCCATTGTGACACGATGTAACACGCGCCCACCCATGCGGCAACCACTCTGACTCAACAACGAGTCGAAATTTTGGGCATAGCCGTCGTAGGATGGGACGAATCTAGCTCATCGTGCTTGGTCTGCACTGAAAGGTTGTCCTTCCTCAGGTACAGTGTTTGTGACACAAATGGGTGTGACCGAGGACTTATTGAGGTGTGACGTGTCAGCGCTCCGTCACGCGGCGGACGCGTTCTGATCGGCGATCACACACCGAGTCCCAACCGTGTCCTGACGCGGTTCAGGCGCCTCTGCAGTCGAGCTTGGTTGCTGCCACCACTTAGTCGTCCTCGTCCCGCACAAAAGCTCGCTGTAGCATCACACGCTATCATGACCTCTTTACGACGCTTCGCGCAGACGAACAATGCCAACGGGCAGCATCTCCGCGACAGCATGCCTCCGCTTCTACGCAGGCCTCGCCGACGACGCCTGTGCGCACACCTCAGCGCACGCGTATTGTTTACCCTGCTTCCCCAGTGACATCGCCGTCGATATCCGCGTCGACCCCTTTTGACTGGGAGGCTGCAAAGTCGTACAGACCGCCACCATATGCCACGCCTCTCGCGAACAGGCGCGTTCGGGGCCTGCGGCAGAGCGATGTTGGCACGCCTGCCACCAGATCACCGGGATTTGGCACGCCCAATGCGAGGAGAGAAAGAGTTGTGCGGAAGAAAAACATTGTTGAAAGGTCCGTTTGCTTTCGTCATCATCCGCGCATATACTGAGCTTCGAGCCTCAGAATAACCTCTATCCCCTCGTGGATTGCTTTCGAGATATCGCTGTTTCCCGACAACATTCCAAGACCCAAGCCAAAAACATCTGCCCAACTCATAGGCGGCTTCCTACACTTCGTCCACTTCTGCGTGCGCGTATCGCGCATACGGGAGGTCCCTGACTCCGATCTCGGCTGGGAAGACATGTACAGGGAAGGCGAAGGGGATCCGTGGTTCGACTGGGTGCGTACTTACCGTCATGGGACATAAGTATGCGCTGAAAAGTGACTCAGACCGTCCCTGCGAGTATACTGCTCTTCGCTGCCGCCATCCTGAACACGTTGTATTTCTTCACGCGCACAAGACTGTACCAACTCACGTTAGCCACTGATCCCGTATCATCTCCGCATGCCACCTTCGTATCCCGCCCGCGGACAGTGCGAACCCCGTCCGAAACCGACGTTGAAAAGCAACCCAGCCGTGTGGGTCCTTTGGTGTGGGCTGTGCTAGGGCATCTATGGCGTGGCTTCGTCATCTCAATACGGTTCTTGCTCAACCTCAGCCCTCCGAAGGACCGTCAGAAGATTATCAGTGGGTCAGACGACAATGAACGGATCCAGCAGCTGGAAGTGTGGGCGCCGACCCCTCTTGAAAGCAACCTATTTGCCATCTACTCTCCTGTGCATGCTCTGCTCTGGACCGCCTGGACGAGTGCGAACTGGATGCTGATATTCTGCATTATGGCTGCAGTCAGTGTGCAACTGAACATGACGACGAGGGCATACGAGGCATTGATCAAGGATAAGGCGATCATCGCGGCGGAGGTCTTGCATGAATACGACGAGAAGGTGCGTGCTTCGTCCTTCCGATGCTATACAAGCCCTTGCTGAGCCTGATTTTCAGTTCGTTTATCCGCGCGTCAATCCTATCCGTAAGGATGCTGCAGTTATGACCCATGAGTCGGAGGTTGTCGATGTTTGGGAAGACAGACCAAGGGGCCGCCGCTGATCCATTTGCTATTGTACTCACCCTGGACCATTGCATGCACATCTGCCACTGTATTCTGCGATACACTGCGCCGCGTTTTCGTTGTCTAGCATTCATTATCATTAGAGGTTTAGCACTCGAGGAACAGACTGGTCAATTTAATCTATCGTGCGCATACCGTGCTGCAGTGGGTGGCTGGAGGATGATCTTCGGACGATCGGACACTTCGCTCCCGCTGCTTCGGAATCAGATTGGGCCATACGGAGGACCCGTGGACTGTCCGCTGCACCAGGGACGTTGACTCTGCGGTCACTGAGCACACCGCCCGCCACAGCAATACCGCAGCGCTACAGCAGGGAGGCAGCGGACAAAGACCAATTGAGGCAGCCGAGTGATCCAACTCACGCTCGGGCACGCCGCGTCGCCTCTTGCGCGCTACCGCCACCAGCAGGCGGGTCAACGTAATCTCGCAGCCTCCCTTCTTACTTCTCTACTGCCATTATCGCTTTCTGGGGTTCGTTCGACTCTCGGACTCACACTTTTCACCTGGGCAAGCTGGTGCGAGAGTGTCCATGGCCACCTCCTTTGCCGCATATGCGTCTCAACTGTTGAACAGACCGCAAGCCGGGACTTCCAGTCTGTCGTCATCCCAGCCTCTGTTCTATTCTTTCTCAACCGAGAACGGATCTCGTGCAGGCGATCCCGAGGACGCTGACCTCGACGACCTCGACGATCCCCATCTTAACGCGATGAGCAGGGGCCCCATGAGGGGTGGGCGGAGTAGGGCGGACGAAGAAGATGACGATCCGTATTTACGGCTAGACGAGGAGGATGCGGGACTTTCAAGGCATCAGGCGCAGTCAGTACCCCTCCTTGGTGTTTCTCAAGATGATGGTGCCAAGGCTGGCTGGCGCACGCCTCGCCGCTGCGCTCGCCATCGCCCTCGCCTTCATCGTCCTCAGCCGACTCGGGACACCCACCGCCAGACATCATGGCGGCGACGACCAGACCACCAGTGCGCACAGAACGCCTACCGCCGCCTCCACCACCGCCCCCACGAGCGGAGGTCACCCTTTCATTGACCGAATCGCTGCTGCCTCGGGACGGGCGCACACGACCCCTGGACGTCTTCACGCTTCCGGATCCCCGGTTTGTCCCAAGGAGTAGACGGAAGTATAATGACTCGACATGGACAGCAGCGTGGTGCGCAAGCGTTGGCATATGTCTGTTCTTCTCCATCCTCGTCCTGTTCCTCACACATCAGCCCGACAACCGCCATCGAGTCATCCTACCATACGTCACCCTCCTGCACACCGTCCCTCTACTCACGATACTGATCTTCGCGAGTGCATGTGTGGCCTATGCACACGTCTTGCTCCTACGGATATTTGTGAAGCCAGTCATGATTGCCACTTCAGTGTTCATACCGGCTACATTGTTCATCTCGGCCATATGGGCGTTTGTGGGCAGTTTCATGTGGGATGGGACCCAAGAACCAACATGGGGAGAGACGGTCGGGTAAGTGATTAACATTCATGAAGATGATCTGTGAGCTGAGTGGTTTGCAGACTCCGTCTGTTCTCATTAGTGCCTCTAGTGCTATCGTTGCTCACGGCGAGGAAATTGCTCGACCTGCCGAGGGATATCCATACCGCATCCTCATTACTCACTTTGACGACACGGCTATTGATTGCAAACCCCTTCCTCCTCGCACTATCGCCCGCCGTACTCCTCGCAGCCCTCCTCCTCTCTATCCCGTTCATCACTCTTGCCTTCCGCTTGCTCCTCATCGGGTATTTCACTCAGGCGTCCAGCACGTCTGGTTTCGAATGGCACGTTCGCGGATGGGCGAACTGGGCGATCGTTGCAACGATCGGTGTCTGGCTATGGAGCTGGGGTGTGGCTCGTGGTTTGCTCCGCGTTAGCTGTGCGGCGACGGTTGGGGCATGGTATTACGCTGAGTACGCAAATAACACTGTTCCTTTTACGGTCCATCGCTCATTCGTGACGTTTCTTCTTAGCCCCGCCTTACCTCTTCCGCCCCCTACTTCCACACACACGATCCACGCTGCGATCACACGCGCAACTCAACCCTCTCTGGGTTCGATCGTCCTCTCCGCACTCATTCTGGCGGGAATCAGGCTTCTTGGCCTGCTCACGGCTGGGCTGCGTATGCTCCCGTACTACCTCCCGCCGTACCTCCGTTTCATGAGTGTCGGTGCCAGCATGCTTGTCGGCTACATGGAAACGATCACGGGCACCCTCAGCAAGTACGCCCTCATCTACGTCGGCCTCACGGGCGATCCGTTCTTTCCGAGTGCTCGCAGGTCGCGTGCGCTGACCGCCACGGTGGAGCATACGTCTGCGATCAATTACCGACGCAGATTCAAGACTGAGCGTACGTGCTGAAGTTGCTGACTATTGTCGCATCGCTAACGGTCACCATATAGCGCCTCTCACGCTGCTCACCGTCGCCCCGCTCACTCTTACGTTCCCATTCGCTCTTGGGACGTACCTGTTTGTCGCGCATACATTGAACGCGCCGGACCAAGCCTTGTCCGCGGCGATGCTGGCTGGGTGCATAACAGCCCTTGTAGGGTCGTTCTGTGTCGGTCTCGTGAGAGATACGTAAGCAGTTCTTGCATCTCATTTATCGAACGCGACTAAAGGCCTCTCTTAATTAGCGCGGACACGCTCTACATCTGCTATTGCATAGACAAGGACATCGGGTCCAGGCGCAGAGATGAGGTCTTTGAGGCGGTGAGCACAATAGCATCATACGCACCAATGATTTGGCTTGACCTTGGTGCTTTTCAGTTTGAATATCAGAGCCCAAGGCGAGCGCAGCCGGCTCAATCTCAGAGGCAGCAGCAGCGGATGCCTGAGCCACAGCAGCCTCGCATTCGATTGGAGCCTGCTGTGCAATCTCCGCTTCCACGTGCGGAGACTCCGGATCCGTTCGAGCAGTCTCCTGCCGAGGAGGAAGAACATTCCTACCCCGACCCGATGTCTCCATCTTCGTCCACGTTCAACTCGAAGTCCCGACTGCCCCTCAGTCGGCGCACGAGCATGCTGGACCCAGTGCTTAGCACAACGCTACCGCCGCATCAGGAGAGTGACGAAGAGAGCTTGGATGACGAGGACATGCCTCTGTTCCCCGGCTCTGATCTCTTCTGATGCACTGACTATCGTCATAATTCATGTCTATACGGGCCATTCTTATGTATTATATCTTCAGCTTGCTGTCTCGCAGGACATTGCTAGCTCGTCGCATTCTTGTTGGTACGTGATCGGATACTGCCGTCGATGTCACTGCATGTAGGTATGTTCGTAGAGTAATACTGTGATTCTCATGTATGGATGCTCGGTAGCTATCGGGATAGTGTTCAAAGGCCAAAGGTTGGTGAGTACGTCGATCGCAAGACACCGTTCAGCTGTCCCAGTTCTGTGTTCTTGTGTGTCCAATATACTTACATTGCAGGTCCTGAGGCGTGGATACTGGGTACTGATAAATGATTGGCGAAGAGTTGTATACCGGGCATGTAGTCTATCTTTTCGTACTGACGTACTTTCCAAGTTGGCAGGTATGAGCTGCGACAGATGCTATATCGGGGCTGTTGAACGGACCGGACGAGTGATTTGCTTTCCGTGGGTGAAGTAAATGACTATCATACTCAGTCAAATAGATGCAGAAGAGACGTCGGACATCATGAGTACAGGTTTGACGTTCAGCAGTAGCAGTACATGGACGATCCGCTTGCGTACACTTTCTACATCATTCGTCCACTCTTCCTCTTCTTTGACCTCCAATATCCAGCAACCCTGCCCTTCTAACGCACGCCCATATTTTGCAGCGCTGGATTCCCATTCGCCCGTATGAGTGGTGTTAAAGTCACTGTAGCAACAGGCTCACGTTGCAGTTTCCGACGAACTGATTTTGTCGGCCTTGACGATGGATTCTGATGCAGATCGAACTGCCTTGCACCCGGAAGACCGCCTTTGGAGGCAGGGCGTAGGGCGTAGGGATTGGCCGGAAAGATACAGTAGAGCAGATACAAGGATGCAGACGGCAGCTCAGGCTTCACTTGGTCAGAGTACATGTCGACGAGAAGGCGTTGGTCCGTTGTCGAGCAAGGTCGTATGCAGTGGAGAGTTGGGCCGGAAGAGGGAGAGCCTTCGCTGTCGCTTCACGAGATGCTGGGCTGCACCTGGAGGCGAGTTGATCCTTGTGCAGGCTCGCACCCTCTAAAACGCATTTTCCTCGACCACAAGATTTTTTGACGAAGAAGAGACGGTTGTAATGGCTCGGAAATTCGTCAGGGGGATGCTGGAGGTCGCCCGAGTCGTTGAGCCACAACCCGCGAACCGGGGGAACGGGTTGTGGCCGGGGGCGGCGTGCCGCGGAGTTGATTTGACCCACAAAGTGAACGGCCGTCGACGACCTCTTGCGCTTGTCAACACACGGCTTTCGCACTGCGTCATGCAGCTCTTGCTTCATCAGAGGACCGTCTGGACGCTGTGGATGTTTTTTCACAAGTGATGGACCATTGACGACTCTGTCCACGGTGCACTTGAAGACTGTTCTGTCCTTGGCGACGACGTTGGCAACAGACAGCTTCACGGCTCATTCCTTTGGCTCTGGTGCTTGAAAGCTTGACTGACGAGCTCGTGACGATGGACCACCCGCCCCCGTCGCTTGGGCTTGGATATATGCGGGGATGCTTGCGCCGGGCCCGCTCACAGGTGCAGCACAACACTGACGATCCTGGGAGCTGCCTCCGGGCTGCATAGCATATCCTGCTTCTTGACTTCGTTGTGCATTTTACTGTCATTTTCTCTGGCTTGGGCGATGGCAGTCAACTCCTTCAAGAACACTCAGACAAACAAAACTTTGCCTAGAGCTTATATTCCGCTACCGGCTGTCGATGCTTGCAGGTTACAGGCTGTCCTTGCACCTTGTCTTGCCTTGCGCATCTTGCATCACGCAAATGGGCGATATACCGTCCCAAAACCTGGACATCAACACAAAAAGCATATATTGTGCGCTCACTGCGATGAAAAGATCATCGGTACGTCTGTCGAAGTTGTCTTGTTCTTCTGTGCACGAGGGGATGCTTTGAACCCCCCTTTGTCTATCCGCCGATTGCTGAGCGGAGCCACGATGTACGGCGTGCAATGTTGCTCTTGGGCATACTGCTGGTGTCGGGTCTTCATCACGCGTGGTATCTCGACCTTGTATGGCTTGCTATTCTTCCAACTTGCTGTTGAGGCACACAGCTTCAGCACACGGTGGACGCGTAACATCATGGTTCGAGATGACTCGCCTCAGCCGCACAAGTCCGCCTTTTGCGCGCCCTTGTGACCTGTGACCCGACGTCACGCTTTCCGTATATGGGACCACCGCCCTCGTCGGCGTCGGAGTGCCCGCCGTCGCCGAGATGCGATATTGCGCTGCAGCGGGGGATGCGTGTTGGCGCAGCTCCCCCGCCGTAGCTCTTCCATGGCGTGCTTCAGTGTTCCGCGGTTCTGCCTGGATGGTGTGTGCTCATCAGAACAAGCAGAATCGGTGCACGCATGAACATTGTACCTCTGCCCAACCTCAGAGCTGGGAAGGCTCAGTGCTAGCATGCTCTACATGTTATCCACCGTCTTTTACGCCTTACAAGGACAGCCTTGCAAGGCTGTCTTTGTGCGGAAAAAACCTGCTGTCTAAGTACCTGAAGTGTTCAGCGTTGCAGATACAGTAAACCTGGCCCTCACCGATATTCCTTCTATCATTGTGGCATTCAGTCAATGATACTGACTCTTTGTGACTGCTCTTCAGGTGTGCAAGCGCACTCTGTCTGGCGAGATGTCCTAGGATCGAGGAGAACGTCGCGTGGTGCTCGCGGAAGCAAACGTTCGAGTCTTGGATCGCCGCGGCGCGCGGCGACTTCTCGCGCGCTCATCTGGCTGTCGCTACAATAGGAAAATACAGCTCTGATCGCCGACGCGCACTCTGCATATTTTGGAGGTCTCGCTTCCATGGACCCTTACATAAATTGGAGGCATCCTGGCGCGACCTGTTCCCATCCTTTTCCCCAACCACCACCACCCGTCCTTGCCTCTTCGTCCCGCAGGTCTCCTGCATACTACTTCTACGCTAACATACTTCTCATACTCTGATTTCATGGGGTGTTCCCCTCCTACGCCCAGCCCTTCGTTTGCTCCTGGACATCCCCTTCCGCAAGACACGGGTTGTCTACCCGCATATCGTGAGAGCTACATGCGACGATTCCATCCATACCCTAGATATCCCCAGCCCTCGTGGCAGCAGTACGAACATTTGATGGTGCGATCGCGACTGCCGTTTTTCCGCTGAGACCCTCGTCCACATGCTCACCTCGACTGGGTGTTTACTAGCAAACCGTGGACCTTCGTCACGAGCACGAACCTTCAACGGATGTTTGGGACGTGTCTTCATTGGTGAGTCTTGTCCACGCTGAACCCCAACCTCGCCTGATCGCGCTGTACTGGACCAGTTCGTCATCGACGAGGTGGAAGAGGAAGACTTGGCCAACTTGGAGCGAGCACTCTCGAACCAACCCTCTCCAAGCAAGCGTCGCCGTCGCCTTTCGGTGCTGGTCATTGTTCGTCGTTCGTTGCGCGTGTGCTGCTCGCTATCCTGACATCAATCATCTTTCGTGCTCTCCAGGAGCTTGCCCTGGCCATCAAGCATATTGTGACCTTGCGCAAGACAGGCTCGCAAAAATGAGAAGACGATATGGCGATTGTTTGGCGCACCTCCGCGACGTGTGCACTGATAAAAAAGAAATATAGGTTTCCTCGTGTATCATATGGTTCTCTTTGCTCTCGCTCGCTCGCTGATTCGCAGTCTTGCTCTGGACGGGGCCTCCGCCTTCGCTCATCCCTACCGTAGTGACCTCCCTAATAACTCTGCTTGCTTGTGTATCATACGTCGTTTTGAATATGGAAGGACAGATCATTGCTTGCGCTTTTGCCCATGGGATTGTTTGCCGTATGATGCGACTAGAGCACAGATGCTAAGCCGCTATCATGCTAAGTACAGGCTGCGTTCGAAGCGCGGATAGTTCGTGCGGAGCACCCTTACGGTGTGGAGGCCATTGAGGATCAAGACATCTTGAAGCCAACTTTGCAACGACCCAGCCAACCTGGACACGTCGGTCACAATCACTGGCAACGGTGACAAGAGGCGTCACGGCACCGGGCGCACGTGGTACGTGTTCCCCACGCGCCTCCGTGCCGCCGCTCATCAGGCACTGCTCTTGAACCGCACTTTCGCCTTCGCCGTCCCGCGCTCGCTGTCCGCTGGGACCAGCCACATTTCTCGGCGCATTGGTAACTTGAGCCAGGTCTGAATATCTGAGCCTTGTATCTCTGGAAGAGTCGTCATTCGAGCTGGAGGCACCACATAAGAAACCTGGGAGAACGGAAGCAGTCGAGGCGGCAGGTGAGTATTGTTGATCCTCAGCATCGGTTCTAATGCTCATGGTATGATGCATTGTCTCGGCGATATTGTATGCATTTATATAGCCCATACGCAAAGACTATGATGCAACACGAGGACAGTGGACCCGTGCTGGAACTATCCGACGTGGTCCACGACGAACCCTTGGGCGAAGATGATAGCCACGCTGCCTTCAACCACATTATTTCGTCGGCCAGCATGGCCCACACAACCGAGCATTACGCGTCCGGTCTAGAAGATGAGGTCAATGCCTTGGAGCATCCGGGATCCCATTCGCCGACCTTGCTGCAGGATGGAGAAGGTGTAGTGCCACCGTTCTCGGTTGAACAGCTTGAGCACGACCTCGTTGCTCTGCTCAGGCAGAACGATCCTGTAGTATCCTCCGCTCTTCTCAGCGTCGCGGCGCAACGACAAGGGCCCCAAGCCGTGACGGACCTGCCTTTGGCAGGTGATCCTGCAATGACGCAGCTGCAGAGCTTTGATGCCCTATGTCCGAGCCTGAGCGCACTAGCTGCAGTTCTTCACGCCGTGCAAACCGCAGGGGACCAGAGTGGACGGCCGACGCAAGACTTCGCCTCGTCAGGGCCCGACTTTGGACCCCAATCCCTGGACGAGGAACACATAAAGAAGCGGACACGAAACGCGCCGGCGTTTCACTCCCTAACCGTGGGTGAAGATGTCCCTGGTCTGGTGAGTGCCAATGGCGCTGGCAGCGGCAACGCCAGCGGGACGGATGGCTCGGAATACCTGTACGACGACGAAGGAGACAGCGAACATGACGCAGAAGCGGACATGACTATCGGTCGAATACGATACTCTTCGTCTCCCGATCCGGTCGGCTCTGCAGCAGAAGAAGATCCGTCACCAGTCCCAAACGACTTCACCGATATCGGCGACATTATGCACCATTATACTCACTTTGACCAGGAGGACGAGGAGGATGAGGTCGACCAGCTGGATCCCGAGCCCGCTTCGTCGCCTTCTGGAGGCAACATTCTAGCGCTCCCTCGCTATCACCCTTTGCCACGGCCGGCTGCCCACGGGGATGCAGCGGACGCTATCCCGGAACTTGACGAGCTGGAGAGCGATGGCGACCAGCCCGTCGCCTCGACATCGAGGGGTGGTGGGCCTAGTGTTGCTGCAGAGAAGAGACCGAAGAAGCCCAAGGAGAGGAAAGAACCGGAGAAGGGTTCTCAGGCCCACGTATGCGAGGAGTGCTCGAAGACGTTCAGTCGCCGGAGCGACATGCTACGGCACAGACGCATACATACGGGCGACCGTCCGTTCGTATGTCCGGAGACCGGCTGTGGGAAGACTTTCATACAGGCGAGTGGCTTATGTTGGATCCTCCGCCCATTCTGACGCCGTTTCACAGCGATCTGCATTGCACGTACATATGCGTGTACACACCGGGGAGAAGCCGCACGTATGCGAGTACCCTGGTTGCGGCAAGACTTTCGGCGATTCCAGTAGCTTGGCTCGACATCGACGGACTCACACCGGGAAGCGGCCGTACAAGTGCGAACACCCTATATGCGACAAGACATTCACCCGTCGCACGACCTTGACCGCGCATATGAAGACGCATGATTCGACATGGGAGCCGGACCCTAATATGTGAGTGCCTTCCTGTCCTCTGTGGAGCGCGATCTGATGAGCCCCTAGCAAGTACAACTTCAAGGCAAAGAAGGTCAAGCTTGATAGTGCAGACCAAGACCAAGAGTTGGAAGCCTCTGTACGCACTCTTTCCGCGCTGCTCGCACAGGGCGAATCACAGCCCGGCCCGTCGTCAGGCAATCCGCCGATTGAACCACAACTAGCGACAAGTATAGGCGAGGAGCTCGCCGCAGCGCTCGCAGAGGCGCAGGCGCAAATCTTCGAGGACGACGACGAGGATGATGACGAAGGTTCTAGTCCGGAGCTTAGCGGTAGCGATTCCATCGGTCCCAACATGAGCGGGGTCAGGAACGAGGGCAGTGCGCTTCCAAGGGTCGAACGAGAGGGACCCCTCGAGGTGCGCTTGCAGGATACGTTGGGAGATGATGATGCGCTGGACTTTGCGATACCTCTTCGAAAGCGGAAGACGGACGATGTAGCGGCTGCTGTCACTGGTAAACGGAAACGATAATTGCTGTATAGCAGAGACGTCACCCAAGAGCGAGTACCCAGTGTGCTAGAAGTGTAAGTAGATGTCCAGCGGACGCACGCACCGCCGCTTTCCCTGGCGAGTACGTGGTCTTTGTTCTGCTGGTTGACCTGTTGTGTAACCTTGTTTTCAGCGGCATCTTCCTGCGCGCTTGGAACCGCATGAACGCGCGACAGCGTGACGCCGGTGACCCGCTCTCGTGAGCGGTCCTTTGAATGGCTGGTGCAGTTCATCGGTCGTCGTGTTTGTGTACTGACCAGTGTTGTAGACAGGCCGCACTTTGTCGAGCGTAAACGTTCCTGTGCTCTGGGCCCGGGATTATCGACTCTGGTCAAGGCCGAGATCAGGGCGCACGATTTCCGCTTTTTATACGATTGATGGCGGTAGGTCATCAATGTGGATCTTCGGAGCCCCTTTCCGGCCATACAAGATGCTTGCCGGCTTTCTTGGTCTGCAACTTTCCGTCAAAAAAAGAGTGAGCAAAGACCAAAGGGGTGCGCACGATGCGACGTGCGAGTTGGCAATTAATTTTGGATTTCAAAAATTTCCTTTTCGGGCCCAACCGGGAATTGAACCCGGGACCACGCACAATTAAAGTTCAGATCGAACCAGAAGTTAAAACCCCCGAAGCGCGTATCATACGACTAGACCATTGGGCCGACAGTTAATCCAAACAAGATGTGCTATATATTCCCATTGCGCCCTGCACGTTGCACCACGGCGCCTTGCGAACCTCCGAGTTGGTCGTTTCCCCGGGCCTTAGGCAGACTCTAAGTGACTTAGCGACCTCTTTGAGCGGGGAGGACGGTCGCATCGTTTTGCTTGCGAGATGACCCGCCCTGGCAATTGTCAGAGCCTCCGTGTGCATCGTTATGTGTCCTCTGATCGCGGTGGTCGAAACGGCGAGCGTGGACTTCAAGTACGTATCAACCTACTCCCTAGGCTACGGCCCGGGGCTCACCAACCTGAAACAAACCAGACACTGACGCGGCCGCTCTACGTCAGTGTGTGCTGTATGTAGAGGGGCATTCACTAAGCATTTCCGCGTCCGAAGAGCGCGTCTGCAACGCCGTATTGGCTTTGTTTCAGCAGGCGACATAACCATTCGACTGTTGTGCTGCCAGGAGGGTGCGGCTGACACTGACCTCGTAAGATACTGATCACAGCTGACGGACGCGACGAGGCACTGCGCCTCAAGTCAGCGCGCACTGGTCGATCGAGACAGCGAATCGAAAGGTTCGCTGGCACTAGACCATTGGTCGTGCACTGTAATGTGGTCTATATTAGAGAGCTCACGATAGTTCGTCAATAGAGTAGTAGGTCATGAAAAGTCGAAGCAAAGCCCAGTCCGTTGCCCTCCCCACTGTCAGACACATCCATGAGTGTGGTATAGTAACCCGTCCAGATCCGCTAATCAATACGCAGAATACACGTCTATACTGGAGAACAGCTATCAAGCAGGACGTGCCGTTTCACTGTTTCTCGGTGTCTCCATGTTGCGACGACTCCTCTGAAGTGCGAGTCGCGTTTGCACCGGCGCCGTGCTGGCTGAACTTCCACTCCGGGGCGGGTCCCAGAAGACGGCCGGGGTGGCAGATGTTCATGATCCACATCGCGAAGACGATCATGAGCGCGTCCATGACCACTGCACATCATTGGTCAGAGTATGAACAGATGAGAACGGGAAAGACGCGGACCGAAGTAGCGTTGCGTGCGGATGATGTGGCCTTGCCAGCCGTTGGCGAGCTCAACAGTACGGTACCATGACCTACCACCGGTCAGACACGACGACACGACGGGGGATCAATCAAGGACGTACCGAACGTAGATGCACAAGCTGCTGAACGCCAGGGCGCAGAGCATCTGCTTCGTCTTGAAGTCGAGCGCATATCCCGTCTTCACGTTCGGGCGCCCGCCGATGGGCTTGTCGTAGAGGTAACGGAGGACGAACTCCGTCGCGAGCACGATGTAGAAAGTGATGGCGACTGTCGCATTCACGTCAGCAGCTGCGGAGATACGTCAAGTAGGCCGTCGTACTGCTCTGGAAGATGATGCCACCAAGCATCGTGTTTCCGCCTGGCTTGGCGCTTTTGTCCTGATTCACTGCCGCGTCCGCACTCGCGCCTCCCAATGCTTGAATAATGAGGGCGATAACATCCTGTCGATGAGTTGTGTAAGCAGGAAAAATTGGCACCGAGGGGCCACACATACACAGGTGACAAACACAATGGTGTCTGATAGGGGGTCAGGTCAGATACTGGACGCCTTTGGAACGATGATGACGGGGTGACATACACCACTTCGCGCTGAGTCTGCTATATTGCTGTCCAAGACGATGGATGACTTGACCCAGCATAACGAAACTTGCTGCGACAAGCGGGGTGGGTGCTAGAATCGTAGTCACGATCCTGCGACGACGTTAGCCGGTTGAAACACCGTGAATGGTGATAGCAACTCACTGGATGAGGTATGGAGTGTTGATGTGGATATTATAGGAGGACCATAGGCGAGCACCGTGCCCGATGAGTTCCATGATACCCGCAAGGACTACGGTGAAGATCAGCCACCACAGCCGGGAATGAATGGCCTGAACTAGGTGGCATACTGATCAAATACACATGAGCACGCGCTACGCTCTGTAGTGGGTCTCGCACGTACTTGTAGACAGCGCAAAGAGGACGACGAATAGGATGCCGACCCAGGCGTCCGGCGTATATCCATACGGCGAGACGGGCGTGTACTTGGTCGCCTTCAGCTCTGGGGAAGCTGGTCAATGACTTGGCCTCACGTATAGCGGAGGTTCCTATGCACACCTTGCAAGTGCATCGTTGCACAAAGGAAGGGAAGAAAGGTCGCTGATCAGTGCAGGAGGGGAAGAGGCGGATGCATGTCACCGCAACACCGCTCTGCCTTGCGTCGACAATGCCGGCCCCAGCTTTGCGGCCGCTGGCCGGCACCATGTGGAGGCGTAAGTCCAATTACCCAAAGCACGCCCAAAGTGGGCGAGCGTCCCCGGTGTCAGGGGGAGCCCCGTTTACCCAGCCCGAGGAGCCCGCACCGTCCCTCCTATTGGCTGGCAGGACCCCGCAAGGCACGGACGCTCCCGATCGAGGTCGGTGTTCCTGATCGCGATCGCTCGGCGGCGGCACTTCCCCGGCTTGCTCAGGCGCTGTCTTCTCGTGCCGAGGCTTACGCCCGGAAAGCTTGCGTGAAGACTCATCTCCACCGCTGCCAGACCTGGGAAATCAGCGCAGCCATCTGAAGACATGTCCTTGACAGCGCGGGCTGTGGGCTAGAATTAGCCTGGGGACACGCACGCCCAAGGCGTCGGTGACCCGATGTCAAAGGAGAGATATGTTCATATCAGATAAAGTCCAGCAAAATCAACAAAATACAGAATGTATACGGTACCACTGAGTCCGTGTCCATGCCAGCACACTGGGGTGGCTATATACCACCAGTATCGCGCTAGTACTGCTCTTTAGCAGCTCTGTTCCCCGACCAGGCCATCCCGATCGTCGCTTCGGAATCCTGTGGCTGCACAGCTCGCATGACAATGTTCTTGTCCGCACTCCAGTCGGCACCGTATCCCAGGAGACGGCCAGGGTGGAATATGTTGAGCGTCCACATAGCCAGGACGATCATGAGCGCGTCCATGATGACTAGAGTTCGTAATCAGCACGCAAATATAACGACTAGCAAGAAAGACCTACCGAAGTAGCGCTCCGTGCGGATGATTCTTCCTTGCCACCCATCGCCCAGTTCCTGGCGTGGAGGTCAGCCATGAACAATAAGATATAAATCAGCGAGAAGCATACAATGCATCGATACCATGTTCTGCGAACCTTGTAGTTAGCGAAAGCAATTGCAATATCGCCAGACACAACATACCGAACGTAGAAGAACAGGCTGCTGAAAATCAATGCTATGACCATCTGCCGGAGTTTCCCCTCGAACAGATATCCGGTCTTGACATTCTCGCGGCCGCCCAGTGGCTTGTCATAGAAGTAGCGCAAGAAGAACTCGACGGCGCAAAGGATATACAATGTGATGGCAGCTGCAGCGCATTCAGTACGGCCCTGGATGCTCATCTAGGTGTAGAAAGCGCACCAGTCTGGAAGATGATACCGGCCAGCATGATGTCGCTGCCGCCGCTCGGACTATGATTGTTGTTCACAGCGGAGGCAGCGGCGGCACCGCCAAGCGCTTGCACGACGAGTGCGATGACGTCCTGCCAAAAGATGTATGAGCCTCGAAACACAGAGTTCGGATTTAGCAACGTGTACGTACGCAGCTCACGAAAATGATCGTATCTATCGGGTTATATTAGCCGTCTGTCGCGCAAGAGAGATGACAGACTGCGCACGTACACCATCGTGCACTGAGCCGGCTGTATTGCTGCCCAAGGCGGCGGATGATGTGGCCGAGGATCACGAAGTTGGCGGCGATGAGCGGAGTGGGTCCGATAATCGTGCAAATGATCCTATAGGATGGCTTGTAAGTGAAAAGGCAACTGATGGTGACGTAGAACACCTACTGCATAGTGTAGGCCTTCGACGCGAGTACGTTATACGCCGACCACAGCCGCCCCGCCCAGCCGACACACTCTAGTATGCCTGCCACGACGACGGTCCAGAGCAAAAACCACATGCGGTATCGTAAGGCTTGGATAAAATGTATTACTAGCGACGAGGAACAGGTCAAGTGGCGTGTTCTTCTATAGGAGGAGTCGACTTACTGGTCGTCAGAGTGAAAAGGACAAGCATGAGGATACCCACCCATGCAGTAGGTGTGTATCCATAAGGCGTGACCTGCGCCGTCTCGATGTCGACTGCGCCAGAGGTGAGTATGTTGAGCAGCTCATAGCAGGACGAAGAATCACCCACCTAGCGGATCCTGCATCGGTGAAAAAAGTAGAGGAAGGGGCGAATGGCAGATGTGTGGATGGTCCGAGTCATCTCTTAATACCTAGCGGTCCAATCGCCTGTGCCGCAGCTGGCACTTGAAGCGCAAGCGTACGCTAACATGACATGCTCAGTGGCATCGCTCGTAGTCTAAAACACAGCCAGATGTGCCCCGTACTGTGGCGTGACAGAGGGAAGACAGGTGTGAGTGCGGCAGCACTGCCATAACCAGCACGATAGCGCTTTGGTGGGAACGTAACGCGTTAGGCGTACTAGCTGCGCAGAGTAGGTGAGAAAGGATAGAACGACGAAGGAGAGTCCATACATGGTAGTATTATGGGCGTCACCGATCGGAATGTCAACGCTAGGTCGCCCCGCAGAGTCTGGACTATTGGAGGGATCGTTGATCACTCACAGAATAAACGTCTATTATCAGCGAGTATTTGGATAAACGTCTCCGGTTTATCTGCTCTGCGCGGACTGTGTGCATGACGAAATTACTGCATCGAGTGAGACATGGTGGCATTACATGCTTAGGTCGTTCGCTCCGGCACGGGAATGACGAAGGTCGGCCTCGATCAGCATGTTTGGGACAACCAGAGGAGAGCATTCGAGCTTGTACATCCTCGGAAGTTCGTAGACCTCTATACGCCTGACCATCAGCTAGCGGCGTTAGAAGTCCTAGCGCTGACTTTGGCCTTGGAGGTTTGTGCCTGACAGCACTAGCACCCTCGATGTGTAGTATCTGTCTACCGTGCTGTCGTGCTGCATAGGCTGGGTGCAATGAGGACAACCTCATGTGGGATGGTAAGCACAACTACACGTACTTGGTTGGTATGGTCGATGGTCCTACGTTACAGTCCGTCGTCCCGCAGCAGACTGAGCATGCAGTGTATTTTCGCCTTGCACTCAGGCATCGCCTCGGGCTGCGCAGAAGTTGCCGCCTACTCTACGTGCAGAGAACCAGAGAACCTGGATAAGTGTTGTAAGGCTGTCCAAAGTGTTCTGTCTCTGTTAGCCAATAAACGGAATTCACTTCGAAACAGGACCGTCACAGCCACTGGGCCACGTAAGCTGAGCGCGGGGATCGTCCTTGGAATCAACGAGAATCAGCTGAACAGAGTGGAGAGGCTCCCGACTACTGGTAAGCCGGTATTGAAGATACCGCACATATTTTGTGTCGGCGAAATGCTGTTTAGATCCCACTGTCGCTGGCGAGAAGGATAGACAGGCGACCGTTGTGTAGTACAGTGGACGAGAACAGTGGTGCCACCGTAAGGTCGGCCGGAAGGCCACGGTTCGAATACGGACGCGGTTCGGCCTCCGGGCCATGCCCGAGGCCCGAGCGCCGTCCACCTCCTTGCGTCGTTTCAAAGTAGTACTGTCCTGACTCCTCCACTGTTAGAACGTACTCTGGCATGTACATACACTCGCTGCGCTCTTCGACCTAGCCGAATCCTCTAAGTTTGGAAGCATGCTTGATCCTGTGCGGGCCGTCGAATCGCTCGCGGCGTTGCCTCATGCCAATCTGCCACTGCCACTCTCTCCCTCTCTCGCCGTGGGCACCACCCATTCAATATTCATCCACGACGGCCTGGCTCGGGCTCGGGTGTGTAAGAGCACCACCACGAGCGCAACAACAATGGCACTGTGAAGCTCATCGAAGGCCCGAGACGGCATCAGGAAGAGCCCATTCAGCTGTCTCATGGATGACCATGGTACAGCCGACGTGCAGTCTCGTGGAATGGGATGGGATGGGCCGACCTCGGCCGACCACAACCGTCTCATGGAAGGTGATTGAGTCGGCCGAGCACAAGGCGGGCAAGGCGGCACAAGGCGGGCAAGGCGGTGCATGGGATGATTGGCTGACCCAGACATTCTCGCCCAGCCGACCATTCTGTCTCACCCAAGATGATGCGCTATCCGACTGTCGGCTGGAAAAGCTTTGCAGCCGACCACTGTCTTGATCCAGCCGACCTTCTTGTCTCACCCAAGACAATGCACTATCCGACCGTCGGCTGCAAAGCTTTTGCAGCCGACCACCGTCTTGATCCAGCCGACCTTCTTGTCTCACCCAAGACGATGCACTATCCGACTCTCGGCTGGAGAAAATCTGTAGCCGACCACCGTCTTGATTCAGCCGACTGTCTTGTCTCACCCAAGACAATGCACTATCTGACCGTCGGTTGGAGAAGGTTTGCAGCCGACCACTGTCTGGATTCAGCCGACTGTCTTGTCTCACCCAAGACAATGCATGAGCCGAGCATCAGCTGAGGTATCTTTCCTGGCCGATATCCGTCTTGACTCAGCCGACCTTCTTGGACCTTCTTGACCTTCTTGACCTTCTTGACCTTCTTACTCACTAAGACCTTCTTGACCCAAGGTAACTAATGGTTGGCTCATCTTGGTCAATACCAACATGTTAATGAGGTATCTAGGTGGGCAAACACCAATGAGGTTTCAACGTGGAATGTGTCAAGGAGGATAACAAGATGGCGAGCATATTGAAGAAGCCTTCTTGGAGGTGTCAAGACGGACAAGTGAAGACAGATAAATTAAAACGGACAAGTTAAGATGGACAAATTAAGGCGGACAAGTTAAGACGGACAAGTTAAGACGGACAAGTTAAGACGGACAAGTTAAGACGGACAAGTTAAGACGGACATTGTCAAGACGGACATCTCAAGATGGACATCTCAAGACGGACATCTCAAGACGGACATCTCAAGACGGAGAGCTCCTTGGAGGTATCAAGGCGGACTGGTCAAGAAGCCTCCTTGACATTCACCATCTTGAATCGTGATAAACTCCTTGACATTGACAAGGCAGCAAGTATGCATCTTGTTTCTTGACTCGACTTGAATGGTATGTACGTGCAACACTGTACGCTGTTTGTTCATTGGTTTGGGGCCAATGGATGTATTATTGAACATGTCCTATAAGTTTGTACCGTGACTGTGTCTACTATAGACAGTCATTACGGTGTTGAGGTGCAATACACTATGTAGTAACTGTATATCAGCAAATAGTTGTTCTGTTAGAGTGATTCCTGAATGGCTCGCAGCAATTGACAATGATGATACTTCACTGATCTACTGAATTTGCTGTGGAACTACATGTAGTAGATTAGGCAAGCCACTCACGTAGGCCATTAGCCTTATTGTTGTATATGTAAAGAGCACTTTGGCTTTGTGTAATCAGGATATGTTTCAAAAATGATATGTTGTTTGGAGATATTGAGAGGCATGTGGATTAAATCTCAGCTTCTGCAAGACAATGGTTTCAATCAAGTACATACAGAAGTTGTATTCATGCTGTGTCTATGGTACATGTTGCTGCTGGCAATTCTCTGAAGCAATTTGGCAATGTTATAGCTTGAGATAGCTAAGAAGGTTATACATGGAGAGCATGTCTTAGACAAATGCACCCCACGGTTCAATTCTCACAGAATTCTATACAAGCCATGTACTACACATAGTCATGCTTGGTACAAAGTCTCATAGCATATGGTGGCACAGAGGTGAAGTTATAAAGAGAATGAGACCATCTCGGGTGACTCAGGGACATGGCCGAGGCAATGTCCGAGGGCAGAACACTGGAGAGTGTTCACGCATTTAGTGGGTGCTCTGACCACTATCATTGAGTTTGTGTACATATCTTCTAGTTGTCCACTCCTTTGTACTTATATACTATTGAATGCTAATAGTGGTTGTACTGAACATATGATCATGATATCCCGAAGTCTATATCAAGTGTAACTGCAGTACAGTTACGAAGAGTGTATGTGCATGTTGGGCCAACTGACAACGAGTTTCATTGCTCAAAGCGAACCATCACATCCATACAGTGACAGAGTATGAATATGGCAGTCACAGTGTTGGCCATAGGCAAGCTTGACTGGAACTATATTGAGGAAGCCTTATAGCAACAGATTGCACTTCTTGTCCATGCTCTCTCTCGTCTGAAACTGCCCACAATGCTGTTAACAAGCAAATCTAGTTTATATCGGAAGCCTGATCTAGTTTGTAGGTTCTTACAGTTTTAGTACACCGAGACTTCAAACAGACAAGAAAGCGAGCACAACCAGAAGGAGAATGTAACGGTGGGTGATTGATAATGCAAGATGGCAGGTAGGCGTGCAAGACGGTGGGTGTGCAAGACGGCAGGTGTGCAAGACGGTGGGTGTGCAAGACGGCGGGTGTGCAAGACGGTGAATGTATAAGATAGCAGGTGAGACATGCCGCACCCGCGACGAGCGTACCCGTATCCATGGGTGGTGCTACCTGTATCCTACCCCGGTTCACTGTGGGTTGGCATACCTCGGTGGTCCCTGCGCGGGTTTGAGCTCGTTGCCCGCACCCGCCGTCTTCGCCGTCCTCCTCGCTCGCCTGGGCTTGCTCGTCCCGCTTCTCACGCGCCATCCACACGTCCTCCCGCCTGCTCGCCGCTGTGCCCACACCCACGGCGCGCTCGTCGGTTGCGTTTGCATGCGGGGCGCTGGCCCTGTGTGCTCGTGGTCGACGTGTTCCGCACGCCCGGCCCTGTCCATTGACGTTCTTCTGTCCTGAGCTCGTGTGCGCGTGCTCCGTTTGTCGGCGGCCGTGCTTGTGTGCTGGGCATTCGCCCAATGCACTCGCCTTCGGCATGTCTGCCGTGGGCTGCCTGCTGGCCCGCCCGCTGGTCTGTCCGCTTTCCCGCCCGCCCGCTGGTCTGTCCGCTTTCCCGCCCGCCCGCTGGTCTGTCCGCTTTCCCGCCCGCCCGCTGGTCTGTCCGCTATCCCGCCCGCCCGCTTTCCCGCCCGCCCGCTTTCCCACCTGCCCGCTTTCCCGCCCGCCCACTTTCCCTTTCCCACCTGTCTGCCCACTGTCCCACCTATCCACTCACCTGCATGCCCCGTCCGCCTGCTTACCCCGGCACCCGTGAACCAGCCTGCCTTCCGGTGTCTCTGCTCACTCGCTTGGCTACTCGCCGTCTTGCCCGTCTACTCGCGCGTCCCCCTGCCCGCCCGCTGACCCACCCACTGACCCAGCCGCTGACGCGCTCGCTTTGCGCGTGTTCGTTGGCCGTGTTCGCGTGCTGGGTAGTTGCCCAGCGCGCGCACGGTCGGCGTGCGCTCCCGCCCGCCTGCTCGTCTGCCCGCCCCACCGCCGTTCATCGGCCATGTCTGCGCAAGAAGCATTCGCCCTGGGTACACGTGGTCGCCGTGTGCGTCGTGCTGCACGTCGCCGCCGCTTCCTGTGCCTGTGGTCAGTGAGCTCACTTGCGTGTGTTTGCACTCACGCGTAGCAGGCAATGCCCCTCGCCCGTCGTGCCCGTCGTGCGACACATCGCCAAGCGTCGCGTACCCGTCTTTTGCTCGCCCGTCTCACCACTCGTCCACCCCCACCCTGCTTACCTCTCGCATTCCTCCCGGCTCGTCGCTGTGTCCGCGCGCGGTGTGCTTGCATCCGGGGCAGTTGCCCTATGTGCGCTGTCCTCGCGTGCTGTCGCGCCTGAGACCGTGCATGGGGGTACTCACATGTTCGCCTCACCCGCATCCCCGCAGTCTTGACGCCGTCGTGGTGTTTCCGCACGCCCTTGTGGCGCTGCAGGTGGCACCCCAGACGGTAGGCCGGCGATATGGCAGGTGAGCAAGACGGCAGGTGTGCGAGGCGATGGGGGTGCAAGACGGCGGACAAGCAGGATGGCGGGTGAATAAGACGGCGCCGGGTGTGTGAGATAGCGGGTGAGACGGTAGACGGGTCAGACGGTAGACGGGTCAGACGGTAGACTCGGATGGGTGAGACGGTAGACGGGCGAGACGGCGTGCGAGCAGGACGGCAGGTGTGTGTTATGGTAGACAAACAGGACGGACCGCGATCAGGACGGCAGTCGAGCGGGAGTATGCAGGCGATAGTGAGAGCTGACGCGTTGAAACATTGAACTTTCCGAGTGAACGCGCCTGAACGCGTGCCCGATCGTGACGCGCCGCGCTGCACTGCGCCAATTGATGCTTTGGGCATACAATGCTGCAGAGCCCAGCCGGCCATTGCCCAGTGCGACGCGTCACAATCAGGCATTCACCAGCAAGACGACGCCTTGACCGCGCCACCCGACGCTTTGAGCACGCAAGAAAAGCCCAGCCGACCATTCAAGTACTATTGATTCGGATCACTACGGTACTGTATACATCCCGCCCAGCCAAATGCATTATACACCTACTGATGTCGGTTGCACGATCCTCATCGTACAAGCCGACGCGTCGGCCGCCGTCGGCTCATGCGATGGTGTTCCGCGAGACTGCGCGTCGGCTGTAGGATGAGGATCGGTGAGAAAGCGCTGCTTGGTGTGTCAGGAAACCCTACTTTCGGAATAACAACGAATGATGCATTATTACTGCGAAAACGGGTAATTGTAGCCATTCTTTGTTCGCTGTAGTAGTGGTTTATTCGCTATGGTCCGGAGGTCGACCTACGAATAACAGGATATTGTGCCGAATACAGTCGTATTAGGGCAGGGTTCCTCACTATTAGATGAACCATTGTCTTTATTCTTAATGTTCGCAGCGCATTCCACAGACACATAGGTGCGAAAAAACATGATGCATTATAATGTACTGTCAATGATCCAATACAATACAAATACAGCCAACACGACTCATTGGTAGTACTCGTGATATATACTACTCGCATCAATCCCTATTGTACTCGTACCCGCATGTATACAGGCCCACCAGAGCGGGTAAGAGTTTTGCGCGGGTGTGGACTAGCGAGCGGGCGAGCAGATGCGCGAGCAAGAGTGCAGGCGGGAGGGTGTGCGAGCGAGACGGTGTGCGAGCGAGAGAGTGCACAGGCGAGAGGTTGAGCGGACGAGAGATTGCACGGACGAGAGATTGCACGGACGAGAGGTCGCGCGAGCGAGAGGTTGCGCGGGTGAGATGATGCAGGGGTATGTGAGAGCAGGTGGTCAGGCGAGAGCAGCGAGAGTAGGTGATCAGGCGAGAGCCAGTGGGTGAGCCAGAGAGCCGATGAGCCACCGAGTGAGCAGGTGAAAGCAAAGATGGGCGAGCGCACGGGCGAGCGAGAGAGTGAGCGTATGAAAAATTGAGCCATTGAGACGACGGTAGTGGTCGAGAGTGAGGTCGAGAGGACGCGCGAGAGCAAGGCAGGGAGGGAACGAGAAGCCGAGAGAGTGAGCATGCAAGAAGGCGGAAGGCTGAAAGCACAAGTATGCGGGCGAGGCAAGGCAAGCGAGATAACAGGCCCCATTGGCAGAGTAGGGCAGAGAGAGTCGGATGCGAGAGCGAGTGTGCAAGAGGGGGCGACTCTGACCAGTGACCAGACAGGCGGGGGCGTGACAGATGGCAGGCAGGCAGGCGAGCATGCAAGAGGGCAGATGGGTGGACAAGCTGGTTGGTAACACGCTTGTAGGTAGGCGAGAGAGAGCAACTAACCGCCAGGTTGACGCGCAACTTCAACAAGTGCGTCGCGGCTTGTGAGCGAACGAGAAGGGTAGTAAATACCACGAACATACCGTCGAGCCTTCCCACAGTCTTCCTAGGTGCTCATAACTGTGTTTCTTCGCCTTCCTCTCATGCTACCCTTGCCTCTTCGTTCCGCTCTTGTCGCGCTCGGCGCAATGATCCTGTCGCTCAGAACCGGTCCGAGTCCTTCATGCGCGGTGCGTGAATTCGAGCCCACATGATCGTGCTGCGGCTTACCAGAGCCAGGCAAGCGGTGCGTTCGAGTCGAAAGAGACGGGGAGAGACGGAGAATGGGAGGGACAGAGAATGGGGAGGGGCAGAGAATATGGCTTGTCGTGAGAAGTGCTAAGCGCTTCAGCCACGACACGTCACGCGCGCTCGCCGGACTTTCTCTCGCCTCTCGAGTCCCCTCCTCCCTCAGTGACTGAGACTCTGCTTCGCTCTCGCTTGCCCGCCGCTGACCTCCAGTACACACAGGTGGACCTGTTCGCGAGAGACGGCGCGTACATCGGACCAATGAGTCGACCAAGATCGCGCTGTACGCAACTGCAACAAGCCCCAGCGACGCTCTTAGCGAAAGGTTAAGATGCAGGGAGGAACATGGGCTGCGTCCAGCAGGGCCAGCGAGTCAGGTGAGCACCCTGCTTTTCACCTCGACTCCGGGAATGCCCATCAAGAACGAGTGGATGGAGCCTAGTGCCGTGACACGACAGAGACAGCCCCGGCGCACGTTTGCCCAACAAGTGCAGGTACATACAGACACGACGCGCGCTGGTACGACAAGTTATACTGGTACGACAAGGTGCGGACAGCGAGCTAACGCCATACGCTGTGAACGGCGTCTCCGGCGAGAAGTCCTCCGCAGCGACGCCCAGCACCCCGCGTACGATTGCCGCCATCCGCGTGCCCACGTCGCCTCCCTTCGTCTGCCGCCCCCACACCACTCGCCCCGGGGCCAGTGGCTGACGAGCCCAGACCCGCGTCAACGGAAGTAGATAGGAGGTGTCGTCCGAGAAGGGGCATGCACGGCGTGCGCTCGAGCGCGTACCAGTCGACTGTCGGTACATACCGCGCGAACCGCTCACCGGTTTGGAAGCGAGCAAGGGCGTCTTCCAGCCACATGAGCCCTGATTGACGTTGGGCGCGATGTGCAGATGAGTGGACGCACCTTCCGCCGTGATGCCCCACTGGGCGAACTGCTCAAGCTGTGCGACTTTGCCTGACTCACCCAGTTCACTGAGCCCACTCAGCGGATATGCCAATGAGACCTGGCTAACCGACGATGCACAAGCCGCGGGCTCATTGGCACACCGACGTCGGCCGATGGGCGTCGTCTGGGCTTGGTGCTGGGACAGCCGGCGATCGGCTGGTACGATAGTCATTGGATCGGCCGATGGCCTATTAAGCGTTGACGGTACTAATGTGTACATATGGCGCCTCTATTCCTTACTATGAGCATTGGCGATCCTCCCCGGCTGAACCCATGCGCATCGGGTGTTCGAGGGCTGTATATTTATGGCGTACCGCGGCGTCCCCCCTTCTCAGATCTACCCGTGCGCAAACGACGTTCGTACACAGAATCATCATTGAGCATTGAAGGTCGGATACAACGAGTACCATCGGCAAGCCGGCATTGGCCGATCAACCTCTTGTGCTGAGGTGACCACGGGTGCATCCGAGATGGGCAGGCTCGATTAGAATTAGCAGCCCAAGTGGGCACGCTCAAAACTCATAAGAGAGCATGCCTCGCAGGCCACCGAACGCCGACCGAGCGCAGCCGCAGTGTTGATCGACCGCCCAACGTCGGCTATGCCAATGGTCCTCGGGGAGCGGGCGTCGGCTAGTTGCGATGTCATTCGCTAGCCGACATTGGCTGCGCCAGTGCGAAATGGCGCAGCCAATGTCACGTTGGTGGCCGGCGCTTTCTCACTGCCCGTTTTGAACGGGCTTCGTCGTGCTGCGAACAGAGCGTGTGACCGATTGCGATGGGGACGTAACCGAGACAGGGCCCGCGTTGCCGCAGGCGGTGACGGCGGGCGGCCGGGCGATCCACAGCGCAGCGAGGGAGCGCCCATTTGGCGCCCCAGCCATCCCGCGAGCGATCCGCCGCCCCGCCGGCGTTTTACTGCCTGTGGGCCGATGTTTGCCCCACCAATGGCATTCCAGTTTGCGCGATCCCGCGCAAAGAATGGCGGGTTCGACTCCCCCGCGAGCACCGCGCGGCCGCGCAGTGCAATGCGCCGCAACCGCGCGCAATTTGAAACCCTTGATTTTCCCGTGGATCCATCATACCTGTCGATCGGGAAACACGTGATCGCGAGTACCCTGGGGCTGCGCGCCTCCTCATTCTACCACTTAAACTTGCAGGGCGACCGCCGCTTCTCCCACGTCCCCAACGCAACATCTCGCCCATGACCGACTCCTCGAGCTCAGCCCCCGCCTCCCCTCGTCCCGCCCCACGCGGCGCTCGTATCCGTCCATCGCTCCACCCCGTCTCGCACGATACCGCCCCGCTTGCTCTGGCCGCCGCCACTTCGATAGCTCCTGCGGCCGGCCACGCCGACACCCCAGGGACTCCCGCCACTGACGTCGCTCACTCCGCGCTTGGAGTCGCACCGGCTGCGGGCGCTGAGCTCCGCCGAAACCCCGCAATCCGTCGGTCCGCGCGGCGCGCACCCCCGCAATACCCGCCGCCGCCCGCATACGAGACGGCGGCTCTCCCGTTGGATGCACTCGCGCCGCCTTCCTACGTCCGGCCCAGCGAGGATGCGCCTGCCATGCCCCGCTCGCTCGCGCCTCACGACGCATTGGCTAGCATACGGTGGATCGTCGAGGACATGAAGCCTCACCCGTGGTACGTTGCCTTTTCTTTCATTCTAGGTTCCATTACTGAATCTTTCAGGGTGCACTACGAGGCGTACGTGAAGCGCACCGGCCTGTTAGTGACGGCGTCGAAGGTGTCGAGCGCGCAGCAGGGCGCTCCTTTAGTATGGTACATGGCAGTTTGGGCGTCGACGGAGCAGCAGGCGATGGACTTAGAGCGGTACGTGGAGGATCTGTTCGAGGAAGACGGGCGGGATGTTATTTGAGGTGGGCGCCGCCCACATTACTATCCCGTAGTACCACTGACAATGTCACTTAGGCGATGCGCTCGCTGCGAAAGACAGGTGGAGTGGGATTCAACACCGGGAAACGTGAGTTTGATGACGTCGTACACACGACTTGTCCGCATTGACCACATTACAGTGTCGGGGAACGAGTCTCCGTACGCGCGTAACGTCGTCAAGGACTGCGCAGCATGTGGAGATGTGTTCAGCAGCTCCTTCCGGGCCTTTCGGGTCTGGCTGGACGAAGTTCCCGGCCGCTTCAAGTCGTCTGTTTGCTTATTCTACTTCATGTCGCTGAGGGCGGAGGAGCCTCATGAAGACACTACATTGTATTACATACACTGGATCTACGCCGTCTTATCCTCCTGATTTCATCGCGTAGAATAGTCCCGTGAGCAGAGTAGAAAATGATTTCAATACCTCCGCGCGCTCCGGATAGCTTTCGCTGGAGTTCGGACGTGGACGCGCAACGAGAGAAGCGTTGCCCGCCTACTTATGCTCGACGATTGCTCGTGCCTCGCCTGCCTCATCGGCGTCAGATCGCCATCTCCGATCCGCGCAGCCACAGCGATCAGGACTTGAACCGACACGTCTCCCCTTCGACCACACTCGCGTCCGCCCTACACGCCCAGTTGGCCCCTTTGCACCGCCGTCTGTCTCGGTGCTCTGCTACCATGCTCTCGCCCTCCTCCCTGTGTTCTCCCACCCGTGCTCTGTCTTCCTCGCCGCCGCCGCCGTTCCTCCGCCGCGCCCTCCACTGCCCTGACCACGCGCGCGACCGAGACGCTTCTGCCGGTACCCCCAACGCCCCCGTTCACTGCGTTTTTCGGCTCACACAGGCCAGTTTCTCTTTTTCGACATCTATCACGCGCATTCATCGAGATAACTCGCCTCCTACACTCCCGTCCCCGACTTGGTTTCGCCTTCCCCCGCCCCCATCCTGCCACTTGTGCCCTACAAGCGCACTGCCACGCGGTGCTCCATCATCGCACCATGCTCCTCTCACACGTTGGGCCAACTTCGTGCACCGGATCGCTCGCTGCACGCCGTTCTGCGGCGCTGCTCACTAAGCGCCCGCGCTGCTCTCCGCGCCTCTCGCCAGTGAGTAGCACCACACAGCATACATCCATCGAACGTGCGCATCGCAGCCATCGCTCGTCATGCTTCCAACTCCACGGCATGCTCATCCTCTCAGTCTTAACACAGGGCCATGCCCGCGCAACGCGGTCATATAGCTGCGTCGACAACACGCCCCGCGCAACGCGCGAGACGGCGTTCGCGCATCTGTACGAGATTACGGACATCTCGCAGTCGCTGCCTACGACGACCAATCCTCTACCGATCACACGCGAACAGTACTCCCGCGACGGCCTCGTTACTCGCACGCATCGGGAAGACCGCCTTCTGCACGATGACCTCCCGCGGTCTCCTGCCCGCCTGCAGCAATGGCAGCAGATACGCTCCTTCATGCGACGTGCAGGTGACACGTCCCAATACATCGCAAGGCCCCCTGCGCGAAACTACGTACGTACACCCTCTCCTTTGCAACTACAAGAAACTCGTGCTCACTACTCTACACCTACAGCACCCAGACAAGCTCGCTCGCTCGCTCGTCGGCCGCGAGTGTTCCCGACGCACGTAGTGGACGAACGCATCCCGCGAGGACACAGCTGCAGCAGACCACCCGTCGTCAGCAAACTTCAAGACCGCCTGAACCTCAAGAAGGCTTACCTTCGCCCTTCAGCTCGAGTACCGACGACCTGGACACCGTACACGACCACCACCACACGCAGCCCGTCGCTATGGCACGCGCACCCGGCGAGCGCATCTGCGCCGCTGCGAGAATAAAGTCAGTACTCGCCCGTTCGACGCGGTCGGAAACGCAACTCACCAATGGCCTTCCACCCATCCACAGGCCTCGCCTTTATACCTCGCACGACCGTTCGTCAGCATGATGACAGCGGCCAAATCGCCGTCGCCCTTCTGGGACGCTGCGCGTCCTCATCGTGCACATGTCCGCGAAGCGACGGGAGCCGGAGCGTGGCGGCGCGCCTGGCTGGCATGGACGCAAGCGCTGTCAGCATCTCGGACGCATGCACGGACGCGTTGAACCGGACTGCCTACGCAGTGAGCTCGTCTGCCAGTGCTCCCGCCACTCGGCGCATCTCACGATGAAGGGCGAGCCTGAAGCTGCGGCGGGAGAGCAGCCTATCGGTGAGCTGTTCCACCTCGCCCACCCGTGGTCTCTGTCACTACGACGGCAGGCAGTTCACTGCGCTGCTCGGACTCGGATCCGGATCGTGCATCGTGGCCGCGGAAGCGAGGTGGCGACTCGCCTGGCGTGCCGTCAGCGCCACAGACACAGACGGACGCATGCACGGACTCGATTCGGACACAGCTCGATGGCCGCACCTACGCGTGAATCGGACGTGCGCTGCGGATGTTCCTGCGCTACCCGAGCAGGCGGGGAACGTGTACTCTCGGCGGTAAGTGGTGGGCTGTCGGCGAGTATCTCTCGGTGCACTGATCACCGGCGCATGGCAGGATGGACGACGTGGACGACGCTATGTACGTCGGGCTTGTCCCGTTGCAGTTGACGACGGACTGGGCGCGTGACGGCACGTCTCGGGCTTCTCAGGGAGGACGCGATCAGGACGGGCTGTAGACTGGGTGGAGGCATCGTACGATACTGTGCGGACGTCCTCCATTCACCGTCTGACGTGCTTCTCGCGTTCGGTGTGCGCCGCGGATGGCGTTCCATGTTCGCGGCGAGGAATAGTCAGGTGAGTGTCGTCACCCGCACTTCTCGGATACGTACTCGCTCGGTGGAATGTACGCTGAGGGAGCGGGGAGCGGGGAGCGGCTTCATCACGACGCGGGCAGTGAGCGGGGAGCTAGGACGGCGGGGAGCTAAGGACGGCGGGGAGCTAGGGACGGCGGTGAGCAACGGAGGCGGGACCGGCGGGTACATGCACGGCATCGCGTGTGGTGTGATCGGTGCCGGCGGGCATGCCACGATGCCCGTCTCCGACGTCGGCATCGATGTGCACAGACACTCAGGGAAGTGTCTGTGCACTTGTTGGATGTTCCGCGAGGCGAGCACTTTCGTCGCGTACACGACGGGTACGACAGCGGACGACCGGCGTGTCGCTCCCGTGATTGCTGTAGGTACGGAGGTGATGTACATAGTGTCGCGACGAATAGATATATTGAACACTCCTCCTATTGACATGGCGAGGCGACGTGTGCGCGTGAAAGGACGAACACGAATCCTCCCGACTTCGCGTGGCGATCACGCCTGGATTTCCCTCGTGCGAGATCCCTCGGTAGCGGTGCCAGCCACGGGTCGTTCGGAGGCACACAACGGAGACGCAAAGACCATTCCGTCCCGTGTCCAGGGGCAAGCGTCGGGCTGGATCCTAGGGTTCAGAAGCAACGACGCACCTCGTATCCACACCGCTCTGCGGCTCCGCCATTGACCCTGAGCACCTCCTACACCCCTCGTCAAGCTACCGTTCGTGTTTGTCGGTCAGCGTCGTGTCTGCTGCCCGCGACAGACCGAGGTCGACAGACAAAACCACGCACCTGCGATCCCAATCCGCAAGTCTTGGCCAAGCTGGGTGACGATCCAAATGTAGGAACACTTGCTCGGCAACGGCGAATATTAGGACAGCACCGATATTTGCGGAATACTCACGAGAGGCTCGCATATCAACAGGAACCGAGACGTCTCGCCGTGGCCCCCAAGCGGGGTGCGTAGAATCTCCTGCAACGCGGACTGGAAACTAAGTGACGATTAGGTCGAATTCATAGCGATGACTCACTACCGTGCAATCCGGCCGAGCTTCTCAGCCGAGCGACGGACGTGCGCCTCGGATGCGGTGACGACGCAAATCGGCTTGACGACCTACGCTCACGGAACCTCCTAGTCCTCCTTATTGCGAGTCAGTGCAGCGGAATGCGCAGAGTGGTGGCTCAGCATAGTGGCAGGACCAATCAATCTGACGGAGAGACCGACCGAAGCACCGAAGTTGGCAGAGGGAGGCGTGCAGTCGAGGCCGAGTTGACAGCTGGTACCACAGTCAGACTTTATGTTGGCGTTCATGCATTATGCGTAGCCCCGCTTGCAAGGAGTCGCTCAGGAGGTTACCCACGTGTTGCCGACCGAGCTGAGTACTGTTGTAAGTGTGGCGAGACACAACCGGGTTTTCCAGAGAAAGAAGCACTGCACAGCAACTTCGCAGTGGCAGAAAACACCTGACCATGAACGTAGGAGTTCATCTGGGACCGCGCGAGGGCATTCCTGTTGTAGGACGTCGTTCGAAGCACTTGCATTCGTACACATAAGCCTGTGCCTTCTCGTGAGCGTAAAGAAACATGTGTCCGAGATGCAATAGTACCTACCTCTCAGATGTCGTGCTCTAATCAATGCACATTCGCCAATGGATGTAGTACTTCCCATGGCTTCTAGTTTTCAACATGGCATGCTACGTCGAGTATCTCCCCGTGCCCCGATCCACCATCATTACTCAGTCATCCGATTTCGACCTCTGCATGTTCAACTCGAATCCTGTTGCGCGCCGTCGCAATGATCTCGTCTCGCTACTCCGCTCAATGCTTTCCTTCCCGAATGCATGCTGTCGCACATGATCTCGAACCGCTATCTCCATCCACCATGAAAGGTTCCGTTCTCCCCCAAGTACGGAGCGTCATACTAGTCTGCCTCGCACGGCTTGCGAAGCACACACGACTGTCTCGACTCACCATGACTGAAATATCGTGTAGTACGGCCAGCCTATATGAGTGTATGCCACCCGGCTCGCTTCGCATTCTGTCCGCACGCATTTGACCGAGCTGAGTGTAGGTGTCGTCAGAGGCAACAATGGTATTGAAGGAAGGCAGAGCAGTGATGCTCACTGCACGATTGGTACGAGCGCTGATGAACGAGAATATCTCTGTCTTAAGTTGACCGCTCGTGAGCATAGATACATGCGCTAACATAGCACTCGCCTTTCACAGGGTTCAATGTACATGTTAAAAGCACGAATGCCCAGTCATCTTCGCCGACGCTTTCTTTTCACTCCGACCGAGGGTTAAAAGTTGCAGTGCCTTCGTGCATGTCAACATAATATCGCTGCTCGACACCAGTAATCCGCTTTCAGATTTTTCGAATGGAATCCTATTGCACATCTCTACGCCTTGCGCGTTCTCCGAAGTGCACATTGGGCTCCTGCTCTGGATCCAGCGCACACAGCCTGACTTAGACGAAGCCGACAGGTACCCTTAGACAGTCGCTCCAATGACGACGTGAGTAGCTAACTTCAAACAACCGAGGAAGACGACGAATCGCCCTCTTATTCTCGGGACAGACCTAACAGTGGTTTCGCGGACACTGAGACATCATCCGGCGACGACTGGAGGCGAGCGGCTCCATCAGTCGTAGAGTTCACTTCCTGGGTGCAACATCCCACTCTGGACATGCTTCACGGGAGCCCGACGATGCAGTAGCACGCTGCTCGCCGAAACGTCCCTCGGTGTCCCGCCACGACATCAAATGGATGACGCACCACTTCAAATCGCAAATCTCTCACACAACGCCTGGGCCGAATGGAAGGCAGGCCAGGCCGCCAGGTGCCATGCCCGGAGATTAGGAACATGTCTGTGTTCCGTGAAAAGCGGACCCGACCCGTCAAAGTCGATTTGTATGTCCCGCAAGTTGACATGTGGCTGACAGGGAAGTGCATGCGTCGGCCGTAGTAACAGTTGACGGCAAGCGGGTATTGGTGGCACGTGGGTCAGTCCCGCCACCTCGTAAAGCGGGCAAAAGAAGTCGGCAGTCAACGTAGTTGAAAGTCGACAACGTACAAAAAAAGAGGCCCAATAACAATTGAGCTCGTCTCGTGAGGGCAGTGTACCCTCACAGACATTGAACACGATGTCTGTCCGCGGGTCCGCGACAGAGTCGTCAGACGGAGACCCTACATGCGATCAGCAGTAGCGTACGCGTCAAACAGAGAATGAAATCCGGCGCAAAGAACCGAGGATGGAATCACTGTACATCAGGTCTCGACTCGTCTTTGAGGTTGGGCAAGGAATGAGTCGCCACCCGAGAAAGCTGCGAGGAACAGGCACCAGCATCATTTGACGTCCTCGTGAGGGAAATACCCGGTCCACGATGTGATACGTCTTTCTGCGCAAACTGGCGGTCTATTCATCTAGGACCGGTATGTTCATACCAGTCTTCATGACTGGTACTCGCGTCGACGCCACAGAAGACTCGAGAGGTGGTGGTCTGCCAGTCTGCGGTGCTCGAGATCGCCTGACGATATATTCAAGACGCCTCCGATCGACGTGTAGAATGTCCGTCGTAGATGCATCTCAAAGGGACATCATCCGCGACCGCTCTTCGTCGTGCAAACGCCGCAAATAGCAGAGCGATCTCTCTTCAAAGGCCCCTCGCCCCTACCAGGGAACATCACAGCATCACCGTTCGCATTATGACCGCACGGCCGGTACCGCAAATGTCTCTTTTGGTGGGCGTATGCACTGCGCACGTCGAGGGGAAGCGTGGCTCTGTACGAATAGTGGACGTAAGAGGCGCATACACTCACCGGTGCCGTGACCATGTCGTCAGTTCCGCCCTTCCATGCACTCCCAAACCGGGCAGTTCATTCACAACCTTCTGTCACGATCTGTTGAGGTCAGGAACAGCCGGAGCGCGCGTGGTAAGACGTGTAGAGCAAGTGTAGAGCGCCTGCGAAGCCCCGACTCGGGAGCCCCTGTTATGAGTCACAGCCACAAGTATGCCCTACATGCAGAGAGAGTTAGAGGCTCTAAACTGCATGATGCACTGCAACAAGAGGCGGGGGCAGCGGCGGGTAGATACTGGGTTGAATATCGCCAAGTTGGTCGGAAGAGGATCTTCGCCGCCCGTCGAAATAGGGCTCCAGGCACCTGGCAGCTTGCAACGATCTGTGCGCCAGACAAAACGACAAGCTCGCATAGTCTGTCCGCAGGCGCATATAAGCGGAGAACTAGAGAAAAGAGCAAGCGGGCGCGCCAGCAAGCGGATGTGCGGGAGAGAGCCGCAGCGTCTGAGTCGTGGTTCGCGTCACGGTGACCCCAACGCACCCGAGGTACATGATATATCACCTGACGCAGCGAGAGACTAGCAAGAACCGGAACCCGCGCCACAGCCAATTCTCCAGCCTCTTCTTGAACCCGCGCTCATCCGCATCCAGCCACAATAGCTCCGCCGATCCACATGCGCCAAACAGCCAGCGCTGCGCGTCCAAGAGTTGTGCGAGTCGGAGAGACGCGAAGCAGATGCGAAGCGACGTGGCAAGGCGTGGACGAGGACGTTCCGCGTCTTCAGGGAGCGTATTTCGCAATGGTGGCAGATGCTGATCGCGCAGTGAGTGTCAACAGCGGTTGGCTGCACTACCATGGCGGGATGATGCCGGACATACTATGCGACAGTCAACCATAGATGAACTGGACACGTCGGATGTGCAGTGCTGGGCATCCGCCGCTGCGTACTATGTGTGTTGCAATAGAAGGATAAGACATGCCGGTCGCGCTGGATTGCGCGCCGATCACCGTCGTGGGTCGTGGCGGCGCTGGGCTCGTTAGCGAGGCCGTCGGACGTATTTGGTGGCTCCGCAAGGTCGCTAACACCGGGCGCAGCGAGCTCGGTGCTCATTGTTCCATGTGCCGGTGTGGGCGGCAGAGTCGGAGAAGTCGAGACAGGAGTGGGCAGGATCCGAGCACGGACAAACGCGCATTGTGCATGCCCCCAGGGAAAGCAACAGGGAATGCATCGAGCGACGAGCTCGACGTATCCGCCGTGTGCGGCGGTATAGGTATACAGGGAGACGCCAGGTGGAGCTGGGAGGCCGCCCAGACGCGCTGCCTCGCGAGTTCGGTGCAGCAAGCACGATAGGCGTGCTGCTGCATGGGCCCAGTATCTCGTCGACGCCGGGAAAGCACATAACGAACTCACTGTTTGTTGTGTTGCCTTCCAAGGCAAGTACTGCAGCCGTTGACGTGAAAGCCGGGTCCACCATGGTGGAGTGTACCCCGGTGCCGTCACACGCGCATGAGCGGTTGACGAGTGCGCCGGGTACGTTTGCAAGTACACCGGGCGCAGCGTCGTTCTCGTCGACAGTATGTACATCGAGTAGTAGGGTCGATGTACCCACTGTGCGGCGGTTCGTAGAATGACGGGGCACGTCCGACGTGTTGCCCTGCGGGGCGTCGGGTACGACAGTGAGGTCGTCCCGGAAGACGGGAACATCGTATTCGTGGCCAGCAGAGCGCGCGACAGAATTCTTGTTCGTCGTTACGCCTGCTGGCGCAGGCAATGGCCATGGAACAGGCACGTCAGACGTGCAGCTTTGCGCGTCCGACGCGCTGCCGTGCAAGGTAGTGGGTACGATGTAGGAGTCGTCTCGGAAGGCGGAAACGCCAAACTTGTGGCCAGCAGAGCGTACCACGGGTATTTATGAGCTCGTTGGTACACCTGCTGGCGCGGGCAGTAGCAAGGAACTTACGGGCACGTCAGACGTGCAGCTTCGCGCGTCCGCCGTGCTACCGTGTGTGTATCAACGAGTACGACCGTAAGTCGTCCCGGAAGGCAAAAGTGCCGTCTTCGTGGCCAGCAGGACGCACGACGAGCTTCGCGATCGTCGATACGCCTACTGGCGCGGACACTGGGAGTCGAGAAGGCGAGGCGGAGACGGCCAGTGAGGGCATACCTGTGGTTTGCGAGCCTTCGTGCTCGTTTTCTCTGCTCGCCCCGCGCCCTTCCCACTGCTCTCACTTCCTCTCCTTCTCCTCTTCCTCCTTCTGCGTCACTTGCGCCGCATTCTCGGTGGTCTGCGCGGCCTTGTTGCTCGGCGCTGGACTTGCACGCGCATCGTGCGAGTCCTAGGCCGCGCGGCTTTGTTGCGTGTCGCCAGAGCCGCAGGTGGTCGAGTAAAGGTCGCCAAATTCGAGAGGAGAGGTGCGAGGGTCGGGTGGAGAACTCCCGGGTGGATTTCGAGGCCTAGGAGAGGAAGGAGGCGGCGGTCTTGTACCACGCGCAGAGTTGTCGGGCGCTCCTAGCTGAACTGGCAACAGCTCAGCTAGATCGTCGTGAACTTAAGCTCGCCTGTCCGTTGGGACAGTGCGAGTGTCTTGCCAATGGGTCGGGCGGTCGTGGTGGCTGCCCGAGTGGTCAGAGACGAGGAGGTGATGGCGGTCGAGAGCAGCGCGCTGGGCGCTAGCGCCCGGAGCACCGTCGACGGGGGCTCGGGGCGCTCGACGTCGAGCGGGTCGAGCGGGTTGATGCTCGCAATGAGCGCGTCGTCCGAGATGAGCAGTGGGTCCGGCCTTCCGCTCGACGAAGCAAAGTCTCTGCACCACGCCTTATTCGAGTCCATAGAACGGACGGACGAGAACGGATTACGTAATGACGGCAATACATATATGTAGGGGTACGCGGTGGTCGGTCGCAGAAAATGTAGGGGGTGTGCGGTCGGTGCCGAAATGTATGTAGTGTAGGCAGTGAGAATGTACTTATGTAGTGGTACGAAAGTGTATGTAGTGAGCGCCGAACATATGTAGGTGTTTCCGATTCATGTAGGGAATATTGAATTTTGCATGCATCAAACGGTACGCCATAACATGGGCGGTTCAAAGCAATGCAGACATTAGGCGTCGGTTTGCCCAATGGCTCCAGAGCAACCGACGTCGGCTACCGCGATGGCTGTTACAACGCCAATGTCAGCCAATTCAATGACGCTTCAACGGCCGACGTCGGGAGCATGCTGGTCGCCTCTTCCTCCGAACCAGCACAACTGCATGTTACTTCAGCAGCCTTAGGTGGCTTTCCGTGGCTTTGCGCCCGTCTTAGCTGACTTACGTGTCTTTGGGTACGTAGCTTTCGACAGCCACTGAGATCGCTGACATGCAGCTAAGCCCATCAAGCCGCGCAAAGCCATATGAGCATTAACACAAGTAATTACCAGAATCAAAGCGATCCTAAACAGCTTCTTCGCGTGTTCCATGCCCGTACTACCTCTACTTCTGCATCCGGCTTATCCTGCTCTAGTCTCTTGTGCCCACGGTGTCTCTCTCTGCACCTCCTCCAGACACGACGTCTATAGCCTCGTATCCGAATCCTCGCTCCCGCGCCAAACATCTGCGTGCGCTTGCGGCACGATATGGGTACACGCCTGTCGGAGGTGCTGCAGCGTGCTGCTCCGCGTCGTCCGCGCGCCACGTCTCGGGTGGCCCGTCCGCAAGAATGGGCATCAACCAGTATTTGCTCGTGTCGTGCTCCGAACACGCCAGGAACCCTGCGAGCAACTTCGCCGGCCTAGAAGTGTTCGTGGTCAAGGGCAGTCCCATTCGCGAGTAATCAAGACATAAAGCCTTGGCGGGTGGGCAGGCGACCGAGCACGTGGGTGGACCAGTGAGCGAGTGTAAGAGAGGTGGGGCGAGCGAACAGGAAGGCGGAAATGAGCAGGCAGGCGCTGCGGGCGATGCTCGAGGCGGTGATCGCGCTCCTGTGGGAATTCGGAGGTGCGCGGCCGTGTTTGGGGATGCGGGACTCGGGCGGGGGGCTGCGCTCGCCGCGGGGTTCTGGATGAGCTCAGGTACCTGCGGAAGAACGGCGAGGGAGCGGGCAGTTGGGCAGCTGGTGCGCGGCAGGGACAGGCGTGGAGAAGCGGGACGGGTAGCCGCGTTCACGATGGGCATGGAGCCGCAGGTGCTCGGGGGCGAGAATCGCAGGCCAAAAGGGGACGCTGAGCGAGCGGTCATGGAGCGGGATGATGGGGAGAGGAGGCGCGGCGGAGGCGAGCAGAAGGGGTGAAGGGCGTGGCAGAGCAGGCAAAGGAGGGCGTGAAGAAGGTACATGAGTAAGGAGAAAGAGGGACACGGGAAGGGTGGGAGAGCTAATGACAAGTCGAGCCTGTCCAGACGAGAGCGCGCGAGCGGGCGGGCGAGTAAGCGGGCGGGCGCGTGAGCAAACTCGAAGCTGACCAGAGGGTAAGGGTGAACAAGCAAAAACGAACAAGGGCGAAAGGGCGGGCGAACCAGCAAGAATGCGAGGGCAACTGGGTGGCGAGCTAGCGAGATGGTGAGAGTGTGCAGGCGAGCGAGTCAGCAGGAGGGGAAGTAAACAGATCTTAGGCATGTGCGCGAGTAGGTGGGTGAGCGCACGAGCAAGTAGGCAGAAGGGTGGGCAGACGAGCGGGTGCAAACTTGCAGCGCAAGTGGGCGGGCATCGTACTCGCCTGTACAATAGTCTGTCCCTGTAGTAGCCTGCTTCCCCTAGCCCCATGCCTGCTTCGCTTTTCGCCGCATTTTGGGTCTGTCTCGACGGTACAGTGCGGTGTTTACTGAAAGTTGAAACGTTGACGGTGGCGGCTCGCAAGTGCTAAGCGCCTGGGGCACGATACATCACGTGCACCATGAGTCGCCAAATAAGTCCGAGTCGCTCTGCGACGCTCTCAACGAGCTCTCAACTGTTCCCTTCGCGTCCGGCTTCAGCCTCCTCGCCTGCCCCCACCCGATCTTCAGGACACTCAAGTGGACCGTCCACATGGGATATAGCGTGCACACTGGCCTGCCGTGAAACACACGGCCCACGGCGGTAACGAGCTCGAGCGATGCGTGATCAAGGGCATTGCTGGAGTCTCGTGCAGGATAGGCGACCTAGGAGGGAAGGAGGCTTTGGCCGGCGAGGCTAGTAGTCCAGGTGAGCATGCCTGCACTCTCTCAATCCAACCCGCAGACGACCCCAGTAAGCCAAGGAACGACAAGAATGTGCCCGACGGAGACCTCTCCGACGTGTGCACGCGACGAGCACAAGCGCAGGATCTTCCCGCCCTGCTTCTCCTCTACGTCTGCCGTTCTGCGCTGATGACATCGTGGCCGCCACGTCGTCTCAATCGTCGTGTCCACGCCGTCCTCGCTGCCCGGAATGGCTTCATTCTCTGCAACTCTCGCGCTCTCGAAGGCTGCTCGGTATGTTCCGGGACGCACTGTCAGCACACACCTCCCCCGCGCCTCCTCCAGCGATGGTCTCGCTCCACGTACCCTCGCCGGTATTTGGCGCACGCAGCCGGATTTGGGGCTGGTCAAGGTGATCGAGGAGTCGGTGAGGCTACCCTAGTAAGCTGTCATGGACTTTGTGGGCTCGAAGCTGATGATCGTGTGTAGCAACTCTTGCGACTTCACCCCGCAAGTCAAAAATCTGGGCAGTCAATCACGACAGATAGACTGCTCACCCGCGCCGCTGATCGTCACACGGAAGACAAGCTCTGGGATGCGCAGTGGGGAGCCGCAATGATGTCAAGCACAGGGGGGCGTAGAACTGGTGGACGTGAGTGGCAGAGGAATAGCGACAAGGCACGTACGTTGTATGCTGACTTCGTACGCATCCCGCTCGCTGACAATGGTCTCATGTTGATTCGCAGGGGGACTCTGATCTGCATACGGGAAGGCGAGGCTGCGAATGCGAGGCCACGCGGCCAGCAAATTACCGATCTGGCGTCTGGGCACGAATAGCTCCAGACTGCGTCAGATGCTTGTCAAGGCGGAGGAGAGCACGAAACACTCACGGTAAGCAAGATCAGTGCGGTCGGACACTGATGCATACTAACATGTGCTCGCGATATATCATGTCGGCCACTCTGGTGAGACATTTGATGGGTCGAAAATGCCTGTTCGACACGAACGTCAGCCGGCGTCGAGACAAAATGAAAGCACGGGTGCCGGATGAGCTGACGAGCAAGCGAGCAATAGGCAGAGGCAGGCGGGCGAGACAGCAGGCGACAACACAGGCCGACCGCGAGCGCGCTGGGCGAATGCCCACCATGCAGACATGGCCAGCGAACGCACACGCAGGCCCGCGCGCAAGCGGGAAAATGGGAGGGTGAGCGGGAGGGCGAACGGACGGGTGGGTAAGCGGGAGGGCGAGCTGGCGAATGGGCGAGAGGGCGAACGGGCGAGAGGGCGAAGGGTCGGGTGGGCGAACGGGCGAGCTGGTGGCAAGGTAAGCTGGCGGGACGGCCAGCACAGGGTGCGGTGTCGTGCAGTACGACGCGCACGAGTGAGTGAGCGAGAAGGTGGGCGAGGGTGGAAGCCACAGGGCGCGTACCAGCACAACACGCACGACAATCGCGAACGTGCAGGGCGAATGCCCAGCACGCAAGCACGGCCGACGAACGAAAGGCGGGTGCATGACTGGGGACTGTTGGCATGGCCGGGGCGCGTGCAGCACACGCCGAACTGCCCTCCTCGCAGACACGGCCGATGAGTAAACGGCCCACAGCGGGTGCCGGGAGGTATGGCTTATAGATCGCGCGCGCTTGATTATTAAGCAGACCGGCTTATACGAAGCAACTGGACCTTATTAACTATCTAAGCTTGATCTAAGCCGCCGTAAAGCAACATGTCCCTTGCTCGCAAGAGCAAGGCTCTCTCGCCTGAAATGTCCCGGGCGCCTTACCACTTGTTTGTCGATGTTGTCAATGTCACATGGGCATGAACACCTGGTCGCGTGCGACTTTGCGGCGCGGGCAATGGGCGGCAAGCGGCGCCGGCGCCGCCGGGAGCAGCCTCCAAGCAGCCTCCAGCGCGTTCGGGCTGGCTCGAAAACAAGCAGCGCGGGACTTCATTCCCCCCGGGGCCGAATGCTGCTCTCCCTCTTGTGAGCCAGTCAGGCCGCTGCTGCCAGCAGCACTCGCCTTTGTCGAGCAAGTGCGGGAGCTCGACTCCCTACGCAGCCCTGTTTGCAACTACTCGCGCCCGTTCGCGTGCGTCTCGGAGTACGTCGTGTGACTACCATTACTACGTCGCAGTCGGTAGAGCCCGTCACTCTTCGCCGCCATCCTGCCCATCCAACACGCCTCCCCGCGGCTCTGTCACAACCGCTGCCCCGGCCCAGTGCAGAAGATCACTGGTGGTGGTCCGTCCGTGCCGAGCTCTCGCCAACAGCATGTCCGCCGCCGCCAACACAGGGCTACGCGCCGCCTGTCTCGTATCAAGTACGCTGCCCGTTTGACGGAAGGGCTGCGGTTCGTCTTCAAGTGAGTGTTGATCCGCGTGAAAGTGCTCCTTCGCGCTGATGGTGCGAATGGTGACGCGATCGTCGCAGCCCGGGACACTCTGCAAGCCGACCTGTGGATGAGCTGACGTACGACTGTCAATATCTCCGTATTGCATCGCAGTCCCACTGACATAGTACCGCCAAGCATACCATCACCCCGCGCACCAACATGATCGTGCTCGATACGCCGCACAACCCGCTCCGCCACGTGTTCATGCGCGTGGGGTTCGAGGCCGCCGCGCACCTCGCAGACGACCACGACCTGCTCGTCAAGTCGGACGAAGTCGTGCATTCGCTACTTGTGCCCATGCGCCGCGCTCCTCCACACTGATGCGCGGTGCGGGATGTCTGACCGCAGGATCGGGGCGGGCTCAGCAGACAGTGCGTTTGTTCCTGCTTTTCCTTCCGTCCGCGCGAAGACGACAGAGTGCATCCGCCCGCAGAGCTATTCACGGCCCCCATGATGCGACGTCGCCCCGCACAGCGCATTCGTACACTGCTGCCTTGTGGTACTACCGGTACGTAGTATGGCTAGTACTTATCATACAATGCTCTGTTTTTCATACTGATTCGCGTACATATAACAATCGCCAATGATAATGCACCCTGCCCCGCATCTGGATCTCTATCTCAACAAGCCAGACCTCTGCTTCGTTATAGATAACGAACAGCGAAAGTGCATTGCTGGATGAGTATATGATGTGCGAAAGTGCCGTCTGTCGTAAACATGAGAGGTGGTATGTACACCACTGGTTGAACACGTACGAAACTTGTGCCTTGCGCACGCCGCGTGGTTTGCAGAAGTTGTCGATCTTTGTACAGTAGTCTACGTTCAGAAGCCTCATGATCTTTCAAATGTTATTGTATTTTTCGATGTCCCCTTCCAAACACCTGCGCGAGCAAGGTAGCGCCGCCCCTCTTGGCGGCATTTCGAGTGCCAGACTCCCTCCCGAAAATGTCTCCAAAGGCGCAGGGCGTCGGGCCCTCGCCCTGCCTTATTCTTAGGCGATCCGCATGCTCTGCTGGTTGACGTCGGCTTCAAACCTCGGTCTGGTTCGTCGCCAACACTGCTCATTGTCGTAACATGTTGTATTGTCCCACGGAAGGAGTACAGAGGCCGACGAACCCCGCCTGTACACACTCTCCGGCGTAGGGTCTACATAGGCATATGGAATTGGCAGTCAACTATAATTGACATGTTTGGGCTCGGTCTCTTCAACCATGGAACACATGCGAGGGCCCGGAATGACGAGGGGAGGCGGGTTGCGTGCGCTCGCATCGTGATAAGGGTCCGATGTCCGCGATTGCCTCAGCCTCCCGCCCGCTGCGTCCGTAAAGCACTTGGGCTTCCACGCCGGAGGTGCACGCCCGGCCCTGTTTCAATTGAGCCCGCAGCGACTGAATAACCGATCCCCAGTGGCCCGAGCGCCATTGGATCGCCCGACATGTGCTAACGCTGGGACTCCGCCCCTTTCCAAGAGCCCGCTTTGCATCGCCAGCTCACAATTTGCCATCCATGACCGACAGCGATGGATTCGCCGAGCCCGCGCGAGGGCGCGGTTGCTGCATTGCCGAATTACCCGAGAGTGTCGGGCTGGACAACCTCGGGCGCTCCGATTAGTTTCGGGCCGCCCGACGGTGGCTGGCCCAATGCCTAGCCTCTCTGGGGGCTGTCGGGACCGTCTAGCTACCTACCTCCTCCTACCTCGCGTCACGGGCTGTCCGGCGGGCAGTGCTATGATCGGCGATGCATTGGATCGCTGTGGCCCCACGAAGAATTGCCCACTGCGTCCGAGTCGGGATTGCCGCGTTTCAGTAGGTGCCCGCGCCGCGTAGCGAAGAAGCGCCCCTCAGGGACCTCGGGTCTGAGCGCTGAGCGCTGAGCGGTCTGTCGCAACGGTCGCGGACCGGACTTCATGAGATCGGGCTTATGTTCGCCTTTGATGCGAATTGGGCGCACCCTTTCGCCCAATAGGAGCTGGGCGCCCACTCGGCCATCAGACCGCGGATAGTATGACAAGCCGCGGTCTTACATGATTTGGGGGCGTTGATTTTCCCACTGGTGCTTTCATCCTCGCATTCCAACGATTCCTCAGTTGAATGCTGTGATCACTAGAGGATTTAGAAGGGTGGCACCGCATACAACACAGACCTCTATTTTTATTGGCGTCAAGCTTGAACAGCATCTTCAGCCCGCCAACGTCTCCTGCATGCCAACATTCCAGCCCGCCGCTCACCCCGCGGCGGCCGCGCCGCATCGGGACCCAGGATGCCTCATCGCCTGTCTGCCCAGCCCATCCCGCCCATTCGCTGCCTTTTTGGGCGCAGCCTCTGCCACGGCGCACTCTGCGCCCGCCTCCTCCGCATATCCACCCGGCGCCGCCCCTGTGCGGCGCGTTGCGCTCCTCAATCCCCACGCACCGGCCTTTGTTCCCCCACTCGCCGCCCGAGGTCCCCAGCGTGCGGTGCACGGGTCTTCAAAATAACGACAACAAGTCCTATGTATTAGCTACATAGTCTTGATCAGACGTTATAGCGTTGACAAGTGTCGGCGGAGATCGTAAAACACATACCGCAGCCATCGCTATAACGTCTAGTCTTTTTTGTACAGGGTCAGTCGACCCCGTGACCAAATGCGTCGCGCAAGAGGCGCATGCATCGCCCGGGCCCCGCGACGCGCTGTGCTTCTCGTAGATCTGACATTCCTGTACCGCGCATAGTACCCTCACTGTACCAGCCACCTTACTAATCACCTACATTGATTAGCCCAGTTAGTCATTCGCATGCCTATACAAAAACTCGTTGCAGAGACATATTGGTTATACTACGTACATGTATTCCGATAACATACTTCACGATACACAATCGTCTCGAACAGGAGCCTGTCAGTGTCGATATCGAAGTGAATGAGCACATAATTGCCACCCAACGCTTTACGGACCCGGCGTCCTCGAGAGCGATGGTATTGATAACGACGAACAGACAATGGAATATGTTGAGGGGTTGTTCGGCTTGTCGAGCGCGTCGAAGAGCAAGCTCTGAGCGAATAAGGCAATGCCGGGAACGGCGACATCGGGCGGCTGTACGGGTTGTGACACATGCGACAAGACTCGTCTGTCCAGGACGACCGGTCGGCCTCGGATTGCGTGGATGTGGCAGCTTCGGCGGAGTCTCTAGTGGCCAAAATAGTGTTAGTATCATCTGTGGCGTGACGAAAAGGGCAACGGATGCTCAGTACGCTATGTCTGCGCAATGAACTGCACAGCCTGCAGTGAATGTCCATCTCAGCACTCAATGAGACACTGAGTTGAGCGATGTGCGTACCGATGTTGTCCTTCATGGCCTTCGTATTGCAGCACAGCGCGTTCGAGCTTTGGATCCAGTCATCGTTGCGCCACGCGAGATGAACGCACAGGGTTCGAGGTTGCTGGGTGGTAGCATCCGTCAGCGGAGCAAGGTGTCCAGGGACTCAGAGAGGTTAATGAGCTCGACGAGCTGGCTGTTCAGGTTCTTGTACGCGGACGACATGCCGGCGACTGCGTACATGCGGAGAGGTACGAGTGAGGGTGAAACAAGCGCAGAGATCGCAACGACGGCACACGCGAGACTTACCGAGACGAGCTGCCATAAGGTATTATAAGGGCACTGAAGATACAAGCATCAGCTCGTTGATATGGACTCGCGATTCGAGCTTTGTCGGCGAGCACAGGATACGAGGGGGGACCGAGAAGGAACCAAAGAGATACATAAGTGGTGTACTCACCCGGTGGCCAACAAGTCGTCCTTGCATATTGGCAGTTGCATGTGTGTGACTCAGCAAAGACTATCACTGATGTCGAAGCCCTGCTAAATTATTTGGATATAAGCATACGGAAAGGGGAAGATCTGATACACGCATACCATCCCAGCCGCCTAGAGGTGTTTCTCGTATGGCTTTTTCGATTTCCGCTGACATCTCCTGAACGTCTGATCGAGACTGTTAGCTGTTCTACAAAGTACTGATTATCCCCAACCCTTACTTGCGATGGTAACCGTACAGATCATGCACGAGTAGGCAAGCATGCAGGCGGGTGCGCAAATATGCGCCGGGTGGATGGGCGAGTGCGCGAGTGGGCCGGAGAATGGACACGCAAGCCAGTGAGTAAATGGAATGATACATACTGAGTGAGTGGACAAGCAAGTTCGTGGACGAGTAGATGCATAGACAGACGCACGACTAAAGAGGTGAGCGGGCGGGCGAGCGAGTAAGTAGAGTTGCGAGCGGAAGTTGAATGAATGCCGGGTGGGAGGACGAAGAGGCGGACGGGCGGACAAACAATGCAGCAAGCCAGCGGGCATCCGAGTGAGTGAGGAAAGGGGCAGACGAATGGGTAGATGGGCAGAGCGAGCGAGCGGGCAAATGCCGACAAACGAGTGAGCAGACGCACAGTGACCGCGGATAACCAGAGGAGCGGGGTCGATAGATTGACTTGTTCGTCGATATACGGGCAGTGATCTATGATAAGTAGGGCGGTGAGCAGTGGACATGCTCAGGATGCAGCAAGGGCGTACCTCTGACTTACGAGCTCTTGTGCTCACCCTCGCCACGATCTTCCCTCTCCTCGTCCTCGTTATTTGATCTACCACCCCTCCCCATCATTCGTCTCGCTGTCCCTTCCATCCCACGCTTGTCAGATTAGGTGTGCATTGGGCGAGCTCGAGTTCGCCTGGTCGAGTTGCATGCCCCAGAGACACGCGACTTTGAAGAGCTGCAACGAAAGACGAGTCACACATCCGGCGCTAGCTGTGCACGGGTAACTCCGGAACCGGCGCTTGGGATTTCAGCAGTCTTTCCTGAGTCTTTCGCTATTGACTACGCCAGGAACCCGAACCGCCCAACGGTGTCTCAATGGACCATCTCGCAGGCGTCGACTGCGCTGAATGGGTCGGGCGGGACCAGATCACGGCGTGCTATACTGGAGGCTCGGACGACACGTGCTACACGCGCTCGACAACTTGCCGCGACAACGACATTCTTTCGTCGCTCTCGGGCGATTACGACGTGTACTACATCCTCGCGAAGAAACCAGACGCGTACCAGCCCGACCCGACGGACTTCCTCACCAACGCCACGCCACGCTCATGGCGCGGAATCGACGTGGCAGGAGACAAACGACAACGTGTACTCGAACCTTGCGGACACCAGCGACTGGATGCGCAACTCCCGGCTTGATCTGGAGTACCTCATCGACTCTGGCGTGTGGACCATCGTCTTTGATGGCGACGCGGTACGTGCGAGTGCTCGCGTGAGGGAATACAAACTGATCATCCTTCGTGTGTAGGACTACATCCTGAACTTCGAGGGCGTCGAGACAATGGTTGCCACGCCGCCGACCACCTTCAGCTCCGAGTTCAACTCAACAACCTGGAATTTTAACGGCTCTGGTATGACTCGGACACGCCCGAGCGCAACGAGCCAAAAGGACGAGGGGTGGGAGTGGTGAATGAAAGGGAGGCGGAGGCACGAAAGATGAAGGCGAGTCTTTTATGACAACTTTTGCTCCCAAGCACTACGTGTGAGCAGGGCATCAATGAGCAATAGGCTCGTGGTGCGTACTTGTCTGCCCACCCGTGAATCCCGCATATCTGTGCTTCCCGGCCTCTCGCAGCCCGTCTCGTTAGTTCGCCCACCCGTTCTCGCCTTGCTGGCTCGCCCTCCCTCCTGCTCTCACCCGCTTGCTCATTCTTGACTGCTCGCCCTTATTCACGCCCCTGCTCGCTGGCCCGCTCTCATCTACCCGGGCTCGCCTTCTCGCTGGCCCCGTCGTCCACTCTTTTGCTGTGCGCCGTTGACCTTGCCGTCTTGCCCCATGCTGCGAGCTCACCCACTCGTTCACCTGCCCATTGACTTGTCCTTGCATGCCTGCCCCCGCTCACCTTCTCGCCTGCTGCCCGCCTGCTCGCCCGCTGCTTCTCGCATGCCTGCCCGCTCTCGCCCGTCCGCCACGTCCGCTTGCCCACCTTGCCCAATCTCATCTCGCTCTCACCTGTCCGTTCTCACCTGCCCGTTCTCACCTGCCCATTCTCACCTACCCATTTTCGCCTGCCCACTCTCGCTCGCCTATGCCCTTCTGCTACCGAGCCCGATTACCCACTCACCTGCTTGCGCGTCCCCCGTGCTTGACCGCCCATGATCTGCACAACCCACTGCGGTGGGTCTGTACCCGGAGTAGGTACGGGGTACACCTCGGGACTGCCGTACAGGGCTGGGGCCGGGCACTCTGAGTATACACACTCGTTTAAGACCAAACTTACTATCACTTGACACTACGTTGGCACCCAATTGATTCGTGTGAATTGTACACCATGTTGCGACATCGCTACAGCTATTACACTGCTACTTGTGAGAAATATAATGCTCTAATGAATAGTACACGCGTTTGAAAATAAGATGGTACCTCAATGAGACCACATCCTCACAGAAGTAGTTCAGATTAGTTCTTCGTGAGCGTCGCTCATCCGAGTTTTGGATTTAACTAGGAACGCAAAGTCGCCACGGCGACACCTACTCGGTGCGAAGCTGAACCAAAATGGTTACCTGTATTCGGCGCAGCCTCAGCCAGTTTCATGCATTTCTTTCTCCGGGTCAAAGCGGTATGTCCGTTCCGCTCGCGGCTTCCACTAAGTACCCCTTCGCCATCCTCGCGATCTCTTCGTTGAGCGTCTGCCGCAGTCCAGTGAGAAGCGACGCCCTCAGTCGGGTCGGGAGGCCCACAACCGAGCTGCAGGGTCCCCGCGGCGCCTCTACAGCCGCTAGCTCGGATTCCTCGATATCCTTGTACTCGGGAACTCATCTGAGGGTAGATCCGATATACGGGCCGCGCCGTTCAACAAGCGCACCGATGGCGCATAAGAGTCTGTCTATGGGGTAGTGTGCGGGGTGCGGTTTTGCATTCTTCGACGCATGAAGGCAGGCGAGGCTGTCCGCCGTTCACGCTTTCGCGCATGAGATCTCCCGCCGTAGTAGTGTGACGCCTAAGTTGAGCCCGACGATTTCGCCATGTGTTTTGTCGAAAGTCCTAGCTGGTATCGCAGTACATTGGGTTCGCCTCTGACCTTTATCTAATCCCATCAAATCCACTGGAGGTCTGCACATGCTAAAAGCCGTCGGGCAAGAATCTCATGAAAGATAGCCGTGCTTCATCGGAAAGCCTCTTCCAGACTGACGCCTGGCGCATGGCGTACGAACGCTGTCCTGGGGAGCCTAACCGACGCCCGTTCCATAAACGTGCCCTAAACTCGAAAGATCGCACCGTCTGCTTCATCTCTTCCTCTAGGAGCACGACCTGTTCCTTCCACCGGTCACATTTTGCTTTCTCCCGTAACCAATTAACACGATGAACTGGTGGAAAATGTCAGCGTGCGAACTGTCAATACCGTCCGTTTACTAACTTTCCAAAAGCCAGTCAGAGTTTTCCGTGTCGAGGCCGACATCGACGGACCATATCCAGGACAAAACTTTGTGTCGAGAGTTTCGCTCCGCGTTGTCAATGAGGTGAGTCGTTGCGTTCAGGTCTTCTTTATGTAGCGGCCGGTACCGCTGCATAACCTCCGGTAGTGTTTTGACCCAGGCCTCAAAGGCATCCCCCGCCGCTACTGCATCCTGTGAAGAGGCGGCGTTATTGCCATTACGAGACGCAGTAGTGTGTATTTGCTTAGCGGGCCCCGTTCGCCGTCGTTCTTCAAAGCGCTTGTCCATTTCGCCGACCGCTGTCTCAGACATGACGAGGCGCTTCATCGCATTTCGTGCTAGGGTGTAGACGCGGGCTTGCTCTGTCGCCACTTTCGCTATTCCTTGGATTTGCGTCCAGGCGCGCGTTTGCGTTCGATACCCCTCCGCCAGACGCACATCGTTGCGGAACACGGCGGACTTTAGGCCAATTGCCATTCGAAGGCGGTGAAGAGCATCATTCGCCTGTCCGACCCGGAGACGAAGTTCCTGCTCGCCGTATTGCGCCTTGTTGAGGGCCCGCAGCTTCTGTATTCCCGAGGTGGAGGGGAGGGGAAGCATTATTGCTTCGGGCTGAATCATGTCCTCGGGCTCATCAATGACTACAAGTTCATCCGTCACGTCTGGGTCCTCATCCACGTCCTCCCACTCTTCACCAGCGTAAGACACGGGAAAGGCTTCGGCCTCTTGATCGGCCTCTTGATCGGCCTCCTCCTCAGCGCCGTCTTCCCAGAACGTGCCGGCCTGAGCGCAGAAGCGGTCGACCGCCCGGCGGAGCCTATTCCGTCTGCTGACTAGCTGCAATTGCGACGATAGCAACGGATCGGCCTTCTGTCGCCGCGCCAGGCCTGACACCGCGATTCTGATGCAGTCAGTCAAGGTTTCTAAAAAGGCTGCAGGGTGCTTACTGCTGTTCTTGGATTGCGAGGCCTTCCGCTAACCAAGAGGCGAGACCTGGGGTTTCCTTCCGCTTTCCCTCCTCTTGTTCAAGCAAAAGTTGAATTGCGCGCTTTCCCGGGGCTGAAATAAATGTTTACCTCCAGTCCCGATATTGCAAGCAGAGGGCCCACCTTTCTCCTGAGTCACTTCATAAACCTCCATGACGCGGAGGTCGAGGTGCCTCTCCGCCCTCGCTCTCGCCTCGAACGCCTTCCATTCCGCTAATCGATTGGGATCGCTCGACGTTTCTAGATCCTGCAGCACCTCTGCTGAAAGCAGGCGCTCTTTTGTCGCTTGGCGGTATCTGCGCGATAGCATTTTCACTGCTTGAAGTCAGGGGCTGCATAGGTCGTCCAAAAAAGTATGACTCACCCATTCCGACTGTCTTCCGCCAGTTCGCATCGTTCATATGATCGTCAATCACCTCCTTGCGATGGGATGTCGACATGGCCCGAGTGCTCCCTGAGATCCGATTTAGCGGGGACCAAAGGGTCTCTATTATCTCGCCATCGACCCGGCCGGCGCCCGGAATAAAGTCCGGCGAGTACTTTGGCAGGCAATCCCGCTGATGGCCATGGATGTGAAAGAGGCCAATGCCCCAATATACCAGGATGGCAGCGGGCCAATGAAGATACCCGCTGCTTTTGGTAAACCTTTCTACTGCGTGTTTGCTGTATTGACAGGCGACGTCGTACATGATGAGAAATATTGCAATGCCGGCATATAGTTGCAGCGCTTGTGATAAGGCGTAGTCCATATTCATTTGCCTGGAAATGCCGGTGTTGTCGGTGTGACCGGACGATTCGGAAAAGGAGCCACCCACCGTTCGCCTTTCTGGAAATCGACGATGGCGTGCGGTACGAAGCATCCATGTCGCCCACAGGCGACCGCCCCGATACCCGTTGCTTCCATGTCGTGCCGATTTGCATTCGCTTGGTTCACGGCGCGATGAGCGTGGCAACTCGACTTCTGTGCGGGCGTCAGCACGTCGGACAGACAGTCGTAAGAGGCAGACCTCGCGGGCGTCGATCGCCTCTTTGAGATGGCGCTTATAAGGACCATCCGTGACCATAAAACCATGCCCGTCAGCGAGCGAGACATCGTCTTGTGGGCGGCGCATCTTGAGATGCTCAGCGCTGAAATTTCCGTCCATAACGAAGGTTTGCGTGAACTTCCACCTGTCTCCATTGAGAGATAACATCCATCGTGCCATCGGAACGAGCCTACCGATCCTTGTCCTGCTCCCAACCAGGCTGGAGATTAACCCCCGGGCGAGGGCACGCGACGCACCCGAGTGCCAAGTCTCCAGGTCCGGCCTCTCCTCGCCCGTGCCCAAACCCGTGCCATTTCCGATATTTCAGATTCCGCCACTGTCGACTAACGCGCAACAGCTCACGATACCTATCCTATTCTCGGTCGGATAGTCAGTATGGTGCGATACATGTGTGATGTTGCCTCACCGGTATGGACTGTGGAAAGGCGGTGCTGGTCAGGCGTCGTAGCCGTTCAAAATAACTCTGCGCGGCAATACCAGAGACCTTGTTCGCGAGCAGGAAATCATCCAATACTCTGAATGTAAAGGCCGTGCGCGGCGCGAGTACGGTGGCGGGGTACAATCCCATATCGAGCAGTTGAAATGGTTTGCTTGCCGCATTGTCACATTCGCAGTACGTCACACGTAAGGTGTGCACTCCCGTGATGTCGGCAACTGTCAGTTTCTTGCACATGTCGGCCCCGCTGACGATTGAGAAAACGGGGCAGCGCCCGCCCCTGTGACCGAGAAAGAGGCGGAGCCCAACCGAATAAAGCGAGCTCGGCTCATAGTAGCCTGCAATGGGAGGTGGTGAGCCGCCTCCACGCCGCAAACACCCGAACCTACCCTCTGCAGATAGAATGGGCCCTTGTTCCACCGAGGAATCCGCGGTGGGCAATAGCTCGGTCTCAACTTCCCCCCACTCGCTCGATGCATCCTCGTCCGCGGACTCATCCACAGAGCGCGGACTTTCCCCCACGGGCGGGCCAGCCGGATCCCATGGCACCCAGTGCTCCACCCGATGTAGGTAGTCCGCCTCATGCTGTTTCAGGCAGCAAGCTGTGCAAAATGACGGCCTACCAATACAGTCAATGCACCTCCAAGGACTCCACTCCCCTTTGCACCCGCCGCAGATGCGCCTCTCCTGCGGACCTTCCAGATCAATGAGCCGTTGGAGCATTTGGTCCCGCAACGGTAACCATTCCCGCATGAAGTCTGCCTGGGTCTGACTGTCTTCAGAGAAACCGGATGAGACATTTTTTAATAAAACACCCACCGACCCCGACGGCCTCGTCTTCGCTCGCTTGGTTGCGCGGTCAGCGACATGGTTCTCATTCGTAATGTCAGCAAATTCTGCGCCAGGCGGCGCGTCATCAGGTAATGCCTCAGGAATATGGCATGGTTCCGCCTCCCGTTCATTGACATGCGGAAAATGCGCGAATTCAGCAGGCACCAGGCGGTATTTCCTTCCACGCGTCGTCTGTCTCACCTCCGAGCGGACAACGGTCGTCTTCTTGCTGGATCCGGCCTTCTGCCATCTGCCTTTTGTCATGGGCTTTGTAAAGAGAGGAGGGTCTCACATTATGCCACATATATTGACACGGGATCAAATGATGCACCGAGTACCATTTTTATTGTGTATACATTGGCTGGCTAAGCGTCAGTTCGCTTGTCGGGGGTGGAAGCCCGGGCGCGCCCATGACAGCGCCCGAATGCGGATGCTCCGCGGCGCAGTCGCTGACAAACTCAACCCCACAAGCCAAGAAATACGGGCGCGCCGAGGCAGCATCTGCGAGGCCAGCTAGGCCGCCTCCCTCGCGATAGATGCACGCAGTTGGAAGGATCGCCGGAAGCAGGAAGATCTTTTCCCTAGACATCATTTCTGGGTACACAAAGCCGAACAAACTCAAGAGTTCCACCGCCGCCAGTTCTCGATGCACAAGAAGTTGATCCATCCCCGCAACAAGACCTCCTCATCCGGCGTCGCCGAAACCGCACACATGTGCCAATGAAGCGGCGGTCCGTCCACCATAAACAGCAGCTTGTGGACGTAGTGAAGAGGCCCCTGGTGGTCCACGGCAGTGTGCCGCCGGAGCCTGGGGAATGTCAGCAGGAAGTAGTAGAAGATACAAATCACTCACACTCGGTCGTTCTGATCCGGGGTTGCGCCAGGTATGCCGGTAAGGAATGGCTGCATGTCAATGATGGCCGATGAGATTTGTCCAAGGAGGACTGCAAAATGGACCGGCAGGGAGCGCTGCGCCGACTGAGGCTGTGATGGGCTCCTGTAGAAGAGTGGCGCGAACAGTCGGGGGGTACGCGCCGGGGTCCGTTGTGTGGCTGCGCATTCGGCGGAGGCGAGCGGGCTGGCCGCTGCGGCGCGGGGGCAGGTCCGCCGGGGCCGACACGGGCGGCGTCCGCGGCTGAGACGGCGGCGCGCAGCCCGGCACGATCGGAGGCGGTCGGTCTCGAGGGCGGTGCAGAACAGGCACGGCGGTGGGCGCGCGAAGACGATGAGGGTGGTTCGCGGGGCATAGCTGATTAGCGACGAGTACTGGGGTGTTCGTTCTAAGGAGTTGGGGCCTGTTCCGTATGTTTAATATCGAGGCTTGGTGAGGAGCCGCCACTGTGGGATTGTGAGATTTTGCCAAGTCCCGTACATGACTCACCTTTGACCAACCACCGAAGTCATTGGGTCCTCTCGATTTGGGACAGTACGGTGGACGGGGACGCCTCACGGGCACGAAGAGGTAGGATCCAAGGTCTTCCCAGATTGCTGGGTCGCGGAACCGCCGCGGGAGAAGCCCGCTCATAAGAGAAGCATGCCGATGACACCATCAGGCGCCCAGATCTTCTTTCGCTTGACAGCAAACTGGTCACGCCGTTGAACGGCCTCTCGCGGAGTTGAGAAATCGCTTGCGGATTGACTCATTAACGGGCAATCGCATGCGCCGTTTCCACTTTGGGGAGCGGCGATTTGCTGTTGATATCAGGGGGACCAAAGACATCGCCTCACCTTCCGGCCAATTACCGAGTCAATCGACTTCGTGACGGCTGATGGGTAGTAGTGGTTGAATAAACCGTTAGCTGGGAACGCGACGTCGATGTAGTCTGTGCCTCATCGGACACTTTACCCGGGCCTGTGCTAAGACGCGGCGGACGCCGGCCTGTACATGTGCGGGCGTTTAAACGCGCCGCCCAGACCTGCGTCCCGTTCGAGGGTAGTGTAGTAGTGTGTACGCGTGAGGTGTATATAGTAATAGTTAGGCAATCAAGACGGGTTGTGAGGTAGTGTCTAACGGTGTGGTCTGAGGTCGGAACGTAGCACGCATGACAATAAATAGTGAATAAGGGCCAGCAACAAAGCGGTTGACGTTAAACTTAGAAGGCCTTCGGCACGAAGAGACGCGCGCCACGCTTGAGCCCGATATGCTGGTCTCGGTTCCATCCGTTATGGTGGTGTCACGGAGCATGCCGGGCGGAGACCGAAGAATCCATACCAAAGACACGACCAGTGGATGCCTTCCCGCAGAGGTTTACAACCGTTTCTATTCTGAATTTCGACTGTAAATTGCCCCGGCATATCGGCGAAGCGAGCGTACCACTGCGTTGGATCAGCAACCCCCTCTTCTAAACAGCCAATTTAGAAGGGGGGTCGGACCCCCCCTTCCAGATACAAAACTCGTCCATAACAGTGATATTGAATCTCCGCTGCAATGAGATCTGGATCGTACGACCTGAACACAGTGCGCGGCGCGCGTGCGCGCCGACAGCTGAATTCTGGCGTGCCCAGTCACTCGAATAATGGCTTTGAGCTGCGTGTATCTACCGACTGTCTCATCCATCAAGCTCTGGCTTTCGTCTGACTGCCTTTGAACACACTACAAGCTACATCTAGTGACCACAAACTCCGAGTCCTCCATGCTGACCAGCAGGTTCTAGGTCGAGTGCTGCGACCCGTGCTCGCTTCTTGCCCGCGCACTTACTGGCTGGTACCCGCGCCCGCGTTCTTGGTCGAGTGGGTGCCTCGACGAGCAATCAGCGCTCAGGTCGTGGTGCCTTTACTTGCCCAATCTGCGCGAATACCCGCGCGTCCGCCCTCGCGTTCGGCTTGCCTGCCCTCTCGCTCGCCCCCTTGCCCTATCGTGCCCACATGCCCGCCCTCTTGAGCCTGCCCGCTCGTTCTTACCCGCCATAACTCGACAGCCTTTGAGGTCACGGATCTGGAGACGGAAGAGCTTGTGTTTGTCGGGACTCGGGAGCAAGAGGGAGACGGCGCTGCTCAAGTTCACGAAGGAGCCTGGCTGAGCGGACTACAGGAACAAGCGCGAGGCTGTGGACATCGTGTAGATGCTCCCGTTCTCGAGCTCGCACAATGCAATGGGCGTTGTCGTCAAGCTGAACAACGGCAGGTATCACGAGGTCACGGTGAGAGCACACTACGCTTGGTTTCGTCGTGTGTAGCTGACGGTACTAGTAGACCAGCTGCCAACGCCTTGCGTCTCGAGTGGGTGAGTGAGGTTTCTATCTTGCCCTTGGTCCAACACATCGTCTGACCGGGCATGCTCACCGAGATTGGTAGGGTTCAGATGCCACCGCGCATTGTGCAGCGTCCGAACGCTTGGTGCCTTGCGAGGGCGAGAGTCGGGAACATGACGGGCGGGAGCCGTCTGACGGTATGTGAATCTCGTGCCCTGGTTCGTCTTTTCGCTGATACCCATCACCTCGTCGGACGTCAGTTTCTCCCGCGCGTAGCGCGGCATCAGGGCCCACAAGCATAGATCTCGCCTTCGGGTAGTTGGCTATAAATGTCTGCGACCCCAACACGCTCGCCCACCGTCCCACCTGCCCACTGTCCCGCTCGCCTGCCGTCCCGTTCGCTCCTGCCAGTGGTCGCCTGCCGCCTCGCTCGCTCG